ATTGGATATCTTCCTTTGGATAGGGAATTTGTGACGAAGCATTTAGATCTGGTGATGATTAGTTTGAAATGATATATAAATACATACATGTGACTCTTTTTTTTCTTATTTTGTACAAACAATCTCTCAAAACTTTGTTGAAAGATTTGTAGCTTGCCAGAAAGGAAAGTATCCCAATCTGCTGTGACTCGAAAGACTGTAATACATGCTAGTCAGTCTTGTGTACCATATTTGGGATGAGCTTGGCTTCCACTGTATGTATTCACTTTTGAGTGTCTCAAGTGACAGCTTTGAGTGGAAACAATTGAAGCATGAGAGTAATTGGCAGACTTCGTGCATATCAAAAACTTCAAAGATTTGAATTATATACACATTAAGATAAATAAGAATAAGGAAAAGGTATGTAGCTGAGAATGAAACATGAATATAAAATACACAACTATTTCGACGACACTACAAGATTTTTGATTTCTTCAGAGAGTGCATCTAAATCTATAACGGGCTTCATGTTTAAGGATTCCCTCTGTTCGTACGTGAGACCAGCAAGAAAGACTGCGTTGTAACAGTTCTCGGGAAGACCACAACATACTGCAGCCTTTGGATTGATGGAGGTTCCTGGAATGCGACATTGATCAAAACGATTCATCGCAAGAGCTGGAGTATCGACACTTGATTTGTAGCTGAAAGATAGACCATCTATTTGACGAATGATACCTTCATACTGTTGACTTCGCCACTTCAAACCGACCCTCTTGAATTTCACCTGATCTGGGTACCATTCAGTGTCCGAGCAGCAGTCGGCATCGGGAATGATTAGGAGAGGATCAACTTGGAGATGCCGCTTGACCGTGTCCTGGCGATATTCACATAACTATATCATCGGTAAGATAAAATCAGCACACTTTCCTAGGACTACAGACAAATACTGTAAACTCAGAACTGACCACTCTTCTCTTTCGCCCACGCTCAACATTTATAAGCTTTTCAGCTTCCCCACGATTTAATCGTATATCCTGAGATCGTCCACGTACCCAGCGAAGTATCAAAGAGATACAATTGGACTTGGTATTGTGTGATTGATTGATCCCGTAATGCTTGAAGGCTCCCCGCCGCTGTTCATAGCGCCAGTGCTTAGCCACAAACACAGCCATTGTACGATTCCAGTGATGACTGTCTGGAAGATCCCATGCGAAGGTGAATCGATGTATGTTGTACTTTTGAAGCTCAGCCATAAATTTGTTGACAATTTCTATCATATCTGTATTGTTTGAAGTGGCTGTAGCGGAAGTAAGATCTGATGCGAATACTAATTGATCTAGCATAATTTCATCCTGGGTGAGCTGAGGTAGTTGCTGAAGTTCTTCGGGCGTAGGGGCCATCGGATAGATTTTATTGAACTTGTCAACACCAAGTAATTTCCGAGTGAATGCAGCTAAAGAGCGACTGATCGCGGCATTAGCTAATGGTATAGTGCCGGCGACAGAGGCATTTAAAGATTTGATTGAGGTGGGGGGAGTTCCTCGTTTCCAGATGTGACGATTTTTTTGATGAGGCTGTGCGGGCATGATGTAGTTTGCTGGGGATTCAGAACACCAACTTCGATTAATGATTTATTGTTATATCGAACGAATTTACTTGATAACTGGAGACTAGGACTTGTACGTACCTTCTAGTCAGGCTACACTGTACTGACTCACCAAGACAAAGGAAGAATGTGAAAGGCATTTGAAGGAAAACTGTACTCCGATGAGATAAAGGGACGCGGTAAATGAACATCACCCTGGTGAAACTTGAGCGTAATCATCACGCAAATGAAATTCTTGGTTTGCTCTCGTCGTTGAGAGCACCTCAGGCGGACAGGGTGAATAATACCAGGATCAGTCCAAGAATTAATGAACATTGAAGATACTGCAATTATGCATAGACAAAATTTGGAATTTCAAAGAAATTCACACTAAGAGATAAATATAACCACAGATGAAGACAACACTTTCCCATCCACCAAAAAATGACCATACACAAGCCAATGAGCATGAAAAACTGAAAAGTAATTGGAACCCCAGTAGCAGAAATTGAGCTCAACACCAAAGGAATATAACTATCACCACTTCCAACTAATTCAAGAATCTTTTTCATTTTCTAGAATCAATTCCTGATGTTTATGTTGTTGTTTCAATAAAATTGTAGAAATTGATTGAGTTGATTCATGATTCATCAATTGATTCAAAATTCAAAATCTATGATTTGAATTTAAGACAACTTTTTGAGGAACTTTTGTAAAGTTGTGATTAGTTCATTTTACAAAATATACCTTTATGATTTATCAAAACTGAAAAAGGAAATGAAATCAGTTTAAGTAAGTATTGATATCAAATGAGAAAAATAATTGTGAGAAAAATATGTATAATGAAAGTAGAATAAATTGATTCAGAAATTTGATTTGCTTGTTTTTCAAATTCAAATTCATTTCGATTTATTGAAGTTTTTTTGATAAATTTATTTGAAGGGCCAATTGAAGTTTCCCCTCAAAAAGAATGATCAGATCTTAAATTTCCAAAAACTTTATTACTTTTTGAATCAACAAATTCTCCTACTGTTACCAAACCTGTATTTGTTATTCTTCTGACTATTAATTCTATGTAAGATTTTGTGTACTTTGTGAGTTCATACGTAAACTTTGGAAAATGGAATCAGAACTACAGTCAAACCGGAAAAGCTTGCCACCAATTCCCCACCAATTTGCTCGAGTTTTGCGGGCAAAATCGGTCAAGCTTTTCCGGTTTGACTGTATGTCCATTTCGAATCCGAATCTGATTTTGATTTCGAAACCAATACAACCAGCATCCAATATGTCATCTATATACCTGATGTCAGATGAGGAGGAAATTCAAAACACGAGAAGAACTCGGATTCATCTTTGGAATCATAAACTGAAGAAAATGGGAGACTCACTAGGGTTTCTTGCATACAAAATCAGAATCGACCCCGAATTCGAATCCCAAATCGAAATGCAATGCGAGGTCGAAATCTCTCTGAAATTTAATGCGAGGTCACAATCCAGCACGAAATCAATTCAAGTATTTGAACGCGACGTCAAATTCAAAATTGAACGCGAATTTGAATCCATCGCAGTTTCTTTCGCGTCAATTCGGATCATCCTCCGATTTTCTTTTACCAACTTCTGTCAGCAACGCACCGGCAAAGAACTTTACTCAAGTAATGTAGAAGACCAACAAGTCGCGGCGTTCTCGCATGCGTGCTTATCATGTGAAGGTAAGCTGTCAGGGTTCATGTTGGGTTTCTTGACAATGCAGGCTAATATTCCTCCACTGTCCGATTTGCTTGGTTAGATAGCCTGTTTATGCCCCCCCAAAATCGAAATTGAAATCGAAATCGAAATCGAAATCGAAATCGAAATCGAAGTCGAAATCGAAATCGAAATCGAAATCGAAATCATCTTTGAAATCATCTTTGAAATCATCTTTGAAATCATCTTTGAAATCATCTTCGACTTCGATCTCTCACCTTGTTATCAAGATCGAAATTCGAATTTGGCCAACAGCTACATCACGCAGACGCGATAGTGAGAAAAGTTGTGTGTTACAGCGTTTTGGCCTGCTGGCACTGCTCGTCTGGACAAATCTTCGTAAATCTACTCGTGAAGTCGATGCACTGTTCGATTGTCTGTATCACATCTTATCCATAAGTATGCTTGATCTTTGACTCCAGGCGACTTTGAACTCAGTCAATCTTACCTGTTTTTCTGGGACCACCTTTGAGGTCATCTTTTAGGTTTGACGAACGACTTTACCAAAACAATTGGATTTTAAAGTTTCTGTTTTACACTTTGGAATTTTTTTTTCGCATCAAGAAAAGAAAAAGATGCCTTCAGATAACAAGAACGAATCAAGTGTAAGTCATTAAGAAATTCTCACCAAAGTTCTTGATTCAAAAAACTAAACTAATCCATCAAGATAGTTATCATTTGATTTAGTAGGATCAGTTATAGCAAGTACAGTACTAGCATCAGCCACTTCAACCACTTTAAATGCCGCATCTCAAAGTCATCCAAACCAATCTTCCCCAAATCAAGCATCAATCAGTTCAAATGATAAAGAATCATTAAGTTTACAAACCACTACCATCAATTTCAAGAACTTTGTTTCGAAGAGTGATCCGATCTTTTGGTTCCAAGATCGGGTCGAAGATATATTGACTTGGAAAGACGCTTTACGAACTACTTTTTGGGCTTGTTTATGGGCTTGGTTACGTTTGTCGTTATGTTTGATCTCGATCAATCATGATTCAATACTGACCATTCTTCTTGATCCGTTTGCTTTCTTAGGTATCAATCCTATTTTCTTTATTCTTCTTCCGAATCTTGCGATCATTGCCATCTTGCTTTCTGCATACCCGAAATCAAATGAGATCGATTCCAAAGAAGCTGTTATTAATTTGAATGAACAACATGATCCTTTACCAACAAACGAACCTAAGGAAGGTTCGGTCGAGTTAGTCATCTAATTCTCCTGTCGTTCACAACTTGTGCTCGATCAAGACCAACTGACTTTGGTTTCATTCTTCGCAGTTACCTTTCTAATATGGCACGAAATTCGGTTTATCTTGAATCTTAACTTGGTCCTATTCAAAACTCACAGTCTAATTAACTAACAAACGGTTTGATGATTTGTTTAGCAAAACATTCAAATCATGATGGGATGGATTTCATTAGCATCAGATTTAGTAAATCACAAATCGTACCTTATTTAAATTGGTCAAATCCTCATTACTCTTTATCTCTCCTACACCTATCTTTAATCACCTGAATCCTTTTCTTCTTCATGGGTCCCTACATACCATGGCGTTGGGTTTTACTAGTAATAGGATAATCGATTTTCTTTGCACAACATCCAACTTTACAAAGGCTCATGATTTATTTGACACCATTACTTCCGACTCGAAGATCCATGACGGTAGTAGAAAGAGTGATTGCGAATGCGAGATCTGATGTAATCTTTTGGTGAAATACTAAAATCATTCAGATCAATCTGCTTGAACTGATTGTGTGTGTGTAATTAAACCCTTGATCTCGAAAGCTTTTGACCAATGAGATAAATCTGATGAAATGAACAGATATACTATTATCATTGTGTGCTGTTTTAGTAAAGATTCAGTTGAGATTGTAGAACAAGAGATGATCACTAGGTGGGTGGGATCAGAGAGTCTATTTTGAAGATATCGAATGAGGATGTGATAATGATATAACTTGGTCTCATTTGGTCATGAGCACACAGGATTGGTGATGGATGAATTCCTTAAATTGTGAAGATCATTTTGAGTCAGTTTTGCGTGCCAAGATTACGCATACATTTTGAATTTGAGATGGGATTTGAAATCAAGTTAGTTTTGATGCTGTTTTGAATGACTGCTGTTTTGATAACTGTAGTTTATTGACTATTCTTCTCATCCTCTCATGTTCTTCTCATCTCACCTTTCATTCTCAAGATTTTAACAATTCAAAAGATCATCAAAACTTCAAATACTTCAACATCGATCAAAGCCATCAAGATTGAAGTACAAGTCAGATGGAATCATCATGTCCTCTCATGGACCAACTCATCGTGCCTTTGCTGTCACTCATCAAAGAATCACACTCGATATCAATCTCAATGGTCAAATTAGAGCTTCAACTGAAATCGTCATAGTCCCTCTATCAGATCAGCTACAAACTGTTCATCTTCATTCTACTTCAACACATATTATCTCAGTTTCTCATCCTGCTCAACCAACTCCTTCAAAACTCGATTTCATCCTCAACGAACCACCGCCTGTCTCGATTCCTGATCCACGTTCGGTCAAACAATTCCCAGCAGCTAAACGTCATCTTTTTCAACGCGTTAATGAGAACGGAACAGGTGAATTAGCTATTGGAATTGATCAATCTAAAATCAAAAAATCGATCGAAAGGACAATTTCCACATGTCTTTATAAATTCAATTTCGGCTAGGTCTTGGATCCCTTGTGTTGACTCTCTATGGGAAAGGTGTACTTGGGAACTTGAGTTAATCGTACCTAGATCGGTTTCAACAAATGAACATCCGATCACAGTGATTGCTTCTGGTGAATTGATCGAACAAGTCGTCCATCCATCCGATCCTTCAAAAACTATCTTTCATTACTCTCAATCGATTCCTACCTCTGTTCAACATATCGCTTGGGCTGTTGGACCATTTGTGGTATCAGATCTTACCCCCAATTCTTCATCTCAGAACGGAAGCCCAGTCAATGATCAAGACGAAGAAGAACTTGAAAATCAACAAGCTGAAAAGTTTGTAGAGAATGATTCATGTAGTCAAATCAAATCACACGCCTTTAGTTTACCAAATCAAACGGCAGAATTACACCATACTTCGGATTTTATGCTCCATACTCTCACCTTCTTTACTCAAGAATACGGCTCATATCCCTACTCATCCTATAAACTTGTCTTTCTAGATATGTTCTCTGCAACTCATTCGATCGGTGCCTCATTCAACTCAGCTACCCTTACCTTGTATCCATCCGATTTACTCTATCCATCTGATGTCATTGATCAAGTTTACGAAACCAAATCTTTACTAGTTCATTCCCTCGCCAGTCAATGGATCGGAGTCAATATCATTCCTAAATCACCCTCAGATACCTGGCTTATCAACGGACTTTCCCTCTACATCACTGCAATGTATTTCAAACGGGTCTGGGGACTTAATGAGTATAGGTTCAGGTTGAAAAAAGATATGATGAGATGTGTTCAACTTGATGTCAATAAGCCACCGATGTGTCAGCCTGGTCTACCTGACTCGGTCGATACAGAAATGCTAGGATTTGTCAATCTGAAAGGAAGTTTGGTCCTGTATATCCTTGTTCAACACCTCAGGCGGTCAGGTGGAGGGACATCCTTAGGGTTAAGTCGAGTGATCCCCAAGATCTTCCTTTCGGCAATTTCAGGGGGGATGCGAGATAGTCGTTTATCAACTAATAACTTTTTAAGAACTTGTCGTAAGTTGAGTGGGAATGATATGAAATCTTGGGCCGATCAATGGATTTATTCATCAGGTTGTCCAATCTTTGAAGTTGTCACTCAATTCAATCGTAAGAAGATGGTAATCGAACTCACCATGAAACAAATCAATCGAGCCAAATTACATTATGATAATGAGAATACGAGCTGGGAAGAGAGATGTGACTTGAAGCCGTTGGACCATTTCGAAGGCCAAATGTCCATCAGGATACATGAAGCCGATGGGATTTCTTATGAACACGTTTTGGATGTCAAGGATCATTCGAGAAAGTACGAACTTCCGATCAACACCAAGTACAAACGAGCCAGAAAGTCTATCAAACGATATGCAATGACCAACCCAACAGCCGAAACAGAGGAAGAAGCAGATGATCGATTCACATGGAAACTATGGGATCGCTCTAAAGAAGAGAGAGCACGTTGGAGGGTGGAAGATTGGACCGAGGATGAAGAACAAATGATGATGCAAAGTATGTTTGAATGGATTCGGTTCGATGTTGAAGCAGAGTGGATTCGTGATTTTCGATTCGAAATGAAAGAGTATATGTGGATTGAACAATTACAACGTGATAAGGACGTCGTTGCACAGTTAGAAGTAAGTTTTTTTCTTTTGATATGTGTAGGCTTTGAAAGCACTTTGGTCTATTGTCTAATTTGTATGATCTATTTCAAGGCGATTGAAGCGTTGAAACAATTACCTTCAAATGTTGTTTTGAGTCATCTGTGTAAGACTGTCTTGACTCCGGAACACTTTTTCAGGATCAGGATAGGGGCGGTCTATGCTCTTGTATCTGTTCGTAGTTTTACATCTCTCTTTCTTCTCTGTTCGACTACTATTTCACGTCATCATTGTCATTGCATGTTTTTTGGTCGCATACCAAAAATGAAGGCACCCTGTACCAGAGGCATTCTTCATATAACAAGTGCTCATCCAATGAAAACTATGCACCACAAGATTTGTATCATTCTTCATACTTTAGTTGACCTTATGTTTTTTTCATCTTATGTTTGATTACTATATACAAAAAATCAGTGTGTTACGAGACAATGCAACTACCTTGGCCTGTTCCATCTATTGAAACTTTTTCAAACTCGATACTGCTTCGCACCGCAAAAAGAGTCGGCAGATCCTTTCGAAATCAGAGCAATTCCAAAGACCAATCATTTTGGAAATCTAATTGAATGCTTTTTACGCAAAGTAAGTGATTTATCTTCAATATCTAGTCTGAATTTTCATTAGCCGTAGAAATACAGTTTGACTCAGTTGGTAAAATTCCTCATAGGCTATCGTCGTTGCTTTATCGAGAGTTCGAGATCATAACAATACTTCACCGATCGTCTGTCAGCAGTTTTTCCTCGACCAACTGACTTATAATGACAATTCAATGAACCCGGTCAGTCTTCCAAATCGATGTCCTACATCATATCTGGTGGAGTAGAATGAAACTCATGATACATCTTTCCTTTAGTATTCAGATGTGAATTACGTCTCAACGCTGATTTCGGCTATGACGGACTGTTTTATGCATAGTGCAGAAGGACCGTCACTAGACAACGGTAGTGAACTCTTTGGGATGTCATTGAAGAAACGATCGCAAGATGGTAGTCTTGGTCGTTGAAATCTTTGGGCCATGATTAACGAAGTCGGACGGTGTTTGGTGATGGATCGATTGGTACCATCTTATCGGAACTTGGTGACCATGGCGGTTATCGAGGTTAGCATTTCATGTTTCTCAATAGACCATGAAAGCTAATGAGTACGAATTCGATCAGTCTAAATTGAAGATGATGCTAGCTAGTTTGATGCCTGTGGATATCATGTTCTTTTTAGCTTGTACAAGGCGAGTTTCGAGATTTGATAATTAGAAGAGCTTCTTGAGCCACATCACTGATTTCACTTTCAATATTTGTCCTCGATCATCATCAGACCTGGAAATTATCCACCGATTCGGATCTTTGCTTTCGATTGTTTACTTCTCTTACGAGCTTTTCAAGAAAAGGCGATTGTCAGATACATGTTTTTGGTGATGAGAGATGATAAGTCTCTATTAGTCAAACGAAGATTAGCAATGGGTTTGGTTCAATGTTTACCAATCTTAGTCTTAATGGAAGAACTTGCGGTTGAACCCAAGAAAGGTGGATTTTCAATTATAGATGATCCTACTGAAGTGGCTGCCAAAGCGAAAGCTAAATTTGATCATAAGAACATTACTAAGCTCTTAAGGGCTGAGGTTGGAAGAGCTTTGATCTTGAGAGATTGTATTGTTTCTGTTATGTTGTGAGTCTTTTCATATTTCATTCTTTTGTTTCTTGTTTGATTGTTTGAATCTCCATTTCTGATGTGATGTAATTTGTCGTTATTTCAGAGATCCTAATGTGGATTTAGATGTACAAACACGTCTAATCAAAATCTCAGAGGTATTATTCAAACCATCCGACGAATCAGTACCACCCAAGTTGGCCTTGGAGATACCCATGAATGTTGAACCCTCTGCAGAGATATTTACGCCTATCTTGCCAAAAATCAAGATACCAGCACCTTCTAGTGCGATTGAACCCATGCCCATGGAGAAGTGTAAGCGGATCTGTTCTGGAAAGGCATCTTTATCACGTACTTATCACCCTTTTTACTTTTCCATCATAGTATCATCACCTAGAATAGTCATCAAGGACCGGAGTCATTTGATGGGTGAACCAGAGATTATCGTTCAATCAGGAGCCCCTGCGTCTGGGATCGTACAACCTGAAGGTACACGAAAATTGGTTGAATTGATCAAGAAGCCTAAACCAGCACCCAAACCTAAAAAGTTTCAAGCTTCAGGAATGACCATACCAGATCATAAGCTTTGTCAAAGTATCTTGAAGAAATCGGTTTCGAACCCGTTGGGAGCTCCGTTTAGGAAACCTGTGGATCCTATACGACAGAATGCGCCTGATTAGTGAGTGTGATTTTGGTTTGATCTCTTCAAACGGTGGAGATGATCTGATCATCCCTAAAACTGACTTGATGTGTGATCTCTTAGCTTTAATATCATTTCACGGCCAATGGATTTCAAGACGATGAGCAACAAATTGGAAATGGGTCAATATCCAGATTGAGAAGCTTTTCGAGATGACTTTAATCTAGTGATTCAAAATTGTAAAACATAATTTGAATGATAGTCCACTCGTACTCAAACATGCGGAACCTATGAAGACGATGTTCAACAAACAATGGGAGCGATCCGAAAAGACAATGAGTGCAGTACAAGCCAAGGGGATCGGAGGCGCTGGAGCCGGTTGGAACAAGTCAATGGACCCTAAGCCAATCTTAGCTTCTAGTATTGCTCCTCCACTTGCACCTCCACCATCATTTGCGGATTTCGCAGCGGGTGCTCCGATGATTTCAGCTCCACCTACGCTCCCGCCACCTCAGACACCTTCTATTGTGAGTCCAGAAGTGACTCGACCATCTGGATTGAAGGTCGTCTTGAAATCATCACGAAATACGAATCCCAGTGGTTCACAGTTGGCTGCACCAGCGCAAGACAGTCCGACCATGCCACCACCTACCTCAAAGACTTCATTAAAATTGAAGGTATCTAACTCGGTTGGACGTTCTCCTTCTACTCCTGACATTCAGGTTCATTACCTACCTTTGTACTCCCACCACCACCTACCTTTCCAGTGGTGGCACCTAATTTCCCGGCTCCACCACCACCATCGATCTCAGAAGCTTTAACTAGCTCAACTGTACAACCCGACCCATCCAGACCTCCGACTGATTTTAGAAGACGGATTGATTGTTGGAGGAGAAAGAAGAAGGAAAGTAGGAAGAAAGGTTTATAGGTTTGGAGTCAAAGTGCCTGAGTTGAAATCAATTAAGTTTGAAAGTTATTTGATTAGATCAGATTCGATGTCTTTACAACAAGGATTAAAGTATTCACCATTTTTAAATTTAGATGAAGTTTTACCTAGCACTTCATCGTCAAGTTCGTCTTTAAGTGTAGAAGAGAATAAGAAGCAAGGAAACGTGGTACAGGATGATGATGAGTTTGGAAAAGATTGGATCGAGTTTGATCCAAGGTTAGAAGAAATCAAATCATTGGTCACCAAGAGAGATGAGTTTGGGATGAATAGTGGGTATTTTGATTTGGTTGATGAACTTGAAGGTTTAGAGGATGAAATGAAGTTAAAAGGTGAAGGGAAATCTTTAAGAGGACTTATGTGGGAAAGAGTGGTTTTAACTAAAGAAGAAATGAAAGATTATTGGGTGAGAGAAAGATGGGGTCTAGTGAAATGGTGCATGATGATCAGTTTTTCTTTTTGGATTGAGTTGGGGGTTCTTTTGTTTTGATTATGTGCTTGTTTTTTTGTAATTCTTTAGTACTTGTAACATTCAATAACAATTTTGATTATAAGTTTTAAGTTTTCTGGTGATTCAATATTTATTAAACCTTACCACTTGATTTTGATTATCAATTGGATCATCAAAAACCAAAGGATAAAAATGGTTCAAGAATTTATTTTAATCAAATTATTCAGAACAGACAGGGGTGATACAAACTTAACAATATAACAACACTTTAGTGGTAATCTTAACTCAATCAGATTAGGGGCAGAGCTTTTATCAAAAACAATGGATTATTTTTTATTTTTTGGATTGGCTGTTTTTGGTTATTTACTTGTTTTATTTATCTGAATTATGTATGTACATTAGAAGTGGGCATGGGTTCATCAATCAATTAACAGCATAAAGGCAGGTTTCAATTTCATCATCTCAAGATTCATTTATAGTCAAATTTCATCCACATAGAGTTTGGTGATGTTTTTACAGCTTGTCCTAGAAAGCTTGCACCATTTTTTTGGTTTTTGGCCTGTTGTGTTTTTGTGTGTATTTCAACAATTGGTGACATACAGCAAGCTACCACATGGATTGAATCCATATTGGTAATTTCACATTGGATCATTGTGAATTTTCTCTTCCTCCTTCCCAATGGTCTATTTGGAGTACTCTGCCAACATCAAAGTTGTGGCACACCTCAAGATGTATGGAGAAGATCTTGAATCATTAATCAACAACTTGATAAACTCTCTTGACAGTTTTTGACAAGATGGATGGCACTCTATATGACCACCTATTCTGTATTAGCCACCAATTCTATATGGAACCCAAGGTGCTTCAACAATACTCTCAGCAGGTCAACAAGGATTTATTCAAGAGACGCTTGAAGACATCCCAACCTTTTATCTTGATGAGATTGCTGACTGTCTTCAAATTCAAATTGGAACCCTGTTCTCAATATCTACCCTTGCAATTGGAATCCAACATTGTCTGGTCCTCACTCATAAAGTAGCACAGACTGTACATCCCAATGAGTCACCAATACATCAAGTAGAGTACCTTTATGAGGGTTCAGAATAAACCCTGATGGTCTGTTTTTTCTTGATGAGTTTTTCTTTTTGATCATCCCACTCTCATTCCATCAAGCTTAATGATTTTTTTTTGTTGATAGAACAAGGCGCCTTTGCAAAACAAGACTCTATTGTAAGTATTCTTGAGCTACTCAAGGTCAACACAATGAGCAACTTTGATGGCCTACCAACTCCAACCAATTCACTGTACTACCAGCAATTTCACTCATTGGATTGGACTCTCTTCAAGTCAAAGAGGGATCTTTCAAGAGATTGGACTTTGCAATATATCTTGAAGATAATTATCTGGTAAGAAAATCTCAATAAATCATCTTCCTCTTTTCCTTGATCTTAGATATTCACTGATATCCAACTGTTCAAACTTGTCATATCCTTTAATCAATCATCAATCATCTCAATTGGAACACATCTATATGAGATCCTCAATAACCCTTGTGGCTGCCTTAATCTCAATCACTCTTGCCTTGTGTGGTATTATCCAGTATATTTTGGTATGTTGTTTTGTAAAAGACTTGGGGCCCATTTGGAAATTTTGTGTGAAAAGTGTTACACAAAAATGCTTTTCTTCTGGAATTTGTTTATACACTTGACCAAATAGTCGACCTACAAGGTCAACAAAAATTCTATTGACCTCTTGTTGACTGGTTCACTGTTTGGTAAAGATCACAATCATATAACAATTAATATATGGAATTCATTCTTGATGTTCTGAACATCACTCACGGTTCTAAACATTGTCCATAGCCATCATAAACTACACAAATCATCTGTTTCCTTGAATGGTCAGCTGACTGTATAGAATCCAAAATCAAAAAAAATCCAAAGGAGATGACTGGTACAAGACTAGCACAATAATTTAAAACTAGAATAAGAAACAAAGAATGCTCAGAAACACCAGAGCAAAGTAAAAGTAAAGAGCTTAATTGAAATGAAAAAAAATAAAAGCGGAGTGATGGAACAGAAGGAGTGTGAAGGAGGTATAAGGACAATATCAAAAGTATGAGGGGTGAAGTTAAAAAGTTGATTTAATTTGTCAGTTCAATCAACAGAGGAGGGGCAAAAAGTGTTTTTTGTCTGATAAACAGCCTTTCAAATATATCATGATACATGATTTGTTTTAATGATCATTCATTGTTGCACAACATCACCTCTCTTTTGAAAGCCATGAAAGATTTTGAACAAAGAAGAGTTTCTGGCTTTGCTGGTCCATAACATAATATACAGTTTTACAAAATTTGCCAAAATGGGCCCTAATGTTTTCAAGTCTATTCTTTGCTTGGCTATATATGTAGTATACTCCCATACTGGCATTTTGTCAAGGACAGTACTAAACTGCAGTACTACCAACAGTGTATTATAATAGTAGTATCATGGTACCCTTGCTTGTCCAGCCTATTCTTGTAGTTTACTTTGACTTTGTCAGTCATGTTTGTCTATCCTTGAGCTTACTGCATACATTAGCCTTTTAATCTATTATTGCAAATTTGAGTTCAGGTGAATGGTTCTAGACTGCCTGACACAATAGGTTCTATGTGTGTTGGGTGGGTGGCACTCTGAACATAAACACTGGCCATCAAATCAATCATCTAGAACAAATTCACTTTGCAAGCTTGAATATGAAGGGGATCTGAAGGATTTTCTATTTAGTTCTTATTGAGTCTTGAGATGATGACATTCATTTTCACTACAATGATTTTCTGCAAGCCAACCAGACTGGAAATGTACTGACAACAGTCAAGGGCCTGTTACCTTCAAGTATTCCAGTCACCACATACATCCAGTAAAGCATCTGATCACATCATATTGCTTACTGCACTTCAAAAATATATTCATCCTTGGACCAATTTATTGAATTTATTATTTGACTTCACAAGTCAAAGATTATGGAAATGGCTACTTTTCTAAGGAGTATCTCGAGTAATTACATCTTCTGCTGCAGTGTGAAATATTTCTTCCTCTTCTTCAGGAGTTTTGTCCCGATATCGTGTAGAACAGAACTCATATCTCTTGTTATCTTTACTTGAAGATGTGAAGCTGAAGTGTATCTGATTTAATTCGCGTGGGAATCATTAGTTGATAAACAATCAAGATAAGTATGAAGAACTCAATGGACTCTTACCGAAAATGTAAACCAGCAGAAATTGAAAGATCAGCTTTTAAAACAAGAGCTAATTGAGCCAATAAACCTTCTCGACCCGGACTAGCATGTGAGATGAGTAATCTTGTCTCGGTCGGATCGTAAACCCTTTGAGCAGTATCTACGACTTCACCAATCTGTAACACACTTGTCCACATCGTACCTTGACCACCTGCTATTGTTGCACCACCTTCTATCAAATAACTTATGAGGAACAATAGCACCACCAAGCCCAAAGAGTCGAAGACGAACAGCACCAATTACTAAACAACATGTAGTAGCTTCATCTAGAACAGTCAAGTTGGGAATCGAATAAGGCGAAAGTGAAGTCTTGGAATCAAGTGGCTTTGTATTCGAATTTGGAACCTTGAGAGGAGAAGGACCAGCAGCACCAACGGTCTGATACGATCCTCTCAGTTTTGCTCATCGTCATGAATACAATATGGGGGAGCTTACCACAATGATTTCATTGGATTCGATGAGGACAACAGTACGTTTATTGGGTGTGTGTGACGAGATTGATAAAGTTGACTTCAACTGACTTTGAGAATGCTTAGAAGATCGATGACACCTGAAGACTAGTAAAGGACAAAAGTGAGTATTGGGATGATCGTCACGAGCTGACATCGCATACCTGGGTACGGAAAAAGCCGCGGATCACATCGTCATCGTCATCCCTTTGTGTGCTATTCATGTACGATGCAATTACTTGACTAAGAAACGTCGAATTGGGTCTCTGAGACTGAGACAAAGCATTTATCTTTAGGTTTTGGTGAAGCCAAAGCGCATGAGTAGCCGAGAAAAGTTCAGCGTTGCTCATGAGAGTCCTTTTGCAAGCTCGAGATAACCTGTTGAGCATCCCTGTGGCGTTAACAAATTTGATTAGAGTATGTAATTGTGATGACAGGTCGGAAAGCTGTGCACGAAGATCCACAATTGGGGGTAGATTTTTAGCGCCTAGTTTTTGTGACGGGCCAAAAGCACAAAATGAGTATCAGCCTAACAGGCAAATTGCGGAAGTGTGCAAGTGGAGACGTCCTGCTGAAGGAAAAAGCGCACTGGAGCTAAGTATCTCTTTGCTGATTTGTTTGGCTGCAGCGCCTAAATCGTCTTCAGCTTCAGCTTCCAGAGTGAAGGCAATCGGATTCTGATATATGCCGACGCAGACGAATTGATCAGTTTAAATTGATAAATCCTTGAAACAAAGTAGATCACCTCTTCTTTATCACCAAAGAAGATAGCCTGATCAAATTTGGTCTTGAGCTTGAAAGTTGCCCTGTCAAGGCGCTCCTCAGCAGTCAAGGGCCTGCGATAGGACCAAAAGCGATGAAGTGATAAGAATCGATCTCGACAAAAGTAGCACAATAAATGGGATGCTCACATGGGTCTCTGAAGCTCAGATGGGTTGAGTTCTATTTCCAGAATCCCGCTAGCAGTCGTCAGAACTTTCAAAGTAGGAAATTTCTCTCCACTTTCACCCACAGGCTGAATACTCAGGCTTTCTGTACCCCCTCCTATGATTCTGTTGGTGGCTCCTCACTTCAGAGATACCATCTGCTCAAGATTTGTCCCGGGTGTCAATGAGACTGCAATTACACGTCCTGGAAAGCAGATGAAAGCTGCTGGTCCACCATGGGGTAGAGAGAGTGTTGGAGCAGTCTCAAGCCGAGGATCCGGATACTGCGAGGTCACATCTTATGAGTTATTGTCGCTATATGCATCCGTAAAAATATTGGCTTACTTCACGATGCTGCAACTTGATCGCATGAGTCACCGTGGGCGACGCGGTTGTCGATATGATATCTAAGATGATAATGGCATATGATCTTGGCTTGATAGAACTCAAGACTTCAGGTAGCTCTGTTGCGTCGACGTATGAGACCAGGATCGCCAAATCACGGGAACTTCACACGCGCCAACTCAGTATCACAATGCGGATTGAAGGTCAAAAAAGCGTAAGAGGTGGACTGACTATGTGACGCTGAGGTCCAATAAGCTGAGGTCGATTTGCTCTGCCATGGTCAACATATCAACCTCAGAATACGGCACCAAGTTTTCCAAAATGATCGGCCTGATCTCGTAGTCGGAAAGCAATCGTTCGCCGCTTCCACTATGACCCATCCTCCATCTCTGAAGGGTTCCTCTACCTTCCAGAGCCCATATTTCGCCTCCGCCCATAGTCGTGTCACCCTCCAAAGCAGGCCCGATAGCCAAAGCAGTGACGCCCGCTGCGGGATCATAGGTCTGTCCCCATCGCATCAGAGTGCTGATCTTGCTTCCCCAGGTTTGAGCTCGCGACATAAGACTGGAGGTGACAGTTGGACGACCTGTTGCACCGGGAGAAACTGCGATACGAAGCAGGCGCGAATGCGAAGTAGCGAGAACGAACGAGTAGGGACTTGAAGGTAATGGCTGAAGACATCGAACCAATTCAGCGTCATGTAGCTGGACTTGTATCGTTGCGAATTTTTCTACCCCAGAAAGAGCCAACGAGAGCGAGTCCCATGCCCGAAGTTCACCTGTAGGAGACACGAGTAGCAAACCAGGTTCACGCCGCGTATACGTAGATGTGCTGCTGATTGAGATCAAAGATGCCAGAGGTAGCGGAGCTAAGGTATTGACCAGAACGGACTCAGTCCGTGAGATTGGACATGGGAATACATAGCACGTTGGAGGTGCTGAGGTGCGCTAAAAGCCCAATTGGCTCAGCCATTGTCAGCCAAGTTCATTAAGTGCATAGAGAGCAGGAAACTGACCCTAACGAAATTCCAGACATGACAGGCTTCCCGAGACCAGACATAAGCAAACCCAGTGGAATGATCGACATGTGCCTTGAAGGCATCTAGGTTTAAATCTTAAATAGGTACGATGAAACAATATCTGTCATTGGCTTGAGATGTTTGATTGTTGGAAATTTGTGATCACTCACCGGATCCAGATAGCATCTGCTCAACATCGCTTGGGAGTTGACTATAGGCTGTAACTACATGAAAATCGTCTTGAAGTAAAATTGATAGGCCATAGGTTGGTTGAGTCACTTGTTTCAATCCCTCTTCCAACACGATTGTTTGTTCTTCGGTAATTGACAAAGCCTGGAGGGTATGAATTCCACGGGTCAGAGGGGTCATAGACCTGTTTCTTCCGTTGATTGTCGCGCTATGAGGCATGCTGCCCTTTCTAGATTGACCACTGTGAGGAGCAAGAAAGGTTGTTGGATGAATCGTCGGTGAAGGTTCCGCCGCGATACTAGCACCGGCAGAGCTGAGTCTGGATTGAGCTCGAATTCCAGTCCGCTTCCTCGTATGAGGCCCAGTTCCTTTGTTTGCGTTTTGAGAGAACATCGTGTTGAGTCTTTCGTCAATTTGGATCTTGATGCGATGGCTCTTCACAGTGAGCACTTCAAGTTCTAGCAGTGTTCGATCGCTGAGGAGCGAACATTTTTGATCAACGCGAGACAAGTTCCAAATACCTGGTATGCGGTACTTCAGCGGACCCAATACCGAGGAGTGCTGAGGTCATTCCCGCCTGAGTGCGAACTCCGGGTCTACCCGGGTCGGACACGCAGCTAGCCGAAAAACCCACATTGATGAATGCAGAATTGATTTTGCAACCTCATATGCCGGCGGTGCGGATGAGCTAATTTATTTACAAGTCTACTGCCGAGGTATCGAAGTTGTTCCGATAACTCGAAGAATATTAGGATTTTAATATTAGCTGATTAGATTGTTACCAGCAAACTAGCTGATGAATAACGAACTGCTAAAGGTTTCCAGTACTCTCGAGTACGTGAAGATAATCCTTACAAGACTCATAAGAAATTGGCTCATGGTTTTCAGAACAAGTTAAAGAATTTATCCAGATAGAAGATTCAATTATTAAATCTAGAATTAAGGTTGAGATTTATTATACCATACTCACCTTAACTAGTAATTTTCAGTATTTTGGATTTCCAAAACTCTAGTATTGTCGGGGTGAGAGGGATGGTTTTTAAAAGAATAATTGGACTAAATTAAAACATCTAACAAGTCTTGTAAGGTGAATATGATGATGTTTGATAACTTTGTTAGATATTTTTAAGATCAAAACTTTTTTAAGATCAAAACTTTGGATGATAGATATGAAAAGATAAGCGGATGAGAGGGGAAATACTCTCATATGATCCATCCAGTTTGCCTATGGAAGAACGTGGCTATCATCGTAGTACCAGCGGGTACGATCTGCCTAGTCTAGACCCTTATATTGTGCTAGGTCTGGCCTGAGTTACAAAATTAAAATTCTCAAGATAGGTCTATTCCATTAATGTGGATTATAATTCAAGACACTGCATTACCCATTTGCATAAATAAAAAGTAAAAATATTGCATCACTCAGTTGACCGATCAAGTCTTCTGAGTCATCTTGGATTTTGAAAAGAGGCCTATTTTACTTTCAGGTCACAAGAAATCTTTGATGAGCAAAATCACTTCGTCAAATCACACATAATACTCCAAAAAACAAATAGCTCAAGAGGTCTTGTAAAACTATCATTCTTGACTAGGAAGACAAATGAGCCAATAACTTTCACATGGGATGAGAGATATCAAAGGATTGACATAGAGAAGAGAGAGCAGGACCATTGACAAAGAAAATTCATTGAATCACGTCTCTTGATTTTCTTGAATTCGAATCGATTGATACCTAAATAACATTACCACTTCCCACTTTTTGCAAGTCAAGAAACCAATGTAGAAAAAACTATCACTGTATGTCTAGCTCGTCAAAACAAGAATGCAGCATTTAGTGACTCACATCTTCTAACATAGAGGATGCCGATCCACCTGGGTTTCTAAACCAAATGCAGCTCCTGGTTTTTGATAGTCTTGAAGCCGGTGTTCCAATAGATTGAGTAGTGTTTGTGTTCTGATGGGTCATCCAAGCAGAATTCCGATTGAATATCGCTGAGCAAGTCTGATTTCGTTTCCTAAGAATATCTACATAGCTCAAAATTAATATCTTCTCGGGCAATCTATCCCTCGAGCTTTCCAAATTTAAGAACATGAGTGGTTATGCTGAAAGAATCCATAGCACGTGTCACCAATTTTACATTTTTCAAGTTGATGATTTTGATCAGCATCTGTACATAATTGAGTCCGATGAGGTGTGATAAGGATTGGGTGGTGGATTGGGAATGAGAACGACTTTGATCCAATCAGCTGCTGTCACAGCACAAGAGGTGGAGTGCTTGATCGCCATCACGTGCCCAAGTTTCATCCTGTGTGAAGCATCATACCATCAGAACGAATTCTACGACAGGGTTTTGCCCATGGTGTCATTTAATTATGATTATTTACCTGATCCGATCACTTTGGGTCGCAAGTATTTGTCCATTTTTTGCCATGGCTGCTTTCCTGAACGCCCTAGCCTAGATTCCAACATATATCTTGGAAACGTTTCAGTCTATAGTTATATGCCTTGGTAACCAATCCAGTTAGATTGGTTAATATGGGATTGCACCAGTGCCCAATCATGCCTAATCGATAAGGGTCTGCTCCTGTAAGCACCCTGGAACGTTTTTTTAAGACCCTGAGCACTGAGTTCAGTGATTAAAAAGCAATCTCTCATGGCCACCATCTTTTTTTAGACCCTGACCACTGACTTCACCAATTGAAAAGCGATTCTCTTATAGCAACCATCAGTTTCCCCTCAGACAAATATACTCCTTTCTGATAAAATTCTTTCTTGATATTCTCCTTGATATACTATGACTGTTAGCCTTTTAAATTCTTTCCTTTATGCTTTGAAATCTTTCCTTTAGTGCTTCCGTACACCTAGGAAACCTTTCAGAAATCTTTCCTTTAGTGCTTCCGCACGCTTAGGAAACCTTTTAAATAAGCTGTTTTGAATTCTATCCCTTATGCTTTGAAATCTTTCCTTTAGTGCTTCCGCACACCTAGGAAACCTTTCAGAAATCTTTCCTTTAGTGCTTCCGCACGCTTAGGAAACCTTTCAAATAAGCCGTTTTGAATTCTTTCCTTTATGCTTCGAAATCTTTCCTTTAGTGCTTCTGCACACCTAGGAAACCTTTCAGAAATCTTTCCTTTAGTGCTTCCGCATGCTTAGGAAACCTTTTAAATAATCTGTCTTGAATTCTTTCCTTTATGCTTCGCAATCTTTCCTTTAGTGCTTCCACACACTTAGGAAACCTTTCAGAAATCTTTCCTTTAGTGCTTCCGCACGCCTAGGAAACCTTTCAGAAATCTTTTCTTTAGTGTTTCTGCATGCTTAGGAAACCTTTCAAATAAGCTGTTTTGAATTCATTCCTTTATGCTTCCTTTGAAATTTTTCCTTTAGTGCTTCCGCACACCTAGGAAACCTTCCAGAAATCTTTCCTTTAGTGCTTCCGCATGCTTAGGAAACCTTTCAAACAAGCTGTTACAAATTCATTCCATCATGTTTCCTCCAAAATCTTTCCTTTAGTGCTTCCGCATGCCTAGGAAACTTTTCAGAAATCTTTCCTTTGGTGCTTCCAGGTGCTTAGGAAACCTCTCAAATAAACTGTCTTGAATTCTTTACTTCATGCTTCCTTTGAAATCTTTCCTCTAGTGCTTCCACATGCTTAGGAAAGCCTGGTTAGGAAGATGTTAATTCCTACAATTACGGTTATGTACTTTTCTTTTCAAAAAATTTGTCAACTTATCCTTCTTTCAGCATCTCAGCACCTTATTAAACATTTTCAAACTCACCTTCAGATCCCTTTCAATAAGGTCAAAGCAAGTACAGCACAACGCGCAGCTGCAACGCATCATGTTGACTATTTTACTAATAGACTGCTCAGTACGAGTACTGTGATACTCCATCACCTGGGGTTGGCTTTGAACCCTACATGCAACTTTCTTTCTCATTGGCACAGATTCGTAACCTCTCTATTACCTGTTGATCCCATGTCCACAAATAAATCCATACCTCTGAGCTCAAAGAATCCATTCTACAAAGTGGTTTAAAATCCCTTTATACCTCCCCATCCTTCAGATTATTTACAGAAAGTTTACCGGGACTCATTAATATTCTATTCTTTGCTGAGAACCATACGTAGCACAATTGAATACACTACAGATCTTAAAACCATCTACCTAAAGACCGGTATTTTTTGCTTATTCTTTTCTTTTCACTGTTCCGGCTTTCCATCATGATCATGTCTGTTTTGTAGTTACAGCGCTTGTGATTTCATGATTTACGCTCCGTTTAGCAAAGTAAAATGTTTGATCAAGGTAATTCATTGAGTACATCCTGTACATCCATCAGTCGGTTGTGTACAAACAACTAATGGGAATACCAGATGGTGTTGTTTTACAATCTATAACTTCACGTTCTCTTTCATAATGATCTAGCAAGCCTCTACAATATGTTCAGTATTCTGATTGCGCCCCCATAACTTTGTACACTAGAACAAATAAATTATAAAAAACAAAAAATGAAGAAGTCATAAGGATAGCATAAGGTCAATAAAAGTGGAGTCATAATCCAAGATGTATTGTGTGAAGTACGGCTAAATTGTGGGAGTATCTATGGAGTAGGAGTACTGATGCCGAGTTTATGTTGTGTTTGATCTTTTCTTCTCTCAGTTGTCTTCCAAATTCTGCGAATATTCGGCCTGGATCATGATGATGATTTAGTATGATAAAATTGTGACCAGCGTTTAAAAACCCGTCTTTGTCCATAGGTAGTCTTGACAGGGCGATGGCGTTTCTTGCAAGCCTCTTGAAAAAGGTCTCGGGTGTAAGCTACTCGACGACAGATGGGACATCGGCCACAAAACTCTATGCCAGCCATTGTTTGAAGCGGCTGTAAGTTGTAACCATCGGTTTCTGCATCAGCTCAAGCTCACTATGAGTCAACAGGCAGCATATCAAATCACCACTTACTTGTAGGCATTCTCTATGAAATGTATGAGTTGTGTGACATGTGAGAATTGCTACCTCGTTTAGTTCAATTTCCTGGTAACAAATAAAGCACTTGAACGCCATGATTTTATGTGTTTAGGGTTTGAAAGTTCGAAAATGGATTTTGATGGTGTATCAAGCGTGATTGTTGGATGTTGAGATCTGACCGTGTACCAATGTGGAAGGAACTGTCTTAACCAAGGGGAGTCAGGCTACTTAAGGGCCTTGACCATCACTCTGGAACACATTTGGATGTAACTTTTCCCTTTCACTGAGTCAAGGGTTATTGTTTTCTATCTCCCCTTCTTGTGCTCGTGGTTCATTTCTTTCTTATTTTTATTGAGGCAAACGAACAAAGAAGCTCCATTGTCTTTGAAGTAGCCATGATCACAATAGGAAAAAAAACTTGTGAGGAAGTCATGCCCACCCTGATGTTAAATATACACAAAGACTTTTGTCAAGGCCAAAGCTATAAGTGAATGGATTTTTCATGAGGCTGACAGACTTACCTTTAAAGGATATTACACAACACCTTGTGTTATTCTTTTGATAAATATGGGAGATGACAAAGTTTTCCTTTGGTTTTCACTTATCATCAAGATAACAGGATAAAAATCGCTGGCTGTTCCGGCTCCAATGGTATGGATTGCAAGCACAGCACACAAGATAGAAAATTGAGTAAGAGCTGATTATGTTATTTTGAAGAGATTCGGAGAATTTGAAGCATGGTTTGACTCCGTGATCAAAGAATCAAAAACACTTCGGTTTATGTAGGTAGTTGGCCTGAAGGTCCTGACACATTCGTCCAAATCTACAGTCCTTGAGTTTTTCATATCATGAAAACCCGTATCACAAAAGTTGTTGTTGACTCGAGATATCTTGGTTTGAAATTTTTAGAAGATGACTCTAGCTTCTAAATCAAAAGCAGATTATTGATATATGATTGACTGATTGGTCTCCAGTTATGAAGAAACCACATAACTGATTGTAGTTATAATCCAGTGCAATATGCACTGAAGAGCTAATGGAATATATCGATTAAGCTTGAAATGTCTCGGATTGAGATGTAGAAATGACTCTATCTTTCCATACCAAGCTCTAAGGTATCCTGGAATACATATTTGATTGGAATAAAGAGTGCCACTACACGTTCAAGCGCGGAAATCAGATTCCCTATGATTGTTAAGAGGGTAAGAAATTTCATTTTAATTTACGCATATATTAACAACAAACAAGTTTCCAATGTGTGTATGACGTAAATCAGAGCAACTTGAAATCCTTGAATCACCGGTGCCTTGAATACATATGCAATAAACATAACAAGCATCGTAATATAGTATCCAAGATGAAAATCATGCGTCCTGACTTCCAAAGCTTGGACTTTGACCTGAAGAATACGAGTCTCTTCTAGCATATTGCTCAAACCAGTAGAAAGGTGCTCGAGTTTGTGCTCTAAGAGAACAGAGAAATTAGCTGTGATTGGCAAATAAGAAGCCAGATTCTACGCACCAATTTGGTGTTGTTGTTCTATCAAATTTTGCAACAGATCGTTATTTTTCTCGGCGCAATTAAGTGCAACTTTGATCTGAGTAACAGCTTGTAGTGTTTTATCTTCAAATAGGTTGATCAAAGATTCAGAAAAGGATATATTAAGATAGAGTCCACTTCAGGAGAACTTACCTATATTTTGATTATCTGGTTGTTTATTTTCGGCTTTGATTGACTCACTGACTTGGTTGGATTGTGACATATCGGATCTGGAAATATTTTATCACGGACTTCATAGAAATGTTAGTGTTCATAAATTTGACCAAGGTATATAATCCAGGTGGATGATTTATAAATAGATGAGTTCTATACATACGATATCAAAGAGATGGCAAAACTTCAGATTGAGAATGAAGTTTGAAAAAACGTGGATGGTCAAGTTTTACTGGTACTTGTATTCATCAATGGAGTTATATTTGAGGGATATGTTCTTTCCGCTCACTTTAATCAATGGGTGGGGAATATGGTGCAGTGACAAAGGAATTGCTTTGTTCATGTCTTATGACGTGATCTTCTTGCATTCCTCTGAAACATTATGTGAATCTTCAAAGGTTCATAGCAGTGTAATTCAAAGAAATATTGTCCGAGAGGGCTTTTTCTTTTTTTGTTTGTTGTTTGATTCAAAATTTCACAATCACGTAAGGAGTTCATTTATCTCAAATGATTATGAAATTAGAGGGGGTCGTATCACTTCTCATGCAATTACTGGATCTTTGAAAAAAAGAAGAAAAAAAGAAAGACAAAAAGGGAGGCACATACGGAGGGTATTGGAAAACAACAAGGGAGAGTTACATACCTTTGAATGTCTTCAGCTTGTTTCATATTCCGATTTGATCATGCAGACTACTTTTGATTCCTCTATTGCTAGAAAGACCTTTGGACAAAGGACCCTGCTCTGAGACAAAATTCCCGCGGCAAGATTATACATCCTTATCCCACATCTTCATATTTCTTCACCTAGAATTCAAAAGTATTGAATGGAGAGCAAACAACAACGATTTCATTGTATCATGTCAATCCAACTTCAAATGTCTTTTGAATCCTTTTGTGTGGTGATTTGTTAAGCTAATTTGTTAATGTGCGATTTCTGCTTTATGACAATCGCTTCTTCTTGTTCTGTTTTGTTGAAACTACTCTTGTCAAAAACTTTCAGATGTTCTTCATGTGCCACTCTATCAATAAATCCCCAACCTCCGTGCTCCTCAGCCACTACTTTTGAATCATCTAGAATCTAAAGTCCACCCAGGGTATCTGTTCTTGCACAGAATCCTTCATACAAGATCAAAATGAAGTCACTGAAAACAGAGCGCTGCCTGAACCGGTTGAAGAGCATACACAATGATGTAACATTGATCAGCAAACGTTGTGGTGAGCTGAACTATTTAATCAATACATGTCTTTTGACTGACTTTATTGTGGCAACTTTTCCGTTCAAGTTACCAAATTTTTTTCTCGAAAGATCAACGATAATCAACAAAATACAGACCAAGAATCAATCACTCCTACGGCCATGCAAGATACAAATCTCCAAAAGCACTCTATCTATAGAACCCTGGAGTCAATAATATCAGGTTAGTACTCAACTAAACTTGGAGTCATTTGTTTTGTCTTTGAACTTTTCTTTGTTCGTCTACTCATATCTACAGTTAGTCAACGTGAATGCCACTCAGAGTGACCAAAACATTCTCAAAAAAAAAAACTCCAGAATCCGTGAATGGTGTTTTTTTAGGTCTGTGAAATCACCTCACCACAGCCCCTTCCTCTAAGACAATTGAAGTTGACTCCATGGTTGATTTAGACCACGAGTTTCCAGAGGGATCCGGATCGGACCAGGAATTGATCAGCACTGTATTGACTTCTACCATCATCCAGGATCCGGATCTCCAAAATCAACCTGTCAATGAGCCAACCATATCAGGTTAGTACTCAATTAAACTGAAAGTCATTTATTTTGGCTTTGATCTTTTTCAATTTTTTCCATCTACTTTAATTTTTAAATCTAAAATCAGGCAATATAGACGCCACAGATAGTGAACAATATCATATTGACCATGAGAATCAAACTTCAGAATTTTTGGCCGGTCTTACCTTAGGTGTGTGACATCACTTCACTGTACAGGCAGTCGCTTCCCTTTGGACAATTGAAGCTAACATCAAGGGATCTTACAGACCACGAGCTACCAGAGCCTGAGGATTATGGATTGGACCAGGAAGTGATGACTAATATTCTGTACATACAATATCTAAATCTCAACAAACGGTGTGCTGAAGAGAATCTAGATGACACTGTTCCAGGTTAGCATGGATATCATCGCTTGTTATACACGATCCAAGCTGAAAAAATGATACATGGGTTTCCCAAATTGGTAGTTCGCAAGAGGGTCAAGATGGAGTCATCAGAGGAACACAATTCAACCAGTTGAGCCATTTTGTTGTTTATTTCAAGCTCAAAATAATGGCTTACACTGAATCACTCCAATAACTCACAGACTATTTTTTGGGGTTGGGTGAAAAATACGAGAATGCCAGCTCTTCTTCAATGTCAATTGATAGCAAACCGCTTCATATTTGCGAGTGCAGGTACAAAAATGTCAATAAAATTTTGGTAGACTATCATTTTCGCATCATAGTTGATATATTTGGTTTGTCGCTTTCAAACCATACACTTATGCTTGATTTGAGTAAGGTCTCACAAGTAGCTTTGATTTAATTGATCCTAGGTTTGGAGGCGAATGAACAAACCCCTCCATCACAATACTCTGAAGCTTCAAACATCTTGTGGAAGGCAATTGCTCAACTGATGGAAATCTTTGAGGAAGAACCACATCTTCCACCGTGTTTCTTGGCTGAGCAAAGCCCAAAGTTGATATGATTGTCACTTACGCTTGATTGGATCAACAGCGCACAAGCAGCTTTGATTACAATCATAGGCTTGGATGTCAATCAAAGAACCCCTACGCCACAATACTTTAAAGCATCAAATATCTTGTGCAGTACAATTGCTCAATTGATTGGAATTTCAGGCAAATAGCCACATCTTATATCATATTTCTGGCTTGAACAAATTTTATATTTGATACTTTTCTCCTCCTTATTTTTGTGTATAGTTTTTGACTTCATGTGAAATTGTTCAAATTTACTTCCAGCTTTAGTCGTATGAGAAAGAAATTCGACGAAAGACACACACTCAAGCGGTTTCTACTCTTGACTACATATATAGCATACCTGCCATTCCCTACACTCCGGGTTGCTGAAGAGGAACCTATAATTTGGAATGAGATTCATAAACCTTATGACCTCATCTCTCTAAATCATACTAATTGACAAAACAAAGTGGTCCAGAGAAACAACTTGTTTATTTGTTTGTAACATTCAAGCTATTTGCTCCAAGAGGTAGATCCCATGGTGTAATTCGATCAGTGATGACTAACAAGGCAAAAGAGTCAAATTGAACGTTCTTTGAACTGGAAGTGCTCAACAACAAAAATGATTTCACATTACCCCAACAGATTGAGGGTCAAGACAGTAAAGAGTTAATATCAGTCCGAAGGCATGAACAGTGTCAAAGTCCCACTTAGAAATCAACTTTGGGTTTCATCATCTAATCATAGATATCAAAATTATCATCTTCTTCCCTATGCAAAGTTTTAGTCACCCGCCCGCCTTCCCAAAGTTGTTTCTAGAATACTGGTTTCAAAGTTTTTTTTACCTTCATAGTTTTTTATTTATATTTTATAATTCTTATTTTCTGATTAAGCGTTAAATTTAATGTAAGGATTTTTGATTTTTTTTCTCTAATTCTTTTTATTTTTATGTAAATTTTTGTATAATTTGAGTTAATGAGTTTCTAAATGATGTAGGTCAAGATTAGATTGGTTGTTTGATTTGAATAGAGAAAGGATATACTAGGGGGGCAATTTTTTTACAACAGTTGTTCATTTGAAGATAAAAGATAAGAGAACCTCAGCACGTTGACCTCCCTCCCAGACCGTGTCTCTCAGCATGATATCATGTTTAGTTTCAGGTCCCAATTTCATCATCATCTGTTTCTTTTCTGTTACCAGCACCACTGAGGTTAGTTTCTAGATTTCACGTTTGCACTTATCAGTTTCAGTTGTCAAATCTAATATCAATCATTCAGCCACCGCGATGATCACGTGGTGGTAGGGAGAAAACTCAAGAAAACTAGACACAGTGCAAGAAATCAATGTACATTGAATGGAAAAGTAAAAAAGATATATACATAAAAAAGGGAGAAAACTAAAAAAACTAGACACAGTTCAAGAAACCTATGTAGTTCAAGAAACCTATGTACGTTGAATGGAAAAGTGAAAAAGATATATACACAAAAAATTGAAACCCGCCAATAATATCTATAGTCATGTACATCTGATTACTGGAGCTTCTTTGCCTTCTTCACTAAGGCGTGTAGTTCAAAAGATTTGCTTGACAGATTAAGTTCCTTTTGCTCAGCCTTGGTGATGATGTTTTTGAGATAGGATTGGCTTATCAGAGATTTTGGAAACTTCTTAGGAGGATAAGATGACTTCTTTTCGTGGTTTCCCATTTCCCGACGTGGGCCACGAGATAGTGCCTTTTCAGCGAAAGCGCGACGTTCAAGATGTATCAACGGACTCAGCGCATCAAGCTCATCGATGAAGGCAGTGAAGGCAGAAGACCTCCAAGGTAATTTCTTCCGATATATTTGTCCAGAGTCGTCCACTTCGTCTTCTGAATGGACTGAAAGTTCAGTTATCAAGCGACACTGCCAGCATTAAAGAGGTTCCCAGATGGGAATACAGGTCCTAGTGATCAGATTCCCATTCTGCTACTGTTACACAGTTCCATGAATATTTCCTGAGTAGCCATTGTGATATATGTAGTCAATATTTTGAAATGTGCGTCTCAATCTGAACAAAGTTACAGCATGTATTACACATGATTTTCTTATCTAGATGAGCAGATAACTGAGCGGACCTGTATGTAGCTGATAGCTAAGGATTTACTCAGATGTTTGCACATATGTAGTGTATGCTTTATGGCTCAGATGTGCAGTGCAAGATGATTTGATTCTCCATTCTTCTCTCAATGATATTCCCAGCCTAGGTCATGTTCCAACCAGGGAACCTATTTAATGCTGGCAGTGCGATGCAGATCCCGCGTCTTGGAAAAGTGCCTTGCCATGACTGCAGTTCGAAGGTCACGAACCTGACACACGGACAAAACCCAAACCTCAGCCCCCGTGAGTTCTGGAGTGTGTGGATCAGCAGAGGATGTAAGAAGTAGATGAGTGACTAACCCGCTCTCGCGATCTTTTTCGATCAGCTTTTTCCTTCAAAAGCATCTTTTTCGCATCCCGTGCACGTTTGAGATTCGGGTCCACCTCGAGCTGTGCTTCTGTTCGGATATGTGATGTGTATTGGCGTTTCTTGTTTTCAAACCAGCGTTGGAGGATGAGTAACACATTTTCTGCTGTAACATGATCTGATTTTATTGTATAGCGTGAAGTCCCACCACGGTCATAACATTTCTGCCATTCTTGAGCAATGACCACAAACAGAGCTTCATTCCAAGCAGAGTTGAAGTGACCCCCCCAGTCAGGCGCACATCGCTTGAACCCAGACATAGCCAATGCAGCTTCACAAGAGGCGCCCTCTCGGATTGAATATTTAACACCAGGATCTTTACGATTGATACGCGAGATGAATTTAGCAGGTTTAATCACAGAAATAGCTTTTTCAGCTGCATCTTTGCGGACAAGTGCCATTTCCTTTTCACCGGCGTTTGGCTTACTACGATCATAGCGCTTGGCAACTCGCTCAATGTATTTGTCGATCAGAGCTCGTCTATCTGTTCTTCGCCGGTCCCAAGCGTCGAATTCAGCCTTGGTCGGGGCAGTAGGGAAATCGTCGTTCTCTGAGTCGTTCGAATTTTTGCGTCTAATTCCAAGTAAAAGTTTCACAAAATCCTGAATTGCAATGCTGATCGCCTCATATTGGTCAGGGACATCAGGTGCCATGGCAAGCTTCTCCAAGTTAGAGTCTTCATGTCGTTGCTTGGTTTGCTTGGTTTTTTTGGCCCGACGTGCAGCACGCTTGTTCTTGAACTTGATCTTATCTGATGGATCTAGATCGTCATCCAAAGCCTCTGAATCCAAACGCTCTGAATCTGAATCCTCCAAATCCGAATCCGAATCCGGATCATTTGAATCAACACCCTGATCTGAGTGTGAATCCGAGTCTGGTTCCGAGTGTGGGTCCGAGTCTGACCCTGAGTGTGAGTCTGAGTGTTGGTCTAAGTGTTGATCCGAGGGCAATGAACTGGATCCCAAGGTGACAGAATTGAGATTTGATTCTGAATCCGACTGTTTGAAAGCAGCTGAGAAAAAGAAACTGGATGAATGAAGAGCTTTGCATAGGATGTAACAATGATTTGACAAAAAAACCCACCCGAAGAAGGAGATATATCCATTGGTGAGGGGACCCATGAATCCCGAGTGCTTGAGCCCCGCAATATATGTTTCATACGTTTCTTGGATTGATATTCATGTGATGCTGTCAAGGGTGGTCTGGTTTGGCGATGCGATGTGATCTTCTTGCTTCCAGTTTGCCGAGAGCTTATAATATCTGTGATGGGGAGTTGGGATGGCCGACTCACTGAAGGGATGTGTATATAAGGTGGTAGATTGTTAATAAAGACGATATTCTAGGACTAGAATTTGAAGAATTTGGTCTTGATCCAGCTACACAACTGACCTGATGAGGGAGATATGTCCATCATGGAAGAATGATCCATTGTCAAAGGGGCAGGTGGAAATGGACCTCTTGAGGGCCCGGCAATAGGTGTTCTACGCTCTGATGATTTGTGAGAACTTAAAGGGGGTTCTGCTGGTGTAGTCTGGTGATAGGATGCCTCTCTTGAAGACCTAGGACAAGATAAGTCTATTGGCGCAGGAGCAGCGGGATAAGAGGATCTGGAAGTTCCAAGAAATGGTTCTCTACGTTCCGAAATAGTTGGTCTGAACACTTGTCTGGACTGGCGATTTGATATAGTCCTATTTCCTTCCGTGTCAAAAAGCCGTGATGGTACTTTTAGGTGAGAGATAGGGGTGGTCGATGATGTAAGCTGTATTTCATCCTCACTACGAAAGAGCTGTGGTAGCTGGTTTGATGAACCAACTGGAGTGGGTGACAGTGATGAAATATTCTTGCTGTCGGAGTGGTGGAAGCCAGATGGAATAGGTGGAGCTTTTGAAAGGATCATAGTACGAAGACTCGTACTCCGGTCATGATCTTTGGGTGTTGGATACCTGTCTCCTACATATTGGAAGTTGCACATTAACGACAGTACTTTGTAAAGAGGACAAAAAAGGATTACCAAGGCTTGGGTCCTTCCAAGTACGACTTTGTGCCTCTCTCAAACCTTTTCTGGCTTGGGAAAAACGAACCGAACTATGATTTTCTGAAATCAAGTCGGATGTGTAAGCAGTCAAAGGCATGAAGAAATTGTGAAACGTATGAAAGGTACATGTAACTCACCTGGAGTACCCGTGAAGTGTGGGGGATCCTGAGGTTTATGCTGCCTAGTATCAACAAAGGATTGGAGTGATTCGGCTTGTTGGGTAGAGTGTTGATTGAGCGCTGATGAATTATAGCGTTTTTGATAGGGTACCGGAGATTCAAAAGATTGACAAGAACACTGTGGTGAATGCAAGCGCCTCAAGGATAAGTGGTCTCTTGGGGACCGGGATCGTCGGCGCTTCAAATTTTGGACTGGAACAAAGTCCCATTTTCCTGAAAGTTTCCTGTCAGTTCCAATACGCCTATCAAGGCATAGTCTGCAGTTTTTTATGATGAGCCGATGCTTACCCTCCGAGTGGACCAAACCAGGATTTGATGGTGTCTGGAGGTGATTATGATGAACACTTGAATTGGCATGCGTGACAGGTTGGGCGAAAATGGTACCTTCTGATTCGCTTATAGGACCTAGGAAACAAAACGTGTGATCAGGAACTGGAGGAGTACAGTATGAAATCGTAAGGTAATAAAAGGAAAATTTACTGGAGGCTTCTCCATTAACTGAGTCCAAATCACTATTCAAACTTTGATCTTGCACCTTCCCTAAGTTCATATTCTCGTATAGCTGGGATGGTCCTTGTGACAAAGTATTGATTGGTGCTTTGAGCTCCGGAACCTGCCGAGCCTGACTCAACATTTCAGGAGGCTGATTCGTTTCCGTATTGTGCATATGGTTAGTCGGTTGGTGATGAGTATTGACAATGTCTTGGTGGGTAGGGGCGGCTAGCTGCAGCACTGAGCTAGTGTCATCAATAGCTGAAAGCTTCCAGACTACATCTCCGCCTGGTACCATCTCAGAAGCACGCCTCTTTTCATTGCGTCGATTTCCTAGAGGTAAGAGGGAAGATCAACTCTCCAGAAACGGGCAACACAGGGTATGTATGACATACCAAGATCAGTTAATGGGTAAGGCTGAGACCTTGGTGCTGCCCTCCCCAAATTTGTCACTCGATTCCTCCCTGAATCAAGATTGGTATAAAAGATGGATTGTTTCATGAGGTGTTACACCCAAGTCTTATGAGAAATTCAGGACATACGTGGTTGCTGCTCATACGCTTCAGTGGAATCAGCAGGGCCTTGACGATGACTGTAACGAGTGAAGCTCTTCGAAGGCTTTTGAGCCTGAACGTCTTCCAAGCTGGAGCCACTCTCAATGAGAGAGTCTGGTGGTAGAGAGGGATATTTATTACGAATTTTAATAAACACAAAGATCAGCTATTGATTGCGGCAAAACTGAAATCAGTCCAAGAAAACAAATCACACACACCATGGTGTGTCATATCCATTCCAGCTAGAGGTGGCTCGTCCATGATCATATCCTCCTCCATAATCGTATCACCAGCATCATTAATATGTGCAGTTTCATTCATATCTTCAGGGGACTTGAAGTTCTCATCCATCTCAAAATCATACATATCATCTAGTTCTTCAAGACTGCGCAGACCTCCCGGAAGTGCTTTGGGAAAATCAAAACATATAGGACAGTAAGCTACATGTTTTTGACCACCGATGTTTTTAACCAACAATGAATGAAGTGAATTGTATACATACTTGAATGAGCTGCGAGTCCAGGAGTTTGTATATTTCCTTCGTCTCCATCAGATTCCTCACAAGTGGAAAAATGTGTGGACGAGTTCGAATGGGTTGAGGAATGAGGCATGAACAATTTGAGACTAGGGAAATGGTTCCAAGAATTTTCTGTTTGATAATTCTGAAGGATGTGTATTCAGACAACTACGCTATGAAGAACTAAGATGCACTGAACATCAAAAGACTGGTCAGACAAGAATCAAACGCAGATGCAAGTAACTAGGAGCAGATCAGGATAAGAATATATAATCAGAAGAGCTGGTCAACTTAACATAGAGGTTTTGTCTGATAGATTATATGATTTTTGAAGTGGTAGAGCCATTACCCATTATTTGGGCGACTCTACTTCCCTGTCAAAGGGCACAGAGATAGTCAGTTAATGTGTTCACCTCATAGGACGCTTCATACGGTCCATCTAGAAGATTACCATAAAACAAGGGCGGACCTGCTCTCATGCCCGCGGAGAACTCAGATGAGCCAAAGATTCTACAGTACAGTACAAACTTAGATTTTGTGTAGGTCTCAACTTTGAAGTACCTGCAGCCCCCTTACATACAAGAGAGTACCACCACCACGGGTTCCCACGGCGAGTCAATGTCACATAAACTCTTGACGGCGAGAAGGAAATTACCTTTGTTGAACAGTGAAACAAAGACTGCTCTTACCCTCTTGATACCACGATACTTTTTTCTAAAGAGAGTAAGTTGTAACAGCCAGCACAGTGTTTACATTTATCCAAAGGCACGTAAATTTTCAATGGTGAGAAGAAAATTACCTTTATCAAACAACTGTGACAAAGACTGCTCTTGCTTGAAAGCGAGAGAGTTTTTGGTATAGATAGTCAAGAGCAGGAAGAGTACTGAAATTTTGGTAACACAGGCCTCCGAGGCAAGTGTTGCCTTTATTGAACAGATGGAACAAAGACCACCTTTACCTTCTTGATACCAAGGCAGTTTTTAGTAATGATAGTAGGATATTCAAATCAACAGAGTCCTGGTCATGATAGTAAGATCGGGCAGAGTCTCAAAATCATTAACATTGTCTCTTCATATAAAATCACACTTGATATCTCTTGAATCTCTTTCATCCTTCTTAGTCACTATCAATATCCTATCTGAAATGTTACTTCCAAAGCCCTTCATAGACGGATTACATTTAATTGTGATTGATTCTTTGAAAGAATCTTTGATCAACACCATCAATCAAGACTCCCTCCTGGTGGCCTTTGCCCATATCGAGCCCCGTATCTGCTCCTTGGCTAAAGCTCCAATCATATCACCGAAACTGGATTCCTTTATTGTAGACCTGCGTCACGAATGTTTGAACTTGGTGGACCAGAAACTACGTGCGGTTCTGGACAGCTTTCATCCAGATCAAGACTCGACTCCTTCAACACCAGTTGACACTCAAATAACTTCTTTGAACTCAAAGAAGAGGCGATTTTCTGATTACGCAAGTATATGTATATAGGATTCTTTGTGACTAATTGCCACTCAAGGCCAAATCAATACTAAATTCACTCTCTTCCTCGAAAAATCTATTTCTGACAAATCAGGCTCTGGACATGAAGATATTTCAAGCAAGGAAGACACTGTGTTATCTTTGAACCAGTCTCCTGCTTCATCAATTCAATGTGTACACGAAATGGACTTGGTAGAAGAACATATCATAAGTGAACACGGCTCTTATGGTTCAATGTCTTCAAGCTCCTCTCAAATCCAATCTGTATACAAATCAGACTCGGTAGAGGAAGACACTACAAGCCAAAGTGAACAGGACTCTTATCATACTTCATTGCGGCCGAGCTTCTCTCCCAATCAATCTGTATACGAATCAGACTCGGTAGAGGAAGATACTACGAGTCAAAGTGAACATGACGCTTATATATCATTGTCTTCAAGCTCCTCTCCCAATCAATCTGTATACGAATCGGACTTGGTGGATGAAGATACTACAAATAACAGCGAAGATGACTCTTATATCTCATTATCTTCGACCTTCTCTCCTGCTTCATCAAACCAATCTGTGTATGGATCATACTCGGTGCTAGACGAAGATGTCACAAATTCAAGTGATCAAGAATCTTATACCTCATGGTCTTCTGACTCCTCTGCTTCTTCATCAAATCAATTGGCATACCATTCGGGATCAGTAGATCAAGGCACCACCAGTGAAGATGACTCTTACACCTCAGTCTCTTCGAAATATGAATCAGGCTCAGTATATCAAGATATCCCCAGTGAAGAGGGACCATTTACGCCTTCATCATCAATCTCATCTTCTGTCTTCAATTCTTCTCCTTCTGTGCCAAGCCGAAGCCAAAGCCAATATGTGTACAGATCAGTTCATGTAGACTTTAACACTTAAGAGGATCCTACTGCAATTGTTTTTTCAAACTCATTTTATTTATCTTGATTAACCATACTTGTTCACGTTTCATATCTTGCTACTATACATCTACAAACCTTGTATCATATGTCATGCCATACTCCACACCCCAGAAAAGCCTCTTGTATTCCTTCATGTAAGTATGTTATGTCTCAATACTTGATACATAGTTTGTGAAGTACTTCCTGTCACACTCGGTTTTTGTTATTAAAACGTACTAGAGAGACAGAAATGCTAGTTTATTGTGTTCTTTTCCGCTTATTCTGAAAGAAATATGATAGTACGTATGACTCAAAAAGAATACATGGTTTTTTTATCCATGGACATTTGATATTAGCTCAAAAAGCAAAACAAGAGAGGATAAGAGTTATGTGAAACGTAGATCTGATTTTGCTTTATCATCAAAAAAACAAAACAAGGGTGTACGCTCAAAGCAGTCAAGCTGTTTAATACTCATGTTTATTGATTAAGTGGAAACAGGTTGAAACGGGAATATGTTCCTTCTAATCAATTAAATTGGCTTTTGGGAGTATTATAAAGTTCTAAATAATTCTGTAAATCTACAATAGGTACCTTGGGCTTCCCGCTCTCTACATTGTCTCTTGAGACACTTTTCTTTTTAAGAAGTGTGCTATACAGTAATGGATAAAGAATAAGAAAACAACTGAATTACCATGTTGAATAACTGGAAAATGGCCAAGATGTCTCAGTTGGAGCTAGACCACATGCGTGAAGTTGAAGAGAAGTGGGTAGATGCAGATCAGATTCCGTGTTATCTTCTACTTACATGCAATTCAATTAATCTCTGTAGAGCACTGGATTTCTTTCTTTGAACTTTGAAGAAATGATGAAGTGTAAATATGTTTGAAAGATATGCTTATATATGTAGTTAAAGGATGTTTTATAGCATGTCTTGATTTACATACTTGTATTTCTGCACATTTCAAAACTTCAATCCATGTACATGATGGTTTTGACAAAGAGGGTCAGAGTTTTCTATATGCTCTCACCCCTAGATGAGTTGTATCTAGATCCCCCTTGAGATTTGCTTCTGTGGCATTCTGGATCTTGGTTCTAGAAATAGTGCATGGTTTGTTAGAGATCATTTTTTGTTGGTTTATTGGAATTTCCTTGGGATTGATGATTATGAGTGATCAGATCACTTCAAAATGAAAAAATTGAAGATTCAGAGATTTGATTGTATCAATATTGACTTGCCCATGAGACATACCCGTTTATATATCTAGAAACTCCAAAAAATGGATCTTCAAAATACTAGTTTTCATAAAATCAGACATGCATCTAAAAAGCTGATTATGTATTACCATGGGATTAACCTTCCAGCTCATAGAATTCGCCCTATTTCTGACAATGATTTGATCTGTGAAAGAACCCGGGATGTGTCTAGAAAGGTATGATCACTTAAGACTATCAGAATCAAGAGTGTGTTTTTTGTGCTGCCTGACTGTGACAAATCAACTCGTTGTTTGTATTATACGATTCCGGCTTGTGATGTGAGATGAATATTTTGCTTCCCAAGGTATTAGCATCATCATCTATGAATCACTACTCTTGACAAAGAAAATTGAGAGAAAATATAAACAAGACAAGAGATGCATATACAACATATGAATATGGGACAGAATGAATCACAACAAATGAAAGTATGAGATATATACACTATGTATATACACGCATGATGACATGTAGTAGAACAAAAAATGAAACATATAATGTCAATTAAATCAAAAGATACCAAGATCAATCTCAATTAAAAAACAAAGCACAGGAAGAAATCAACTAAGATTCATCTTGGCAGGTGAAGCAGGTTATGTTGGATCACATGTATGTAATGATTTTATGTACAAGAAATATCAAATCATTGCAATTGGTAATTGATCAAATTCTTCTTTATCTTCAATTTTAAAAAGTCAAATTTCATGTAAAGAACACTTTAAGTTGTTGAGATTTCATCAAATTACTTTAATAAATCAAACTTCATGATTAAATTTATTGGAATCTTATAGAAATAAATCAATTCCTAGAATGATAATAAAAATCACAATTAAAACCATGTAAATTCCAATCAAAATATTATAGTTCAAAGTTGCAATCAGTTTCAAATTCATATTTGGGACTTGAAAATTATGATCAAACTAATGTGATTGGAACAGAAACATCAATAGATTTACTGAAATTCCAATCATTCCAATCTAGAATCTTTGCATCTACTTCTGCTCTTTATGGTAAAGGTCCAATCCTCAAGTTTTCAGACAATCTGACTGTTTAAGTGAACCAATAAGGGTTATGTTGCATTATGGTTATAGTAAATTAAGGTGTACAGAAATAGTTCATTTTGCTACTCTTGGACAATTAAAACTCAAAGGTGGGAATTTGAGGCAAGAATCATTCTCTCTGATTGAAAAACTTGGACTTGTGGTGTTCAATTTACTTTGGTATTTAACATAGCATATACTGCGATCCAAGTGGGGATGATCCAGGCGGAGTAATTGGAGATTCACCAAAACAACCTGAAAACTTGATAAGTACATAGTGTCTAAGTATGCATACATAACATGTACTGTCAATCTACATGTGTAATGTCTTAACCCATTTGAACTATATATGTAAGCGCTATTTATGAGAATATGTACAGAAGAAAAGTAATGGAGACAAACAAGAAGAGAGAGATAGCTTTGCAGAATATCAAATACCATAATACGCCCCATAAGGCTGTGCCACATGTGTTTCAAACATAACAAGCAGTTTTGCTTTCAAAGTACGACATATGATTTGTTTGTCTGGTTTAAAGTGCCAGATGAGTTGCCGGAGGTTGTAAGAAGTGAGTGATTGGATGTTGAAGTCAGGATTGAGATATATACGAAGATTTGGAGGCAAGTTATCTATTTTTTTCCAAAAGATGGGATCATCGTTTACTGATGGTAGTGGTGCCCTATTGGGTTGAGGCTGTTGTATATTTCTTGCTCCGCGCCTTTGTGGGTTTGTTGGTCTTTGTGGATTTCCAGATTGAGCACGTCTTCGAGCAACTTTTCTTCTAGGCCGCAGTGTGATTGTAGTGGTGTTCATATGTAGTCGAAGAGACATGACAAGGGTATAGTATGTACGAAGTGGTCTCTGTACACTGTGATTTCCCATCAAAATCAACCAACAATTCATTCAGCTCCAACAAAGATTGAAGTAGAGTTAGTAGTGATACTCTGCACTGACCGTTGAAAGCCTTGACCTGTCCTTTAGATGAGTATATCAAGGAAATACAGATGGAAAGACGTCGTAGGGTTTATCTATGAACTTCCAAGTTAGAAGTGTGTGAGGTGGAGAAAAAAAACCCTAAAAATATAAACAAGCAGTCAATGGAAAAAGTTGAGAAAATAAGAAACAAGCAGTAGGGTGGATGTTGAAACTGACAGATATGCAGTAAAAGTGACGGCTTGATTGATGATATGGCAGAATTGAAATCCGCCAAGCAGTTGATGGAGAAAGTGGAGAACAAAAAAACCGAGCAGTAGGGTGACAAGAAAGCAACACTGAAATGTAGTAAAAGTAAAGGCTTGATCAACAAGATGTTGGAATCGAAATTACACAAGAAAAGTAAATGCTTGATCGACAAGCTGACAGATCTGAAATTAGACAAACAGTTGATCGAGAAAGTTGAGAAAAGTAAAAATGAGCAATAGTAAAACACGGCGAAATTAAAGGCTTGATCAACAAGATGGTAGAATTGAATGATTGGCTCTGAAGACATTTATAGCCAAATGGAAGGACAGTTAACCCATCAGTAAAACTACGCACATCAATGTATGGCTGTAACACAAAAGCAAGATCAAGCTGGAACATCACTCGAGGACCGCGGCAAAAAATAGACTGTGACCAGGTGGGGAGAGCAAAGGATGGAAGATTATGTTGTAATCTGGTGGGTTCCTTCAATAATTATTCCATGTCCACCAAAAATTACTTCGTTCAATTACATCATAAGTACAAACAACATGAGATTAGAATGAAAGATAAAGGACCTGGGTCATGATCGAAAAAGTGCCAAGAAAGTTTCAGGTCAGAGATCTACATTTATGGCTCCAAGGGGAGCAGGATCGAATTTTGAAAAGGAGTTCCTTCTGAATAATCAAAGGGTATTCAACCTTGAAGCGATCCAGCAAGTTGATTTTTTTTCTTCAATCAAATTTTGTGTGTTTTACTGTGTCTCAATCCGCCTTTTATCTCTCCAGCATCTCAAACTTCTTCATACCACATACCTATCATCACCCTACTTTCAATCAGATCATCTTGAGTCAAGAGGCCAACTGATACAACCTTTATCCTCAATCATTTCACACCTTTTGGAAATGCGTGTTTTACTCTTTCCTCCTGCATTGTCTCTGCTCTTCTCGCATTTTTATCTCTTGTTCTTTTCTAAACAACAAACATGCCTGAACAATCATTACTTGCTATGAAGATACTCCTTATATACACGGCCCACAATAGTTTATCTCAACACTTATCTCTTGTACTTCAAGAGAAGGGTCATCATGTCACCGTTGAAATTGCTATATTGCCACAACTCAATTCAAGCTTCCGAGCTAGCCGCTGTAAGTAGAAATGTTCTGTTTTTGTCTTCTGTCAACTTGGTATTGGACCTTTACCTTTGGTAATGACTTTTTTGCGTGCTATGTCCTATTCAGCCTGACTTGATGGAAAAGGTACCGGCTGAGATCTACGATGAATATCTTACCTTGATTTTTCATGCGAGTTCTGCCCCACGTTTGTTGATCATGATTCTTAGATCGGATTTCCAAGTATCACCACTTCCAGTCTCTATGCACTGACTTCCACTTTTGTTCATAATCTCAGCCGGGCCCTCCTGGTGATGCTGAGCCTTCTGCGATTGACTGGGTACTTTTAGCAGATGACGGTGTTGAGCCTGATGCTGTCAAAGCCTTGGCTCAAAGTCCTGAGAACACCTATGTAGAAAGTGGCCAAGATCAATCCCACTGGGGCATGACTGTCCTTAAGATTTTAGGATGATTATTAGGTTATTTTAAATTGAAGCAAAGGAGAAGAAGATCGCCAGCCCGTATGACTATAAGTTTGTGTATTGTGAGTTTCAGCTCAGATACACAATAAGATACCTGAAGCAAGGAAGCTTCAAAAGGGTTGAGCACTTGCCCTATAATTCTCGTAAGCCGCCAAAGTATGATATGTTGGAGGCTGGAGCAGAGTTCACCTGCGGTGATGAACATGATTGATTTGGGATCCTATATCACCGCAATAGGTTAAAGGGATTATGAGAATTGATCTGAGATTCATAGGGGTGTACTCTCACTTACACAGCTAGTCCGACTATAGATCATATCAATGTCTATCAATGATTACAATGGCTTTATCAAGTACAAAGGGCAGTTGTCTTCCTTTATGATCGGGCTACTTAAATCTGAAATACTTCCTGCTCTACAGTATCTTTCCTGACTGCCCTTTCCTTCTTTAAACTCTCGATTGTATCTTCCATACTTTAGAGATCTTGTTACTCTCTTTCACGCTGCAAAAGAATGTCCTTGCAAGATACGCCTTCCTCCCGGAAATCAATGCTCACCAAATCACACAGACTCTTGAAACCGGGATTACTCGAAAACACAACCAGCAAAAAATCAAGGCCTCTTGAAGACTCTGAATTAGATACCTGGAACAATGATCAGCAGGATTTCTCGGCAGCAGCTTTTCCAAAACCGGGTACGACCTGTTCAGACACTGTAATTGGATAAAATAGATTGCCAGTGTATGATATTGATAAAAATTGCCTCCATGACAGTGACTGGATTTATCTGTGAACCTTACCGACAGGGCCTGGAATACTTGAAGCAGAGACTCAACGAACTATCAAATTTGATGCCGATGACTACCGCTTTAAATTCAGCCTTCAATACATTGACCATTGAAATATCAAGAGAGCTTTCTGGTAAGTCTGATCATTTAATTTTAAATATCACGACATTCTGTTCATCGACATGTTGTCTTAAAGAAATAGAAGCTGGAACATTCAAGGATAGTTTTGGCCATGGAGTACACACCCAGACCCCTTGGTTTCAGCCCCAAGACAGCACCACATCGTTTTCTACTTCCTTGTGTTCTGAACCCTCCTCTTCACAGAAACGCAGATGTGATTACTCTCGACATACCCCCGCGTGCCCTACGGTCAGTCTCAAGAAGCGGAAGAAGGTCGCAGGGGAAACACCATACTACCATCATCAGCCTCCCCAGCGTTTCATGCCCTCCAGGCCATTTTCTATGATAACAAGAGACTCCCAAACATCAATGAAAGACTTTGAACCTACTGTCGGACCCAGTCTCCGAAGCTTTGGTCTCGAAAGCAAGTCTCCAACAAGTTTCATCCTTCCGATCACATCATTTCCTATCTCCACCTTCCCAGATCCATTGATTACAACAGAGGTATCCACAGCTGTATCTAGATTCAAAGACCTGTCAGCTCACACAAACACCGATGATTCCTCAATTGATTTGACAAAGAATAACATGGCGACTTTCAATTGAATTAGCAAGAACAATAGAGATAGAAAGATTATAAATGAAGGAAATTCAAAACTAATGAAGTAACACACACAAACGACATCTTTTTTTCTTCTTTTGTCTTACATCAAATTACCATATCTCCACATACTGAATTTCCACTGCCACTTTAAGCTACAAAACAAGAAATTGTAAAAGCAATCAATACTCAAAAGACAAAGTAGATGCACACTAACAAAGTGGATTTTTTGATGACTTATTGACTACTGAATTCATAGATTGCACTTCTTGAAATAAAAAATTAGTAGCCTATGGAATATAAACAGGAGAAGCTAAAAAGGAAAAAAAACCCGGAAAGGACAAGTTCAGCAAGATGGTTTTCTGTTGGTAGATTTCTTGGAAAGAAAATTGGAAATCCAGAGTTGAACTTTCTTCTGCCAATATCATTACGCTCGTAGAATTATGGTTTGCAAGGAGACACTTAAACTGATCCATGTGAATGAGGACTAGAAGATTCATTGGCTTGAATCCGTCATCAAAGAATCAAAGGCACTTTTGGTTTATGTATGTATATGTGTGAATAATTGTACGTAGTCCTAACACATTGAATTTGTCGTCCAAATCTAGCGGTCCTTGGGATTCATAAAAAACCTGTAACATAAAGCTTTTTGTGACACAGTATATCTCAAAGTGAATTTTTTAGAAGATGACTATGGTTTTTAAACCAATCTAAACCAAAAGCAGATTGTTGACCCTGTCAGCAAACAAGCTTTTGCATAAAATGGCTGACATTTAAATATCATTGCACTTTCTTCAAAAAGCACAGGATTGGCATGATTTTCATTGCATTGATACAATTACCTATATTCATTTGTTTCACATCAATTGAAAAACTCCCAAAACAGTTTCTTACATTCCTCTATTTCATATCCAAAACTCCTGTTTATCTGACTGGTAGTTGTTGACTTTGTGTCTTTGTCCTTTTCAAACTCATTTATTTTTTGACTTTTCTTCCATCAGGCTTTTGTTGGTTGATGACTTGATCAAGGATTTTGTAGATAACACATAATTCCAAACCTTGAAAAATGACTTGAAGCAAGAAAATCAAATTTCCTTAATAAATCAACTGAATGTAATTTATATACCAGTAAATCATATTGAAGACTTTATCATGAAGGGTCCATTCAATTGTGAGGGATACTGCTTCATTTGTTTCCTTTTCTCCCATCTAAGTGTGATGATAGGATGACAAATAAATTGATTAATTATTCCCCTGTCTCAAATGTTTTCCAGACAGCGTAAAGCATTCTCTCCGGCAAATATTTCAAATGGTGAGTTATATTGAGCTCATATATGCACCTATATCCTTTCCTGCATGGATGTTTTGAATTATTGTAGCTCAAAATTTGTTGGGATTAATTCAGGATCATTTGACTAACCTCTCTGTGTGATCCTCACAGATATCTTCATAGTAAAACCTATCAAGCTGAAGAGCACATTTCTGCATCTTGAGCTTTTACTTTGTTATATGTTGTCTCTTCAAAAACAAGAAAAACAAGAGAGAGGAGTTCCAATTACCAACCTCACCTAGTATCCTGAATCTATAGGTTTAGAAGTACTTGTTATATACTGAAGAAAGGCTTATCTCTCCACAATCAACCCCACCTTCATTGAGGTTAAATCCTGATCAGACAACAAATGATTAATTACCAAAAGGAATCAATTACCTTACATCTTAGTAACAGGTGCAACAGGTTATGCATCACATGGAATACTTGAACTTCAATGTGCAAAAAATTGAATCATTCCAATTGATAATCTATCAAATTCTTCTTACTTTTGAAGTTCAAAAATCAAATATTTATGCACAGGATATTGTAGTTCATTAAGATTTTATCAAATTGATATAAGAGGTCAAATTTCACTATTCAATGTATCAAAATTCCATGGAAAAAAAGTCAATTCCAACCAATGATATCACCATAATAATATTTTGAACACTAATCGCAATGTTACACATCAAAGTCTAACTCAATGTGTTATACATTGTACTGCATTAAAATGGGGTCCAACTTCACTTCTAGAACCTGAAATCACATTGAGACCCTGAAACTCTCAAGGTAACATGATTGCAACATATACATCAATGAATATAATGAAATGACACCCCCTCCATTTTGAATCTTTTCAACTTCTGCTGTTGTTTATAGTAAAAGATTAAATTGTCAATTTTGAATAGAACATGACTGTTTAATTGATACAATTGCAGGAGCTGATGAAGAAACCCATGAAGGGGTTATGTTCCCTTATGGTCAAAGTAAATTACAGTGTGGAGAAAGAGTTCTTTCTGCTACTCTTGATGAAAAATCACAAGCCTCTATTTTCAGGTAAGGAGCATTCTCTCTGATTTGCAATCTCAAGTCTTCACTTGTGGTGGTAACTGATTTGAACCAACCCATGTTGTATCATGTGTTTTCCCATACTACATGTGCTGTGTCTAAGTATGCATACATAACCTATGCTATCACACTACATGTGTACTGTCTATGTATGTATATGTAACATATGGCAACTGGGTTCCATATGGTAGCTGGTTTCAAGTTTCAACCTACGTGTGATGTGCTTCCTGAGATTACATGTGTAGTGTCTATGTATGTTCATTCTGCTACTCTTGATGAAACATAGAAAGCCGTGATTTTCAGGTGAGTCTTTCTCTCTTATCTGAAAACTTAAGTTTCTACTTGTGGTGTTCAATTTCTTTTTGGTATTTATCATTTCAGATACTCACAAAAAGAAAATCATAAAATTTGATATTAAAGAGTTGGTTTTTCATTCAAAAAGAAGGGGGAAATTATTCCAAGCCTGTCTGATTTGATGAACTTTCACACCATAATCTTCCCATAGCTGTTTTCTCATTTCCACATCAATATAAGTTGTGGTTCTACAAAGCATGTTATTAAAAAACATGTTAGATCAAAATGCAAAAAGGAAATTTTCAGAACTGAAAGAAAAATGGATCCATCTTCACATAGGTATGAATTGGATCATCACATTGGCTCTTGACTTCTTCAAGGGAAATGCTTGGAACCCAAATTACCAAAGGGAATCAATTACCTTACATCTTAGTAACAGGTGCAACAGGTTCTGCATCACATGGAATACTTGAACTTCAATGTGCAAAAAATTGAATCATTCCAATTGATAATCTATCAAATTCTTCTTACTTTTGAAGTTCAAAAATCAAATATTTATGCGCAGGATATTGTAGTTCATTAAGATTTTATCAAATTGATATAAGAGGTCAAATTTCATTATTCAATGTATTAAAATTCTATGAAAAAAAAGTCAATTCCAACCAATGATATCACCATAATAATCTTTTGAATTCTAATCACAATATTACACATCAAAGTCTAACTCAACATGTTATACATTGTACTGCATCAAAATAATGAAATTACACCCCCTCAAATTTGAATCTTTTCATCTTCTGCTGTTGTTTATGGTAAAAGATTAAATTGTCAATTTTGAAAAGAACATGTCTGTTTAATTGATACAATTGCAGGAGCTGATGAAGAAACCCATGAAGGGGTTATGTTCCCTTATGGTCAAAGTGAATTACAGTGTGGAGAAAGAGTTCATTCTGCTACTCTTGATGAAAAATCACAAGCCTCTATTTTCAGGTAAGGAGCATTCTCTCTGATTTGCAATCTCAAGTCTTCACTTGCGGTGGTAACTGATTTGAACCAACCCATGTTGGGTCATGTGTTTTCCCATACTACATGTGCAGTGTCTAAGTATACATACATAACCTATGCTAACAAACTACATGTGTACTGTCTGTGTATTTATATGTAACATATTGAGACTACATGTGTAGTGTCTATATATGTATGTTTATTCTGCTACTCTTGATGAAAAATAAAAACTTGTTATTTTCAGGTAAGATTCATTCTCTCTGATTTGAAAACTCAAGTTTTCACTTGTGTTGTTCAATTTGTTTTAGCATTTATCATATCAGATACTCAAATCCAAGTGGGAATGATCCAGGTGTAGTAATGGGAAATTCACCAAAACAACCTGCAATCTTCGTATCAATTGTTTGTGAAGTCTTGGCAGGCAAAAGAGATCAACTTGGTATCATTCACTACACAAGATGGTACATGTTGAGTCATAAGGGAGAAGTTGCTCAAGGCCCTTCATGTTCTTTTTGAAAATTTCCAGAATTTACAAATTGATTTGGGTCTACATGTCTATGCATGTATGCATGAGATATGCCATATGGTAACTGGCTTTAACCTACATACTTAACCTCATGTGTTTTCTGATCCTACATGTGTAGTGTATTACTTAGTATGCATGCATAACTTGTGCGGTCAATCTTACATGTGTACTGTCTTTGTATGTATACATAACATATGGTAGCTGAGTTCTGACTATGTAAGAATCTGTAGAGTTAAAAGATCACTCTCAAGGACTATCAACAATACATTTTCATTGGGGTCTGAGAAGGCGTATTGTTGTATGAGTAAGATGGGATTTTGATCAGAACAGGAACAGAGCAAAACACAAAAGCCAAAATACAAAATACATAAGTATGTTGAGACTCCCCACAGTTGTCACTTTGACAGCCAGTTAATTTAGTTCGTCCGCTATGATACGAGGCTCCCCAGTCCCACATGCCGCTATAAGGTTTTGAAAAATCATTGTATGTCTCTTGATTTTGGATTGGACAATGCCCCAATCAATACCGCCATCACTTTTTTGAGTCTCAAAAGGTTTGATCATGTCCTCCATGATGCGCATAACTTTCATCACATCCGCTAAACCATGTGTAATGAGTTCAAGTTTGGGTTCTAAAGAATGGGAAAGGTTAGCTGTGATTGATGCACAGTCCAAATAGACCAAACTCACCAAATTGAACTTGTGGTTCCCGAGCCACAATCAAATGTACGATTTGCTCCTCAACAGACTCAAGTGACCTTTCAAACCGATTAAGACTTTTGTTGAACCTCTCATCTACAAACAAAGTGGTCAACTAATCAAAAAACGTAGATTAAGCCAGCTGGAATATACCTTTGGGTGTTTCATCAATTTCTTGTTGCTTCAAGTCACTTTCATAGACCTCTGGTTCTTCGGGGCTGACAGACTGCGACATATCAACAATACTATAAAAAGTCTTTTTGTAACTATTGACAATCAAGCGTATTTAAAGAAAGGGATCATGGGTGTCAGAGAAATGACGATGATGAATGTCCTGGCATGAAGATCACGATTCTTGAGGAATGTGTTCATAAAGGAAAGCTGTAGACTTACTAAAAGTCGCAGAGAAGGATTCTAGTTTAGGAAAACTGATCTTTGAGTATGAGATGATGCCAATTTATTAAGTAGGGATTATTTCGACATGCATCGGACTGAAGAGACCAAGGCTGCTACATATGTTTACAAATTCCTTTGTCCATAAATAGAGAGCGGAGGTCCGGGTGCGAGGTGATAGAACATAATTATATTGATGTCAATCAATGTGACTCGACTCAAAAGCCTCATGAGACTTCAAACTTTGAAATAGAAATCTCTTTAATCGTGTTCCTTTGTCGCACTTATATTATACAAGTAGAAGAAGGAATTATGATAAACTTTTGAGAGACATCAGATTGTGGGTTTTATGTAGTTTCAGACAGATTTTGATCAACTAAGACAATGCTATATTGGACATTGGGTCTGGAGGGGAAATTATGGGCGAGACAATGGAAGATGAATGAATGAAATTTCCGAGGGTTTTTTGTTTCGGGTTTTTTTAACAAGCTTTTGGCTTGGCTTTGTTTTTTGTATCAAGTTTGGTTTGGTTTGGTTTGGTTTTCTTTCTTGGTCCATGGTTCTACACCTTTTTTTTGAAACACGAGAAAGTAATCAATTGCTGGACTTCTGATCAAGATAAAGTATTTTTCCAAGTTTTGGAAGAATTGCGTGGATTGTGTAACAGGACAAGGTTCTATACTTCCAAACACCATCACTTGGAAGGTGGGATGTAGAGAGTGGATAAAATGTGGAATTGTACCCACAGAGAAATTCGAATATGCATGGTGACAAGTCCCTGTAGCTTATGATGAGATAGATCAATATTTGTATCGTGAAGCGATAAAATCCCGCTTTGAATACTTCCGATGTATTTAAGGAAATCAATCTTGTGATTGAGATAAATCACTATTCATTCCATGAAGCAATAGAATCCGAATACTTACAAGGTATTAATGAAATCAATCTTGCAATTGAGATGAATCACTATTCATAGCATGAAGCGATAGAATCCCGCTCTGACTACTTCCAAAGTATTAATGAAATCAATCAATATTGGAATATAGTTTGATTGCTTGTGATCAGAAGTGATGACAGCATCTGTTTGGATGAAACTGTTATTGACTAAAGTCAAGCTCTGCATATGAACAAAAGGGCTTGTTTCTTTTGATTATGTGACGTGTTTCTGTCGTCTTCTTTGCTTGATGAGAGTGCTTATGACAAGACCTACAGGGCATCAATTCCAGGCCTTTGCGATGATCAAGGTACACTCCTTATCGTCATCACAGGTCTGGTTCAGACCAATCCACAAGGCATCCTTCAGGACCCTTCCGATGATTAAGGTACACTCCTTTTTGTCACAAGGGCTGGTTTGTTTTCATGACCAATCCACAAGCCATCCACTTCAGCCCCTTGCGACAATTAACGTACACTCATGATTGTTGCAAGGGCTGGTTTGTCATCATGAAAAATCCACCAGGCATTCACTCCAGGGCCTTGTGATGAGTAAGGTGCACTGCTTGTCATCTCAAGGGCTGGTTTGTATGACTGATGATAAATCTACAAGACATCTATCCCAGGCCGTTGTGGTAATTAAGATACACATATAAATATCTCAACTTCCCCTGATGATGTATAGCCGTTGTACGAGTTCCTTTTTTATTACTTTTTCCTTGAGTACTTCCGTACGCCTAGGGAATCATTCTAAAACATCTGTTATTGGCCTGGCTCTTTTGTCTTTTTCCTTTAGTACTTCCGTACGCCTAGGAAATTGTTCAGATATAACTGATATTGTCCTACTTTTTCCTTTAGTACTTCCGTACGCCTAGGAAATCGTTCTGAAATATCTGTTATTGGCCTGGCTCTTTTGTCTTTTTCCTTTAGTACTTCCGTACGCCTAGGAAATTGTTCAAATATAACTGTTGTCCTACTTTTTCCTTTAGTACTTCCGTACGCCTAGGAAATTGTTCTAAAATATCCGTTATTGGCCTGGCTCTTTTGTCTTTTTCTAGTACTTCCGTACGCCTAGACCCCAATGAAAATGTATTGTTGATAGTCCTTGAGAGTGATCTTTTAACTCTACAGATTCTTACATAGTCAGAACTCAGCTACCATATGTTATGTATACATACAAAGACAGTACACATGTAAGATTGACCGCACAAGTTATGCATGCATACTAAGTAATACACTACACATGTAGGATCAGAAAACACATGAGGTTAAGTATGTAGGTTAAAGCCAGTTACCATATGGCATATCTCATGCATACATGCATAGACATGTAGACCCAAATCAATTTGTAAATTCTGGAAATTTTCAAAAAGAACATGAAGGGCCTTGAGCAACTTCTCCCTTATGACTCAACATGTACCATCTTGTGTAGTGAATGATACCAAGTTGATCTCTTTTGCCTGCCAAGACTTCACAAACAATTAATATCAAGATTGCAGGTTGTTTTGGTGAATTTCCATTACTACACCTGGATCATTCCCACTTGGATTTGAGTATCTGATATGATAAATGCTAAAACAAATTGAACAACACAAGTGAAAACTTGAGTTTTCAAATCAGAGAGAATGAATCTTACCTGAAAATAACAAGTTTTTATTTTTCATCAAGAGTAGCAGAATAAACATACATATATAGACACTACACATGTAGTCTCAATATGTTACATATAAATACACAGACAGTACACATGTAGTTTGTTAGCATAGGTTATGTATGTATACTTAGACACTGCACATGTAGTATGGGAAAACACATGACCCAACATGGGTTGGTTCAAATCAGTTACCACCACAAGTGAAGACTTGAGATTGCAAATCAGAGAGAATGCTCCTTACCTGAAAATAGAGGCTTGTGATTTTTCATCAAGAGTAGCAGAATGAACTCTTTCTCCACACTGTAATTCACTTTGACCATAAGGGAACATAACCCCTTCATGGGTTTCTTCATCAGCTCCTGCAATTGTATCAATTAAACAGTCATGTTCTATTCAAAATTGACAATTTAATCTGTTACCATAAACAACCGCAGAAGATGAAAAGATTCAAATTTGAGGGGGTGTAATTTCATTATATTTATTGATGTATATGTTCCAATCACGTTACCTTGAGAGTTTCAGGGTCTCAATGTGATTTCAGGTTCTAGATGCTGATTTTAATGCAGCAAAATGTATAACATTCTGAATCAAACTTTGATGTGTAACATTCTGATTAAACAGCTGGGTTTTCTTCAAACCAGGTCTACTTTGAGAACCCCTATTGTGATCTACATAAAGATTTATTTTTTGAAACTCAATATTAAGCAGTATTTGATGGATGATCAACTGGAATGATCCATTGTTTTTGCACGTAGAAGTTCAAGTATTCCATGTGATGCATAACCTGTTGCACCTGTTACTAAGATAAATGGTAACTGATTTCTGTTTGGTTTCTAATTGAGATTGATCTTCATCTTCATATGTTTTTGTTTAATTGATATGATCTTCTACAAGTATTTGTTGTTTGATCAGGATTTAACCTCAATGAAGGTGGGGTTGATTGCGAAGAGACAAGCATTTCTTCAGTATATCAGAAGTACTCCTAAACCTATAGATTCAGGATACTAGGCCAGGTTGGTAATTGAACCTCCTCTTTCTTGTGTTTGGAGAGATTACATATAACAAAGTAAGAGATCAAAATGCAGAAATTTGCTCTTTAGCTTGATAGGTTTTACTATGAAGATATCTGTGAGTATCACACAGAGAGGTCAGTGAAATGATGTTGAATTAAATCCCAACAAAGTTTGAGCTAAAAGAATTCAAAACACTCATGCAAGAAAGGGTATATGTGGATATCAAGATAATTTAGTTTATTCATTTATGGATTTTCTAATAGGTCCAAGTTTATTAATGTATTTTAAAAATGGAATAATTGAAGTGCAGGAAAGCAAAAGAGAGGAAACAAAACAAATATTGATGAGGAAAGTTGAGGCTGAAAGTGAATTTGAATTATCAAATGTTTGGAATGGTAAAATATTTAAGCAAGATGCTTTATTAGGAAACATCACTTTGATTTATGTAAGCTTTCATATTTTTTCTCTTTCTGTCAATATCATTTTGAACTGATTGTTCTCTTGGTTTTGGGTGTTGGTTATTGGAAATAATTTTGTTTGGGTTTACAAATTGGCCTAATATTTGTCCATAAGAATTACATAATGTGTGCAATCAGTAATTGAAACATTTCCTCCCTCCCCTCAAACCTCACAACCCCACATCCCAACCCACAAAAGACCTAAACAATTTGTATTTTTTGAAAATATAAATAAATATCAATTTGATGCACCAATCCAACCAATTTAGTAAATCAAGATAGACCAGAAGCAAGAATCCAATACTTGAAACATTTTTCTTCATCCATGATAGGATTAACAGGCATTTATGAATCTATAAAAAATGTGCAAAGTTTATCAAATTTATATTTCTACTTCACCCAATTTAAAACCAACAGAAGATTATTTACTTGATCACTATATGTAAGCTCTTCTTCTTTCTTGTTTCTCAGTGATACATCATTCATCAATTTATGGAAGATCCCCTTTCAATTTCAAAATGACTGATTTTGTGGTTTGGTTTTTGTTTTAGTAGTGAATTCCCACATGTTGAAAAACATCCACTTGAACCTTGTGATAAAGATGAATGAAATCTAAATACTTTATCAATTGCACCTGGGTCTTTACTTAGGTCAATTAAATCAGATCCTGCTTGGATCACTCAACCTTGGATTTATGTTGGGATGTTGTTTTTGACTTTTGCTTGGCATAAAGAAGAGCTTCATACATATGAGTAAGGCCTTACCACCACATTGTATTGAAATTGATTATACTTCAGGTTGAATTTTGTCATTTATTTGAATTACCATCATTGGGGTTGCACAAAGAGTTGGTATAGAGTCCCAGGAAAAGATGATGTGACATTAGAATTTCCAATGAAAGAACCAGCCCTGGGATCATTTGGACAACAAACTGATGTAATGTATCAATTGATCACCTTAACATCTCCAGGTCTATTGAAAAATCAGGAGGAAGAACATATGTTTTTGATTAAAGACCCAATGAATTTTCAGTAATTTGTAACATTTCATAATTATAAGTGAACAGAAATACACAGTCGGAGATTGCAAGGCGCCAAGCTTAGTGAGTATGGGAATATGAAACATTCACAATGTGTTTTTCTGAGTATGATAAGATGTTTGTGTGATTTTGGAAGCCACTCTTCAATAAATCATTCACAGAGACTAATGGTGATGACAATTTTTCAGATACTGATCATATCTACATGAAGGAATAACAGGAGCATCAACCAATGTGGGCTGGTGATGCGGCGCCCGCCGCACAGTCGTGCTAGTCATTTTCTTGACCAACATGTTGTTAACCACATTCGCGTTCGGGATAACTTTGATTGCGCATATCTTCTTATGCTCAAATGAATATGCTGGCCAAACTTCCCCGTAACTACCTTCAACAATTTCCTCTATGAACGTGTATCCATGAAGAGTTGGAGAGAAATTTGTTAAAGACTAACGTTTCTTGAAGTGTTGTGAGATGTAGTTGAAGTTGTGGAGTTTTAAAACGACTTCGTAGAGTCAGACACCTGGTCAAATAAGAAAATGTTTTGTCAATGTTGTGCTGGGACGTGGTGAGTAGGATTCGGAAAGGATGATCTTAATCGTCATCACCGCGAAGATGAGTTTTATATAGTTATGCTATTGGGTTATTCATCTCAGCATCATGCCTTTAAGAAAAGTAAGAAAAGCATCAGAGACTTTTGAAAAAAGTCAGAAAATGACGGCCAAATTGAATGATAAAGGGGAATCATCTATCGCACTTTTCTGAGTGCTGAGAATTATATCGTCTGCTGGACTGTCGAGTCCTGCTGAATCAAATCATCCTTATATCAGTATCCTGTTGGTCTACAACTTCATATGAATTTTCATCTAACTCACATGCAATTGAATATACTCTCTAGGTCTCCCTGATACCATCAACAACCAATCAATTATCTTATTCTTCCCAGCCCTAAACCCAAAACCCATTAAACAATTAGTTTTCTATTCTCGAATGATTTCTCCATCTGCAGAATATAAGACTTACCCTTGATTTCCTAAAAGAACCAAATGATTTCCCATCAACATCAAATCGATTCCAATATCTCTTATCAATCCATTCTTTTCAAGATTCTCAAAAGACCAACTCATGTCAGCTACTGATTCTTTATATTTGTTATCTTCATTCAACTCTCATTCAATTCGACATTCTTTTAATCTTGATTCTTGATGACAATCTTAACTACTTAATAAAAGACTTGGAGCACTAGGAAAGATCAAATACCTTTGATCAGATGAAATGATAGATGATAAATAATCCTTTAGTCATACAAAAAACTATAAAATCAGTCTCATGAATAAATCAAACAAAATAATCAGCTAAATCAAAACCTTACCCATCCCTCTTCAATCTTAATCTCAGCTAACTCTAAGCATATTTCAAAATCCATATATTCAGTTTTAGGTAAAAATTCAACTAAAAGTATTTTTCTTAAGATCCTACTCAAATCCAATTCTTCTTCAGGAAAACAACCTAATATATTTTAAAAATCCTTAATAAACCTTTTGTACCTAATCTTCTAAACTTACATCCTTGACTAGACAAATCTCCATAAGCTTTAACAAATACTGATAATTTATTCAATAGAGCTTCATTAATTCCAATCTTGTTTATTAATTCGATTTCTTCTTCCCATTTTGATCCAATCTTTTCAATGTTCATAGTTATATTTCCAAGTTCATAGCTCTGATGCTTGACCATCTAGTAAACCATTAATAGTACCAACACTCGACCCAATCAAATCAACTCCCGTAATTTCAACCAAAGCTCCAACCTGAGCACCTTCCACTAACCTAATAGGAGCCCAACCTGTCTAATTACCTTCATTGACAGTTCTTCTCATTCAACTCTCGTTCATGTCATCCTCATCATAGTCTAGATAATACATATCGTCTAACAGTTCCAGATTGGGTCTTGTATGACGGTCATCTGCATGGAATGGGATAAAAGAAAGATACGTGAGACGTTGGTAGACAGACTGAGGCTAAAATATGACTCACTTGGTTTGCTTGAAAGAACACTTTCAGCATCCTGATAGTCCAAAACAGATGTTTCACGTGGAAAATCTACCCTCGAGATGATGGTTTTTGATTTGGTTTGTAAGTTCAATGAAATTTTGAGTTTTCTTGTTTTTTTAATCGTATCTGTCCATTTGTCATCTAATGAATCTGATTCATATGCTTATGATGGTGCTCTTGAATTCCATTCTGATTCTCGCTTATACAACTAATCCAAGAGTTAGGGTCAGTATTTGTTTCTTGACTTGATTTCTGTTTGATATTATGAAATAGTACCTTACCATGTTTTAAATTCTTTCTTCACTCGTTCTTGTTCTCTTTCTCAAACTGAATCACTCCACTCAACACATGTAACTAAGAATTATGTAGATACTATGTATGTGTGAAAATTTCATCATGTAACTCAAAAAGTGTATGTAAACTTTAAAGGCAATGGTACACCGCTAAAGGGTTTTTAGGCAAATTGACGTGAGGTCAGGGGTTTTTAGAAACCCGACCCCTGCACGATCAATTTAATCGCAAGAATGGTCACCAATTACATCACTTGTGAACCACTCTTACATTGCTTTGAGGATCGGAACCGATTTGCTCTAGCAATTGTAACGCCTCTTTGACTCACAAAAGCCTCGATCGACAGCAAGGATCCTGATTCACCAATACCAGATTCGTGTCGTAATCTCAGGAATTTCTCTCAACTTTATCAAAATTTCAATCTATTTTTATCAATCAATTAACTTATTTCAAGTCAAACAAAACTCCTTGGACAAGTTCTTTTATTGATAATTGATTTAGTTTTATTATTTGTCAGTAATACCTTCTCTCTCTTGATCCAGAATAAGAGATAAGAAACTGATCTTCATACTTTTGTTTCCGACAGGCTGGACATGTAGGTTTTGAAATTTGATCTCCTTTTCGGACCATTTAATCGATTTCTTGCCCTCAGTTCCTTTCATTCTGATCTCAAACGTACTTCCCTTTTCGTTTTTGTTAAACAGTTCGAAGAAGAAGATATTGACAAATGAGTGATTGGGATGATTTGTTTGGAGACAATATGGATGTTGAAGAGGATGATTTGGGTGGACAACCAGGAACTTCATTACGACGTGAGTACAACTAGTCTATTGTGTCTTTCTTTCCTCTTCATTGGAATCTTGCATTCTTTCCTTTCACTGACTTTATTGGTACACTCACATCTTCCGTCGTCGTGAACTGCGTGTGTCGCCTAACCCAGCACCTAGCGCGATGTCGATTAACGGTACAAGTGACTCGCCCCAGCCTGCTCCTGCTACCCCGTCCCCCCCAGCCACGAAACACACCAGCCTCCGCCCCGTGACGCCCGTCAGCAAGCCGCGCCAGTGTGAAGCAAAGCACGAGCTTTGAAAGACGATGCTCCGTTGGCCTATTTGGGGCGCGCTAAGGTGAAGAGGATCATCTTAATGGTAAGCATTCTAGGTTTTAGGAGCTGGAATATCGGACTGATGTAGCCACCGTATCTTAGCAATATGTAACAGCTTACAACTACCTCAATCACACCGCAAACAAAAAGCGCTGCCAATGGACGCTCATGGACAAAGCCCTGGCTGATCTGAGCACAAGACCCGACAGCAATGCGTCCTTGTAAGTTGATATATTTAGTACTATGGTGCGAGTGGGACCTGACCTGACTGACTGGCTTGTCTTGCAGGTACTTTAATCAGATTGCCCGTTATGACCGGGAGACTTTTACCGGAAAGCAAACTTGGGCGACTACCAAAGCGTCTGGACCACTTCCAGCATTGTTTGTGGATCAAGTATTTGCAGCAGCGAGCCCAGTTATTGTCAATGTATCTGGAGGGTCTGGTGATCAAGTCACGGAAGAGGGTCTCGAGGAGGATGAGCAAACCCCAATGTAGATAGTTTAAACGCCTAAAAGTCTGGGTTCTTATATGTAAAGATGGTTTAATCAATGGAAAGAACCTGTTTGCACCTTGTTGCTAGCGTAAAACAAGCATCGCGAGCTATGCGTATCAAATTGGTTCTAATTGTGGTCGCTTTCCATACTTGAGCACACGAGAGAACCAAGGGAAATACATGCCTGTGCCATTAGTCCTGCGTGGTGAAACTGGGAAACTCTACATGTGGGCTCGGGGAATGGATCAACCTCCCAGCTCACACAGTGGACACGTTCACATTTGGCACAATGTGCATGCGATCAACGTCAGCGACGACGTGGTCGGGATGTGCCAACTTCGCGTCACCATGACGGATTTACTCCCATCAAAGCTCAAAATTTGATTAGAAATATCCAGTAGTTTTTCTTCTTTCAATTTACAAACAAGATTGATGGATTGGATCAATCAAAATACATCAAATCTTGCATAATGTATGTACCAACAAACAAGTTTCCCATGCGTGTATGAATACGTATCAGAGCAACTTGAAAACCTTTTGAATACATATGCTATGACAAGTCAGAGTTAACCAAATGGAGGTTACATCTGATTCCCAATTTCCTTCCAATCAACAAAGTAGATGTAAAAATGATGTTGATTTATATGAAGGACAAGATTGCTAAGAGATTAACCAAAACGTGCTAAACGTCACATTCAACAATTCAGGAATGGGAAGTGGAACATTTACATTGGATGTGCTTCTTCTCATCACAATGTTTACATTGTATCTTGCAATGGGCGCTTTGGCCATAAGAGATTGTGGCTGTTTGATACCCGGGCCGTCTCCCACCCGTACTCCTAATGGGCAACTTTTCTGTTTGTTGGCGTTTTCCTTGAAGTTCCATTTTCGTATGGTATGAATGAACTGTGGAAATGATTAACATATGATTGATCATGCACGATTCAATCAGGATAACGAAATAGAATGGATAGTAAAGAAGGGGGAATGGATGAATTAGTCACTTTGTGCAGGTATGAATGATCAAACGGGGGTAATTGACCTACTTTGTTGGTTAGGAGTCAGCTGGAAGAATCGCTTAGAGTGCACTCAAAAGCAAAAATAGATGATTCTTTGAAGGAAAAATATATATGAATTAGTTACTATGCAAATTCTCTGATAGAACGTGATTGAAAAAGAACAGAAAGAATAATTCACAGGTAAGATGCCTATCGGCCTGATTGATGACAAGAAAGTGGAAGGAATTGGTGTGTGCAAATGGGAGGACAGGTTCACCCAACAAGCGGAGTAGCTTATAAAAGAAAGATCCAGCGCGGTTTGTTCAAACAGGTGGAGGAGTATGCACGTGATATCGCCTGATATGGAGAGTATAAGCAATATGCAGATTGGTCCGACTGGGTGGAGGAGTATGCATGTGACTTTTTGAGAGTGATATCTAGGAGGGTTCTGAATGTTGAGCCTACCACAACTGATCAATATGTCGGGATTGACTGGAAATTCAAGCCTACGACATCGGAATTGGCCCTGTGCGTAACTTCAGCTGTTCTCAAGAGATCCAAACAGATGTTGGACCAGGGACAACCACAGAACGTTATTTTAGTACATCCATGGTTTTTCACTGAAACCAAGTAAGTTTATGGAATTCCCAATGAGATCGCTGCTGCATCGACAAGCAAATATTCGAGGTTGGTGTTCGATTAACGGAGTGGAATAAGTAATGATGGATTAGGAAGACAAACGACAAGTGGAAGTGTCCAAATGGATGGATATTCTATGTCCAAATGTGTGTTGGGGAAGTGTCAGAATAAGACGAGTAGACAGGTACCCCAAGGAACAGTGTAAGACATCGATGTTAGAGTACCAACACTGTCGAACAGTCCTGGGTACTCATGTCTCTATTCTCGATTTTCATTATTCGTGCACCTTTTCCAATATTATCATTTCCCCAGAAGTGCGCGCAGAAATAGACATCTATTTACAAATCCATTCCCAGCTCTGCGGTTTTTCTCTTCCATTGTTGTCGCTTTTGTCTGAAAAATTTTTTCCCACCCACCCACACCTAAAAAAAAAAAACTATTTTTCTTCTTTTTAGTTTATTTCGAATGAGTTTCGAGTTTGTTATTTGTTTGTTTTTTACTGTTCTTTTCATTTTTATGATAGGTTTGAGAAAAGAGAAGCGTGTGAGAAGTATATATGGGGTTTATGTGCTTATTTCTTTTCGATGATTTAATTTAGTCAGGTATCCCAGTTATTACTGTTTGTAAGGCCTCAGGCCTCCCCAACAGGGGTCTTTTGTGTGCTCAAATGGTCAAGTTTTCAAGTAATATAAGAGACTCCGTTTGTGTTGCCCCCAAGGGCACCACTCCGCGTACAACCGTTAGCTTTGAGTGAACAAGGAGAGAGTTGATCCATCAGAAGACTCATTTCTTTGAGCAGAAGAACGGGTGTGGACACCTGAAATGTCAATCCTGGGTGTTTGGACAAGAAGAAAAGAATTTGAATGAAGAGGACTAACACCAAATTGATAATAGAAACGAATCAAATAGTCCTTTCAATTTGGGTAGACACAGGTAGATGCTCCATACGTCACGGTCAGGTGAAAGTTAAACACTGTGGCATAGGGGTTGAATGGGGTGAAAGCTATGCCTACGGTGGTGCAGCTCTTGAAAGGCTTCTGAAACCGATCATTTTGGTGATGTCATCTTGAAAGTACCCACTCAATTGTGGTGTGCCTTTGATCTCCATTCCAGACTCTGGCTGCTCTTTGTCGCCGAGTTGTGTATTCAAGACAAGAGAGCCAGCAAAGTTTACTCCCCTAAATAGCTAAAAGCTTCTTCAAAATCGAATTTCACTCTTCCTTCAGGAGAATCTGTGATACTGAAACCTTCAGTCTTTACAATATAGGCCTTTTGACTCATGTTAAACTCTCATTTTTCCAGCAGATCAAGCTCTGACTACCAGGACGTCACAGGTAAAAAATTAACCATACACTCAACAACTATGTGTCTTCTGATGCTGTTCACTATTAATATCCAGGACACTTCCATGATAATAAGAGTTCACCCCTTGGCATTTCAAAATTTGAAGCATCTACTTTTGTTGATGGCAGAGATGACAAAATCTTGGTTGAACACGGTCAGTGATCCATTCACTTCACTTCACTCCCTATCCCTTTTCTGATTAAGATTTGGTCTCCTCTAAGATAACATGCACAAGAGCAACCTTGTTCGAGCGGACGTTTTACTTCAAGAGACTGTTCAAACGCCCTCAGAGTTGAACCACAAAACAAAAAGTAAGTGTAATCTTCGACATGAATATACCAGTTCACCTCAATATCATTGTTGTCTAATTATTATGATGTAAAAAGCCGCTAACAAGTGTTGCCCTGCAGGTCCTACAGATACTCGAGGTGGCGATTCAAGTACAGATGAGGGTGAGCTGATTTTGACTTCTGTCTTATCCATCTTATACATTTAAGTTGATCGCAGGTTCTCCGATGCTTCCAATAATTGTACTTCTTAAAGATTCAGTCGAAATTATGAACTACAACATAAGGAGCCGCTGTGGGTTGGGCCATCCCCATCGACCAAATCCAGTTGACTTGGATGGGAATTTCACAGATTTTGCTAATAAGATGGTTGCCAACAATTTGATCAAGGTTGAATATGAGCCCTTTGCATCAGGTAGGGTTGTTTTCAAATTTCAACAGATGCGGTTACATCCTTCCTATGGTAGCTTGAGACTGAAATCTCTTTTTTCTTGACAGCTTTCCAGAGTCTTTCCTCTTCTTCTGAAGTTGCTGATGGATTTCGATCCCACCGCTCAGCCAGGTCTGTTGCCGAAGCTAGCAAAGGAATTCACAAATTCAGATCACGGTCACCCAGTCGTGGTTTGCAAAATCCTGTTTCTGCAACTTCCGATCAACTTCAATCCCTACCATTAAGGCTTCAAAGTCAATCGGCATCAATCCAAAGCTTTCGAGATCCTGTTGCTTCCACTGCCAATCAGCTTCAATCAATAGGACCAAGACACAGCTCAAAGTACTCTGCTTTTGGGGTTCACAAGACACAGCATCAAAGCCGATTGGCATCAGTAAAGAAAACCTTTTTGGATCCTGCTTCCGGTGCTGCTATTCCATCAGAACGACGCTCTCCTTTTGAACCTGGCAAGAAAAGACATCACTTCGCTCCATACCCACCTCATAGCACTCAACATCGCACTACTGAATTTGGCAACCGAATGCAAACTTCTGCTTCTAGAGACATCAACCAATTTAGATCACCACCATCCATTTTTGCGACCGGAACATCTGATTCAAAAGATCTTGCTTCTGAAGTTACCTATAAACTTCAATCACACGTTTTGGAGAAATCTGCTTCATATTCTGGAAAGAAACAGCATCAATCTAGATCTCTGTCGCGTAATCACAATCTTGAAAAGTCGAATTCAATCTCTACCCAAGAAATAGATCATTTATATGACCCATCACCACGACTTCAGAATTCCGGAGCATTCTATGATTACCCGCCTTCGCCAAGGTACAAGGCTATCTCGTCCTCTCCTTCAGCCGTCTCAAAGATACCTCAATCTCAATCACCACTACCAGCCCTTGCCTTGGAAGATTCTTCTTCTGATGCGGAGACCGTAATGGCTATATCAAAACCTCTATCACAAACAAATGATTCAAAAATCTCCAGTTCGTTAGTACCTGGATTGCTTCAGCAAAGATGCCCTCAAAAAACATCAATTTCTCGAAAAGGTCTCACATATGAGGGTAATGTTCCTTCAGCGGCACCAGCTACACAACCTCAAGGATCCAATGCTGAAGAAAAAATAGGTCAGTTTGTAATCTGCCTCTTGAGTATTGATGTGTTATATAATGGATGTTAACATTTCAATAATTTTTATGGTTCAACTTCACTTCTTATGTTAATTTCGACCTCCATAACAGAAAATTTCATACCATCCATCTTGAACTGCCACTGTAGATTTTCAACCATGCGGTCTATTTTGACAAGTGGAATTGGTCCCCTTGAAAAGTTGCTTAAAGATAACACGTGCAATGGATACATGTATAAGGAAACTGCTCATATCTTTTTCAGAATGTTTGAAGAAGTAAGAATGGTGCAAGATTGTGTTGAACATGTTCACAACTGTCCAAATTCAGTGAGCTGATTTCCAATACCATTGTATCCATCTGCATACATTTAAATATCTTCATTGTGCTCCTCAAACCTCTTCAAATGCTTGAACTCTCATCTTGAATGTAAATTGTTTTATATCAAAGAGCTCCAATCCTGACCATATTTTTCCCCCTATTGTCTCACTGCTCTTTCATCTTCCTTTACTGTTGAATTCTTACCTGTACATAGTTTTTCCATGCTCATGTCAAAATTTTCAATCTATAACATACATACACGTTTTGATTTTATATATATCCAATCACATCCAAAAACTCAAATGAAATTAAGTTGTGTATTCATATGAATATCTTTCTAAAAATTGATCAAGTGAAAAAATTTGAACTAACACATCCTCAGTGCCAAGAATCCAATCTACCTATCCAAAAAAACTTATAAATCCCTCATATCTCAATCATACAGCAATAAATCTTCAGATTTTGATTGAAATGTATTGTTAATACTCTTGCGGATGATCCATTCCTCAAATATCTTAGCATAGTCTATTGAAATAGGGGGTTTTGGAGGAGAAGATGCTACAATTCCCACCAGGTGGATTACATATGGAAACCATATGTTTTGTCCCAATCACAAGCCAAGCAAGCATCCCTGAGCTAATCAGGGTTAGGTTTAAGGGTACTTAAACCAATAAATCACCTCAAACTTGTACTGTAAATATTTTCCAGGTGACATCTTATACTACACAGAATATATGTGGTTCAATCTAGCAAAATCTAGATGGTTTCATAGACATGTAGTCCTGATAATAAAAGAATAAAAACATGAATAAAAACATGAATACAAGTAACTTATTATTTGCACTTGCCCTTAAGCCTTTGTTTCCCCCAAATCCAGAGGCCACAAATGGACCAAATAGTAGCAATTTCAAAAAGATCCATAAAATAGTACATTTTGAATTTAAGTCTCTGCACTACCTCACAATATTGATTTCTACACTCCCTTGTTTGTCCCCTAGGTTCTTAATCACCCTTCAGCCTATTTGTAGTCTCCAAGATCACATTGTACAGCCGTATTCATGATTGATGAACACTCAAAAAAACTTTCCAAATGTTTTGAAAAAACTATTTGAATAATCACAGGAAAACTGTGGTGATTAATGATCTTTGCTGTACCTGTATTCACAATTAGCTGTGATTATTCAAAAAGTTTTTCTTTCAAATGTTCATCAATCATGAATACAGCTGTATGGGCACATCATCCTTTTTGAAAATGATGCTTGGTGAATCATGTAGGTCTGTGTGGATCCCAAGAGCCTGGCATGTGCACTCCCTTTTTTTGTTCCCACAATATTGGAGTCAATAGGCAAAGGTGATTCAGCAAGGTATAAACATGTAATGAGTAATAAAAAACATGTTACAAGCTCATTACATATGATTTACATATGCAAAATAATACATAGGTCTGTGCAGATCCCAGGAACCTGGTATATGCACTCCCTTTCTTTTTGTCCCCACAGTATTGATTCAACATGAAACAAGTAATAAATAATTTGGTACAAGTTCATTACACTTGAGTTGCATACAGAATGGGGCACTTCAACAATAGTATTCACAGGAAGAAAATAAAAGAATACATTCAGGTCTGTGTGGATACCAGGAAACTGGTATTTTCACTCCCTCTTTTTTACTATTCCCACAAAATTAAGCAAGGCATCAACATGAAACAAGTTGCAGATGACTTGTTACAAGCTGGTTACATATGATATACATATGTAATGTGGCACCTTGACAATAGTAACCAGAGGCAGAAATCAAAAGAACAACTGAATATGAAGCAATGTAGAAAAATACACCTTGTGCGCTATACATTTGTGTAAATCAAAAATTACATGTATTTCATTGTATGTATGTATGGTTTACATGTTCTTTTGTTCTCATTGCTACATGTAATGATTGGATTACATGTAGGTTTTCAACATTTAATGAGTTATTACATTTGCACGGAAGGTGATCTACCACTGAGTATATTTAATTATATCTTTCCCTTGTTACTTCACCATTTCCAACTATATGAAGTCTGGATCATCACAAGAACAAGCCCAAAGGCTTATGTACCGGTAGATATCTTTATCAATGATGGCTATTGAACTGCTTCAGGTCTGTGAGGTTACCAGAAACAAAGAGACCTGGTATTTGCACTGCTGTATGTTTTTCACAGCTCCTGATATTGAGATGCTACCACTGATTTACTCAATGTTGGAACTCTTAGAAAAGTTGCTCCCAATTTTTCCTTTACCAAAAGAAACTTTCAACATGGTGTCAAAACTAGAGTGCAGGAAACACAAAAGGGCTAATTTTTACAGTTATGTCAACCCGTGATTGACACTTCCCTCTCATTTCTGATTGTGTAGAAGAATGTCTTCCCAAACTGCAGTCTCACCAGATCAATGTGGCATGATTTTACCCTGAAAAAAGATCACATGTAAATGCCTTGTGGGTACATACACTCCTATATCCAAACCTAAATCCTTTGCTCTTTTACGTGTTTCGGGACTTGAGTTTCATGTACCCATACAAGAAGTATTAAAGTTGCATTTGGAAAACTCTTTTGAATCTAATGAAATATAATCTTTTGAACCTCCTAAAATCCTTCTTGCATCTTGACCGGAAAGAAATTCTTCATAGATAAGCTTCTGATATATACAAGATGGGCAATTTACAGCAATTTACGCAACAACTTGCTTAATTGATCACTTGAATGTTATTTATAAGTACAAGGAATTAGACCGGCCAGTTATGTAAAACTCGAAAAATCTTTAGGGGAAAATGCATAAGCCACATTTTACATTTGAATTATGACAAGCAGAAAAGATCTGAAAATCAATATGATTTGTCTCATTAAACTACTATCTTCTGAGAAGTAAAACGGCAAGTGAGAACACAACCTTCTGATGATCATGTGAGATGATAGAGATCAATAAGGATAACGAGGAGGCATCTGACAACACAAATTATTAGGCATTGGGCGAGGTTTTTTTTTAAAAAAATTTTTGGTTGCTGAGACCCATTCAAATGTAGTTCAGATTCCTCGGATTCCTGAGTAGCCATTGCTGACATAATATCAAAGCCACCAAAAGCACAGAAAAAAAAAAAATTTGTTTTGCTTTGCAAAAATTTTCTAAAATTTTATCTGGCGTAGAGCATCCTTGCTTAATCTGTAAAAGCCACAAGCCCCAATTACGCCACAAAAGAAGACTTTCAGACATTTCACAGATACCATACCCCGGGTCCCCCATTCTGAATCTACCCGGGTATCCCCTATCGGCTGTGATCCGATGATTGCTTGGTTGACCTCAGCTGTATCTTCCGGCCCCTGGCGGTTGATCCAAACACATCGCGGGTGCTGAGCCAAACGTGTGGTGGTCTGTTTGGTCCCTCCCTCGCCCTCAGGTGGAAAGGCCTGAAACTCGTGAGAGTGAATTCCAAATCTCAGCTCATGGGTGCAATCATATCGGATGCGTAGAAAAATACTGACATGACCGTGACCGACTTGTTCAATTTGTTTTGAGATTGGATTGATAACACTGCAGGCGAAGAGCAGGAAGCTCAAAGACCAGAGTCAAGCGGTCATTGGACTGAGTAAAGTAATAATCAACCCCAAAAAGGTGACCCGGCAAGGTGACAGGTCTCTCTCCAACCTCTGTGAAACTCACAGTCTAACTCGATTCCGCAATCTTCGACTTACTTCGTGAGGCGTACCGCTTGTTGGTCAAGAAAATAAAAAAAAAGACGAAAATTTCGCCCAATGCCTATTATCAAGAAGATTGACTGCAGAAGAGAAGAACACAGGTGTAGTCGTGAAGAGGAATAATTCTGAAAGACCAGACCCCTATGCATCCATTCTATTAAAAACAGAGCAATAAATGAAGGGATGTAGGGCACTGCAGTGTGAAGAAGTCACTAATACTATGCTCTTTCCTTTTGGAGGTGGGGTCATTTGTTCTGATAACATCAATTGAATACATAGATCATGACTATGTACGTACATCTTTGCCCCTCTACCTTGATTGTATCATTATCAAAATTACCCATTTTCAAAGAGTGGACAAGTACATACATACATAGATAATTTTGTGAATCATCATCTTGATATATAAAGCAAAGATGATTTGATTTTCTCATCTTTCAACTACTGCCAAATTTATATATTTCTTAGGAGATGTCTTGTCCATTCCATAGTCCAATCTTTCTGCCAACTTACATTCACCAATTCATTTCTAATGATGTTGATGATAAACCAAAGTTTGATCATGAACTCTTTCTAAATGACGCCACCACCTCCCAAGTTTTAGAGATGATTCAGTTGTTCTGTCCCCAAATCAGATTTAGTTCAGAGGCAGAAGATGATAATTTGCTTTTACACAACGTATTTCACAAAATGATAGCCCCCCATCTTTCTACTTTGATCATTCCGGAAGCTCTCAAGCACAATCAAAACTACTTTCGAGCGTTCATCAACTTTCCAACCTTTGAGACCGGAGACATGTTGATTACTCCTAGTACTGTTATTGACTCTAGCCGCATTTTGACGTTCAACTGTCTTATTTTCTGCTACCTCAAGCAAGGTCAACATCGTATTGCAGCCGACAACCTTACAAATTTTGTTAAGACTCACAGGTATCTCAACGAATATGAAATCTCGGCCATTGATTCTGCTTACAAGGACGCTCTAGAGGGCCTTAACGAATCCGTTGGCTTTATTCAGAACTCTCACCAGGAGATTGAGGGGATTGGCTTACAAATAATTGACTCTGGGATATCACAGACCCACCGCCAAGACCTCCAGCTTCGTCTTGAAAGTGCAACCGCGAAATTACAATATAGACAGAAGACATTTGATACCATTGTCCAGGGTGTGGGATTCATCCGAGCGTTATCAGAACATCACCAGTAAGTCATATAAATTGATCACTATCTCCAATGATTATTCTTCCCTTCTTTGGTGTAACTATTCTGATTTATAATAACAATCACATAGAAAATTGAGTTCGGAATATCAACTCAAAGCTTCTGAAGTATCTTGAATAATCCTTCCATATTCTACGTCATTGTACGGCATCATTCTGGTAAGACATGGATCCTATCTCGGAATTGGTGATTATAACATCAACTCATCACATGATTATCTTCAAAACTAAAAATCACAGGTTTGATTTGCTACATAGCGGCTTCATACCAGTTGCAGCTGGCTCAATGCCGTCGTAGCAGCTACCCTATATGTATTGACCGTTTTACTTCATCACCTTCTACGTCCGATGGACTATCCGGGCTTTTTAAATTCATCAGCTCTTGTCTTCAGGTAACATAGATATATGTAGTCATTGCCAATCTGGTTACTTGCAAGTTTCTTATGTTTCTCTTGTCATTCTAAACTTTTCAAATTCTTCTGAATGACAGCAAAAATTGAAATTGTTTCAGCAATGGAAAAGTTTTCCCTGGCATAACACTATTCTAGTCTTAAAGATGAATGTCAAAAATCGGATATTAGTTGTGCAATCTATCTATACCATTAGGCTTCCAATAATTTAAGAGAAACTACAGATGATAATTTTTTGTGCTAGATCAATCAAGAAGCCATGCTGATTGCCGCTTAAGAGATTTGGTTTTTGAAAGTCTGGTGTCAGTGATCATACAATCTGTCTGATGTATTTTTACTTTTGTTTGATTACCTGACTATATTTTCTGGAAGCCGATTGCTCTCTGGCCAATTAATTGAGTTTTCTAAAACAAAGGATTACCTAAAAACAAAAAGAAAAAGAGCTAAAGATAATTCATGTGTTGATCTGAAAGAACAAAATATGATTTGAAAAGAAAAAAGATGGTTGTGAGATGGCTGTAGGCTTAATGAATAGTAGCTAAGTGACCTGGGATAAATGAGGCCTGGTAAAGCTGGGAACTTGATCAAAAAGGTTTTTTATTGTATCAGCCCAAACGATTTTTGAAGATGATGAGAGATGTAATATTCGAACACTATCGAATGTCGACAAGCACATTAGTGAGTTTTCAAACATATGACGCCAAATGAATAAAAAATTAGTTACCTTGAATCAAGTCACTCAACTATCACCTTTCTTTGCATTTGGTTTCTCCACATGAGCGCATGATTTCAGAATCTCTGACCATGCAAGCTGCCATACGAGAAACTGAATCTGGGAAGACTGTGGAAATTAAAAAGGTTGTTCAAGTCAGTTGTCTGATAAACAAAGCCAAAGTTGGAACATTTTCACAAACCTTGAGTATCTGCATCGACCATCAAACAAATCTCATGATGACCAGGGCTAACACCAGTGATTCTCCAAATCAAATTCACGGATTCATAATCAAATCATTCATTCGTTCATCAAACATCAATTTTTGTGAAAAACTCATCAATAAGACTTGTGAATCTCTTTTACCTCAATTACCTGATTTAGAACCATTTGGTTCATTTGGATTTCCTACTTTTGCAATCAAAATCATCAGTACCCTTTGTCGTTTGGACGCAGTTTGATGAATGCAGGTTGTGCATCATTTTGGTTGAGGAGGAGCAGAACGGCCTAGAGCAGCTATCAATCCAGGTCCGCGAGGATGCCGATGTGTTTGATTATCATTTTCTTCAATCTCTGGAGTGGTTATATGAACAAGAGTCTGCTCGGCGAGGAAGATCATATGTTGGATTCTGATTGACAAGTGCTACTGAGCCATCGAAAACTGCTGAACCCGTCTTACTCAATCCAACGCGACCACGTTCATCAGCTTGTATTGCAGCTGCATGATTTCAATAATTGTAAAGTCAATGAGATGGACCAATGGGAGCTCGATCAGGTCGAACTAAGGATTTCTTAGATTAGCGGCAAGTGAATCAGGCGACATCGTGATGTGGAAATCAAGCTGACATATATTCCATGGCATGTCTTGGGTCAAGGCAATAGTTAGTTTCTTCCAAAACAGGCACCAATCTCGTCTCGACCTCGAAGTAAGTAGCAAGGTTCTTCGAGGCAATCTGAGCACTTTAGTTCATTGTGGTGTATCAGTCAAAGAAAAAGATTGATGAAATTTGTGACCAAGGCTCAGGTGACTAACCTCGCGCCCATCACAACATTTGAACCAGGCTTGTACAACAATTCCAGCAGCTCTATGTCGTTCTTGCCCATTTTTTATCATACATAAGCCACCCAACAACACGCCTTTCGAAGCCTTTGTCTCCACTTTGCCGTAGATAAATTTGAATATTGTTCGGTACTTCTGAGCGTGGGAGGGGGCTTGCTCGCCAAATTTGTGGGATCAATTTGGCAACGTCTGAGGAGAACACTTGAATATATGAGATGAAGCATACGGTTTCTGAAGAAAGTACCTTAACGTATGAAATTAGAAACAAACTTGTGAATCCGTAAAGTCATGAGACTCGCGATTCGAGTCATCAAAGCCTTCGGGGTATGCTTGCATAAGGCGCCAGTGGACGTCGCCATACATTATATCTTCTTGGCTGCTGGGTTTTGACATATCTCTACATTTTTTCTTGACATCTTCTTGACAGAGTAGCCTGCTTGGAATGAAGATAAAAAGTGAAAACCCCCAGACATGATATACCTGTGGTAATACAGCTCTACATGTACATGCTGTACAATGCAAAGCAAGTGGTGTAGCTAGTAAGAATTGCAAACAGATATTTCATAAGTAAGTCTGAGTTACTCGACCTTGTTGATGGAAAGCTAAAAAAACATGGCTGCATACTTACCACACGATTCCGGAAGCCGTGATATTGAAAGGTGAATACGCTTCATGCCGGGCCTACTTACAGTATTGTCAGATAATTGCCTCTGATTCTAGTTTTCTGTATATTCTTGACAAGCTAACCTGATCAAGGGCCATGCTTGTGTTGTACGGAGCACCAGGGATGTAATGATAGAAAATTTGAGTATTTGAATGGGATGATTATAGAGGCCAATGGTCATGGATATTATTCACATCCCCGAATTGATTAAATACACCTGATATGATGAAACCGCCATCAGTTTTATGAAGGGGGCAAAAAGAAACAGACTAAAGATTAACCTCATCTTTTGATAGGCAAATAGGATGTGGATCTAATGTTTAACGCAAACGAGAGATGCGCCATCCGTTAATAGATTTACTTCTGTCTGTCAACTGTAGGGCTTGTAGGACCGAAATTTTTACGCTGTGAGAAGTATAAGGCTTTAGACATCATCCCAATTGTTTTCAATAAAAGAAGTCAGTTGTCCAGATACATGACATTGAACAGCATAGAGATCATAAAGGATGATCCAAGTCAATGATGTGCTGGTCTTGATTTTCACACAAGGGTTCAAAGATGCTATCCTTCAAATATCGCCATTGTCCACAAATCAGACAAATCAATTTCAAAGTGGTGAATGAGTCCCTAGACCGTTTATCCACTGAGTCGATATTTCGTCATAACCAATCTCATCCCAATGAAGAGGAATAATTAGATATCATCATCTGAATGAGGTGACACGCTGCTAATTTTGATATGATCGAGTTAATCACCTGCCGAAAGGTTTAGCAAAATGAGACTCCAAAGCAAGTTCCTCTTCTCGGCGATTTGATTTTTCAAGCTCCTTCAATCGTTATGAAAATCTCGTGGGTTCTCGTATGTGTATCTCGTTCATAACTTCAAGAATGATGTTTTCTTTTGTCTGGACTTAAATATAATGGTTGAGCAGGGCGAGCGCCAAAGGAGGCATTCAACCCAAAAAGCCCAGCCTTCACACTGGGCAGATGTAGTATTTTTCCCAAGTGAAAAATGATTGACCTGAAGGACAAACAAAATTGAAAAAGGTAGAATTCTGAATTCATTTTGTGTGTGCATTAACACTGCATTTTACTGCATTGATGCTGCATTTTTCCACATGAATGGTGCATTAATAGTGCATTTTTATGCATTAACACAGCATTTTTAATCATTTTGACATTAATTTTAATCATTTTGCATGGTGGAAAAATACTACATCTGCACAGTGTCAGCAAGTCCGAAATCAACTCCGACATCAACTGGACCGTTTCACAAGATCCGGTCAATGCATTGAGATGTCGGATGTCCCTGTACCGCTGTGGATGTTTGATATACATTTGAATGAATTTGTGTAATGTATTTGCCAAAAGATAATTGAAGTTGGTCACTTGTTATTACACCACAGAGGCGTCTTGGCCGGCTACAGGCGGTCATGGCAGGCCAGCGGCAGACCGCCAGCGCTTGCATAGGGGCAGGCCGTCTTCAGATGGCCCTCACGCAAGACGTCTGCCAGGCGCCTGCTGCCCTCGCCTGCAGGCCGCCTGTAATCCGGCTTTCGACGGTCAGCTGGCTTGAGGGCCTGACACATCCGCCGGTTTTTTTTAGCTCTCGGTCTTGCTTTCCCCGTCACTTGCAGGCATTTGGATATCGGTCGGGTGATATCGGGCTCTTGGGTGGGCTCAGCTCAGCTCAGGGCACACAAATTTGACAAATCATACATTTGATTTCACAGCCACAGTCGGTTATCTACAAGTCAGATACAATTCTAATACAAGCCTGATGAGAGAGAGGAGATCCAGAACCCAAGAAAGAAGAACAAATCTTGAAGAAAAACTAATTGTCAACAACGTATTGTAATACTGATAATGTTGGATTAGTTTTGTCATTTAAAGATTGGTTTCCAATTGAATGGATTGGCCATTCACTGCTGGCTTCTAGCTTGCGGTCAGGTTAAATCCTGGCGGACTCGTATTCGCCCCGCCTCCAGGCATTCGCACTATACCAAAATCAACCATCAACATACGTGCGATCTTTGTTATAGATGATTTGGTAAAATCTGGATCAAAAAGGTAGTCAGCATGATTATCATTGCATGCATATATATGTACAAACTTACTCGGTAGTATCGTTCCACTTCAATCACACCTTTACTTGTGGAGAACAATCTGAGAGATAATTACACTGTGTGTCTTTTCGCTTTGTACCACGTTTGAGATTGTTGGAAGAAGTAAGTCTTTGAGGATCATTAGCGGTAGAAATAGCTGTCCCAATGAAATCATAATATCTTCAAAAAACTAAAGATGAAACAAAGACATCTGTCAGTAAATAATGCTAACGTTCTTTGTTTTCAAGAAGCAGTTTTATACTATACAAACCATGATGGCTCTACCATTCAATCAACTAGCTTGACACATCCAATGAGTGTAGAGTTTTTTTAGTGAAATCGATTCAGTGAAACTTGAGGAAATGTTTAATTAACATACTGGATGGTTTAAATCAGCTAAATAACAAGCTTTGTGAGAAGTTTATTGTGTTGTGGGTCTTGTAATTGAAGTCATGAATGGCATTTTGAATGGTTCTGATTTGAGAGTTGATCGGACTAGTCAAGTGAGAGTGATTGAAATAAACTATATGATGTGATTGATTCACCCTTACTGCTTCTTTCACAAATGAGTACCGAGTTAACATTATCGGAAGGAGTTTGAAAACCTTGAAACGAACAACAAGGTCTAACGTCTTAAAACGATTGAAATGTTCTTCTTGAAGTTGAAGTGGAAGATACATGACCTGTTCCCATGGGAGTAGCTGATGGACCTTCAAAGAGAAATTGTACTTGAACAATTCGAATCCATCGTGACTTGTGGAACTGTAGATTGACTGTTTAACTGTAGCATGAAGGAAGTGACTGATTGACCGTCGTATGCATTCACGTAATGGAAGGAAGAGGGGGAGAACAGACACTTACCGAGATTGCAGGGTGAATCTGCGTGTTTCAAATGTTCTAGAGCGCGACAAGGTTGAATCAAACAGGCCCTTTTTTGGAGTGGAAAAAGGGCTTTGAAAATTTTTCCTTTTCAAATAGGAGGCCAGGGACGAACTTGTGACACTTGACCTGACAGATCTCTGGAGTTGCACACTTTGCAACTTGAGTGTTTGTGGTTGGCGTCTGGCGGCGGTCTCTTGGCCTTTTGCACGCGGATTTCTGCCGCGTGAAGGATGCCCGGCGGCAGGCTGCATATTGCTGGTCTACAGGCTGCTCCTCAATCACAATTTTCGACAGAATTGCTTGCCAGAAGTATGGCCGACTGCAGGCCGCCTATCGGTGGCCCGCAGTTGGTCTACAGGCCATTTTTTTCTCAGACCAATCTCAGACAACTTCAGGCCAATTTCTGACAAAAAGGCCTCCCGTGGTGTAACAGATAGGAATGTTAGGGCCCGTTTGGTCCCGCTGATCAGATACTATCTGATGAAATTTCACACCAAAAGTGTTACATACTGTCAGATAGTATCTCGGTCCAATCTCGACCAAAAAGTGAAAACCAGATCGATGTTCGGTTCCAGTATTTGGGGTCAATATCTGATCAACAAGATCAAGATATTTGACCAGATAGAGATAGAGCCTTGAGGCTGTATCTCGGCCCTCTATCTCTATCTGCCCCTCCCTCATCGTCGTTGATCATCCACTTCTCTCTCCACATCTCATTATCAACACATACCCTTTTCATGTCGCCTCTTGATAGCTTTCAATCCTTTGCTCAGCTTTGTCATGACCTGGCGACTTATTCAACCATTTCTCTCCTTGTTTTTTCTTTTTTGTTTCTTTTGTCTCTTTTTCTTTTCTTTTCTTTATTTGTTTTGTTTTGTTTGTTTCCGTTTGTTTTGTTTGTTTCCGCTTTTTTCCTCTTGTTTTCCTATTCTTTTTTTCTTTATTCATGTTCTTGATACCCCTCTATTCCACAGCCTGGATCATGTATGTGTCTCCAAACAAACAATTAATTGATATTATTACTTGTGTTATTATCACACTCATTGCACGAGTTCCCTACGATGAGGTTTTGTTGAAGCGAGAGAACGATGAAGGTCATGGATGACCATTTTAGAGGTTTGGATGAGATAGAGAGCAAAGATGCAGCTTGGAGATTGTTGTTACCGAACAGCAATATGATCTTGAAGGGGTCAACAGACACCTGTTGACCTTTTTCAGATTGCTGTTTGGTAGTTTTCATCCCTGAGATACCAAAATCTCGATGTGCCCCTCGAGATAGGGGCAAATTGAAATTTGGCTTTCAGGTCAGATAATATCTGAAAAGGGACCAAACGGGCCCTTAAAATAACAGGACTTACATTACATGTGCATCTGACGGGTCGGATTCTTTTTCTATGAAAGGATGATTTCGAATTGACTTCATCAGTCGATTCACTTCTTCTTTACCATCTTCTTCATCCATTTCATTTCCTCTAAGTCTACTCACAAACTTCTTTAGTTGATTCATCAAATAGTAATTTTTCAGGCCCTCCCTCTCCACCCTTTTACTTTTATTGGTTTGGTTGCTGTGGGGTATTATTTCATTTTTGAGTGATAGGGGTTTTGATTATTAGTTATTTCGTATTTTTAGATTTTTATAGTCAGCTTTTATACAGAATTATTCATTTTTATCCTCATTAGGCTTTAATTTCACATTTGTTAGCGTATCATTCTTAGTGTGACGCTGTACATTTGTTGTTCCGCTGGCCACCCCGTGGGGTGTTAGGTTAGGATTGGATTTGAAATTTACCGTCCCTTGGTCTGCGTACTAAGGGACTTTTTGCCACACCTAACTAATGTGTTCTATTCCTTAAGTTTGTGAGTAACTGTTTTTGGAAAAACATTTCAATATGTAATTTTTCTTGAAACATGTTTGGCCAGAATTCACTCCCTATTTTCACTCCACTAAGCATTTATATTTGCTTTGTACAAGTTTGATTGAATATTCTACATCAACCAGTGTAGAGGATAGAGACCCATGCAATTTCATTGGAATCATACCTTAGGCAAGAGATATCAACTTGGAAGTGATGAGTAACCAAGATTGTTTTGATTGTGGTGATCAGTTTGCGGATTTGGTTGACTAAGTTTTGATTCCTTCAAGAAATTGTAATTTTTTTGATCCGGTCAAGAATTTAAAAAACCATATCAAGATCACTTAAATTCATTTTAATTTTGATGTTTTGTTAAAACTAGATGATATGTGGGCATGCCCACAACAGGGGAAATATCATAAAATCAAATTTCATTTGAAAGTAGCACACTAGGACCTACCTCACTCTGATCAATGATAATCCTCCTAGTAGACACTATATAACTGTTACTTTAACATCATTTTGAGTGATGTCTGAAATACACAAGATTATAATTTTTCACCAGAGTGTAAATTACTTGAATATTTGTAGCAGTTTTGGGGTCCTTTCAAGATGGGAGGACTGTTTATTCAGGGAGTATACATAAAAGGCTTTGCCATGTGAGATCAAGCTCACCATGAGAAATGAGAATATGATAAACACATGCATGTAGCATACAAATTCCTGGTTCAACTGCACCCCTAGAATTGCTTATATTGTCTGTCTTCATGAACAAGAGACAAGTTGCAATGAGCTCTCAGATCTATTCAGCCCAAGTGTTGAACACATGATCAAGGACAGAAACACAATGATTATATGTTGTCTGTCCAGAGGAGTCAAATTGATTTACTCAGTCTAACAGAAGCAAATGATTACAGATTCAAGTGATATCATTTTATTCCAGAAGTCACGGCTAGGCCACTGCCTTCAATCAGCAGTGCTCAAGTTGACAAGATACAATACCAAGTCCATAATTTTTTTAATTCAATGAAACATATATGCTTCAATCAAGTCAACCTGACTGGAATTATACACAAGGTTGCTCATTTATGAATACCTCAATTGAGTTGACTAAAGTAGACTTTTATTAAGGTTGAAATCAATGCTTGACAAAAAACCTACACTTTCAAGTGCTCATTTATTGATTTTGGTTATCTCTTTATTTTGATTTTTGTTATCATTGATACAATCACAGATTAAGATTGATAGATACAAGAACAGATCAAAGGGACAACATAGATGCAGGGAATCATTGATATCTGTCAATCTAATGATCAGTTTGTGAAAGGTTACAGGAGTGATGCAGTGATGAGGCCAATAGATTGGTGATGGAATGAAAGAAGAATTGTGGTGATGGATGGTATGAATTTTATTGCTGGAAGATAGCACACCACTTGCCATATTAACAATACGGAACTGAATACAGAAAAAAAGAAGCAAATAAAACAAAGCAATAATGAAAGAGACAATCACAGATTGAGGATGACAAAAATATGAGCTGATGAAGTATCTAGAATGATGACACAAAAGACATCCACCTATACCCTGGCGTCACAGCCCTGGACTATGTAACAGTTGAGGCGCACATGGTTTGAAATGCACCTTGCTTTCAAAAGCAAAGAATTGTAAAATCACCATGAACAGCCCTACGGAACTCACAAAGAGTAAAAAGCACAAACAAATTGTGATTGGTCAATAGATTGATACACACAAAACAAAAAGCACATAATTACGTTAACCTGGCAATCAAAAGGAAAACCATTGAACAGTACAAGCCCCATCAACATAGAGCTGTAATTGAATGATAGCAGACACCATTGGTCATCCAAATACACCTTAACAGTGTCATCATTGTTCAAAAATTCTTTTGGAGCCCAAAATGATCTTTGTTGAAAGAAAAGTAAGCCAAGACTACGGTAAAACACACTGTGAACATGGCACCTTTATAAAAGGAAGTTGAGGGCTGATTTGAGAGATTTGAGGGAAATGCCCTGGCCAACTTCAAGCAAAACAGATGACACAAGTACAGCCCTTTCAAGAATGGTTGACTTTTTTTTTCAAAAATTCTCTCCTGTGCAAAACCCACAACTTTGGTTTTATCGAGTTTCTTATTTTCACAAAATTGAGTGATATGGAAGGAAATATAGGATCCTTTAATGAAGATCTTGTGTCCTTGTAACCATTCATCTGTTAATCTTTTGCAATACATTTGCTAAATCTTTTATCTGGCTTGCATGGCTAGTGGGAAGAACATCCTTTGCACATCAGTTAGTAAGATTTGCCATAGCCAGGCCATGGACAACAGGCACATCATATGCGGTTAAGTTGATTCTAGAGAAGACTGGCAAAACCATTTACAGTCATTTGATCTGCTGTACTGATAGATATTTGACAAATTTCCAACCAACCATTCTTGGAATAGTTGTTAGTCCCTCGCTGGAGTAGGTGGTTAGTTCCAGCTTGGGACTATTTCAAATTTGCCTGCAGTCTGTCTTTGATTTTCTGGTGTTATGATAAATGAAGGATGAACAAGACAATTTTATTGAATATCTCATAAGAAAATGTGTTTTTCATCTCTCAATCTTTCAAATCTTAACATTTTATTAAACTTTTCTCTTTCTCTTTGTATTTCACCAAAAGAAAAACAAATTCAAAAATCAAAGATCAACCATAAAGTCATAGGTAAAATTCCTCTTGAAGAGGTAACCAAAAAGAAAAAACAGACAAACATAAAATCAATCTTTTTAGAAAAAACAAAACCATAACTCATAAAATCAATCAACAAACAAACAAAAAGCTCATCACTTTTGTTTTTGTCAAAAAAATCTTTCTTTTCTTTTTGAAAACAAAAAAAAGACAAAACCATCCCCTCGGATGATAAAATTCAGAAATAGAAAGACATTATGAGGAAAAGAAGAGTTCATATACTTTTGTGGACTCCTTTTTTTCTCTTTTTTAAGTAACAAAAAAGACACTTCAATTCAAAAATACTGAAGATTTTGTGTATATGTAGGTGATGAATGATCAAAAAGAGATCATAACCAAAAGAAACCTTCTTCCCACTTGGCTCTTGTTAAGAGATTCAAAGCAAAATCGCATTTGCTTCTATGATCCACTTGTCTGTTCCATTCCGTTTTAAACTGAATAAGTTGATCACACAATAGAATCAATCAATTGACTATACCATAATCTCAATGCTCTAAAAAACCAAAAAACTTACCAGTCCAACCACCTTTTCTCCGTTTCGTAGAATTGGAATGACTTTGGAATTCACAATCTGATGAAAGCCTATGTCGATCACTTGCAATTTTTTACCTTCTGGCATACCAAGAACACCATATTTAAAATGTCGTCCAACGTTCTCAGCCAAAGCTTTTGTCTCTCAACTACATGTCCAGATAGAAATGCGATAAAAGGCTTTTCGAGATGACACAATTACTCCTGTCACTTCATCAGTAAAAGTCATTTCACCTGGTGATTTTCCATTTGATGTGTAAGGTGTTCGAATGTTTCTCCAATTGCTGCCAACATCTGTTAGGAAACAGAGAGACTAGGATAATGGTCTTGATCTCAAACGAGAAAATGAAAAGATGAAAATACAAACAGTGTAAAGCCACCATTTGTCAATTGTTTCACGGTTCTTGTCTCTCGAAGGCTGAACACACCATTTACCACCTTTGTGGTTTGAAGGATCTTCCCATGCAGCTGTTCAAAAGAAAGCATAGGTCATATGGCGGAATCTTGATTGATAGCTCAACCAAAATTACGTTTAATACCTTGTTTAGAAAGGTAGTAATTTGAACTGATATCCATCAATGAAGGAGGAACCATGTTGTGATAGAGGCTAAGAAGCAAACGCAAACACAAGTTCAATGACTAAAATGTCCAAAATGTATTAAGAGTGTGATAAGAGTAAGAAAGGACGTACCCTTAAAACTCTTCAACTGATTCTACTTCAATCACTCTCTGAATCAATTCATCCCGATTCTTAGCTTTATCATTCTTTGAAGCATTATCGAACCATAATGTCCAAGTTGAATAAAGAGGATGCTTAACGTTGAATTCAGTTTGAGAGCTAAAAACTGTTATAAGGGCATTCGGATCTTGAGGTCCGGCTGGTCCCCTGATCTCTCCATTCTCCAATGATGATGTGTCATCTTCTTCATCCGTTTGTTGTAATCTTGGAGATGAGACTGATGAAGACGGTATCGAGTTGGTTTCAGCTATAGCAGCTCGTACAGCATTTGATGATGCAGTAGCTGCGCGGGTGGAAGTTGTGATTTGATGGATTCCGTCGACTCAAGGTTTGAGTCAAGGCTTGTAGTAGCGATGACAGTGGATGTCATGATGAAAATGTTTAAAGTTCAAGGCTTGATTGATTGTATTGAGTTAGGAAGGTTATAAGATCAGTCAGAGTTTTTCGATTCTTGATGATGTGAGATTGATGTTGGTTTTGTGTAAAGTTGTGTAGAATCGGAATCGAAGATGAGAAGTGAACTGTGATCGATTAGGTTTTAAAAGCAAAGAAAAGAAAGATTGAATGAGTGTAATTCTTTGATGGTAAATAGTGAGGAGAAGAAAGTTGAGCTGATGATAGATGAAAGTAAAGATGAAAAGTGAAGTGAAAATTAAAATCCCAAAACTATGAGAAGTACGAAATCAAATTGCAACAATCCAAATGACGGTTTCTTTAAATATAATAGGATTGAAACTGGAATTTTGATTGATCAAGTTCGATCGGGTCGATAAGGGTTGTTGTTGAGCTCAATTGAACAAAATAAAGAGAAGAGAATGAAAAAAAGGGTCAAAAAGGGTCAAGATTGAAACAAGTTTTGAATTTATGTGTGTTTTTGTGAATCTGTACGATTGAAAAGTCTGAAGGGTTTTTAGGCAGGGTTTGGAAACGAATTCGAATCAAGATTATATCAAAACTGCGTAAAAAAGTTGAGTTTTAAAGTCCAAAAGATTTGATGAGATGTCTCATAGGAAATCACCAAATGTAAGCTGGTAAACAGCTTGATTGAAAGATATCCAAGTTGAAAAGAGATGGATGGATGGGAATGATGAAGACTGACTTTATTGAATCAAATGAGAATGAGGAGATACTCAGTATATGATGGATGGATTGAGGGATTGAGGGATGGATTGAGGGATTGATGGATGGATGGATGAATTGATTGATCGATGATAGAAATGGTAATCAGCTTTGAGTTCAGTGATAGGATCGAAAGTTAATAAGCTATGTTGAAATTGTGAAGTTGGGGGTGATGATGATGAATTAGTAATCGATGAGTCAAAAAGAAGTCAGAATTGGATTGGTAAGAAGATCATTGAAACTTTGAAAAACAAACTGGTGAAGGTGTTTCTTTGATTTTGTTATTTAGTTTACTGAGCTTGAATATGTAGAACTGAAGTTGATTAATTTTTGAAAAGTTGAAATTCGAATCAGTTCTTTATAAGATATTGTAAGACGAGACACAGAGGATGAGGATGAGATGGACAAGGATGGACAAAGATAAAAGTTTTTCAAGCGAAAAGAACAAGTTGATCTGTTGGTCTTAAAATCTAAAATTAAACTCAAAACATCATCTTAAAGCTTCTTAAACTCCTAATATTTAAACTACTAGTGATTACCAATCCAACATCCAATTCATCTATCATCACACTTCGTCATTGTTCATCATCATTCATCCAATCAAAAAATCATCCTCAATCGATCACTCTCTACATACCTCCACTATTTTGGTCTTCAAACGGAATCAAATCATCAAGATCTTATTGATCAATTTGTCCAATTTTGACCGCAGGACCAAACTCCGAACTTAACAGACTCCCTCGCAGGCGCTAAAGCCAGAACAAAGCCTGTCTACATAGGCTGCACACACTTGACGCCAAATGTGACCTTCCTGGCGCGAGAGGTCGTGAGGTTTAGTACATAGGGGGAAATTGGACCCAATCCAAAACTTTTGCCCAACAAAAGATTCTTTGACTTGCTCTTAAGCGATCACAGTCCCGCTTCTTCAAATTCTGTCTTTTCAATTTTTACACGCAGTATCCTACTTGGAAGCAGCACAACTTCAATTTCCCAAGGTAGAATTTGGAAAAGTTTTTTGTGGCAAACCTTTTTCTTTGGGTCCAACTAAATCACACGACATCTCACGCGAGGAAGGTCACATTTGCGTGATTCCCTGTGATTCCCTAAAGCAGGCTTCGGCTTTCACCACCTGCGAGAGAACTTGTGAAGTCAAAACTCGAACAAATTGGTGAGAATCATTTGAAAAAGCTCTTCTGAGTTTGGCTAAATATTTTTTCATAAAGATTGATACTTGTATTGAATTATCCACATAATAAATCTGTTCTATGAATAAGAGAGTGTAGATTCATAAAGACATCAGAATGCCTTCCACAAATACTGGTTTTTCATCTTAAAAGTTAGTTCCACCTGCAAGGTGATTTGACTCAAAAATTTGAAATTCATAGAGGAAGGATAGATATTGATAGATATATACCAACACTATATCCCTTCTATCACTGAGTCATTTCATAGGCAAAAAAAACAAAAAACAAGTAAAACCCCAAAATCATGAATTGATCCATATGTACATAATCACTTGATCTCATTGATCAAGTTTTAACACTCACCCAATATGTAAGAAAAAGTATCATTATTAGTTTAGAAATCTATAAAACATTATAAATATATCATGTGTTCTATAAAAAAAATCATCTAAATCATACAAAAAATAAACTTATGAACAAAAAAAATAAGATTATGAAACATATTTGATTACATTTGTGATGCATGAACAAAAAAAATTAACTGCAATGTGATGTAAAGTACCAATCAAACAAACGAAAAATGAAAATAAACGGTACATTGTGAGTTTACAAGTTGCTGTCTTGAATCTTGCGTATATAAAAGAGTAAAAAACATCAAAGATTATATGTATGTCATCATAATCAATAACAATAAAGATATATAAATAAAAATTATGTTGACAATCAACCTGAATTAATGTAGTTGATCTGGTTTGATTTCTTCTTCTTCTTCTTCTTTACGATCCTTTCAATAATAAAGCTTCCATTCGGTTTTGAACATCTTCAATCTTATAAGGTTTCACACAAATCTACAAAAAAAACATATAACACAAAATCAGTTCTGATCTACAATTTTATTTTATTTTCTTTTGAAGAAGGGTAAATAAAAATCTTTTTCGTTGTTACAAAGAAAGATTAAGAAATTCTGACTTACATCATCAAATCCACTTGCAAGAAACTGTTCAGTTTGTTCTTTCCTTGCATTCCCAGTCTATCCCCCCCCAAAAAACACATATCAACAATCCGTATCTTCTACAAATCGAATACATTAGAGACAAAAAACATTTACAAAGACTTACTACTGCAATTACAGGATACCTCTGTTTAACTTTCCCCGTCTTTTCAGAAGCCCTAAGTTCAGTGATAGCATCTAATCCATTCATGACTAACCAAGAAACGCATTAAAATTAGTGTTGCATTTTAGTAATATAAGATTTGAAAAAAAACAATGATTCATACCAGGCATTTGAATATCCATCAAGACGATCCCAATCCTACCCAATTCAGATGGATGTTGATCATCTTCATATAAGATATCTAATCCTTGTCTACCATCCATGGCAACTGAAACAGAATAACCTTTCAAACTCAATTGACGTTTAATCACTTTAACATTGATCAAATTATCTTCAACCTATTCATAAACAAAAAAGAAAAATTCAGGATCAAACTCATTGCATTGAGGAGTGATGAAGTTTTTTTTAAAGAGGGAGATGAAGACAAACAACAAGAACATGTGTAGCTAGTTTGATAGGATCCGTACTTGTTGAAGATTGAACGATTTGAACACTCGTTTGTCTTCTTAAACTAGGTGGTCTTAAACTTTCACGATTATTGTCTTCCGTTCCACTTCCCATTCGTCCTGCGTCTGGGCTTGGTAATCGTTTCTTTGTTAATGGCATTGAGCCGACTGACATCAATGAAGCAGCTGAACGTATCTCTGCGTCTTTCTCTAATCCATTTTGCATTCCTAACCTCTTAGCCACTCCTCTCAATCTTGAAGATGCACCACCACCACCAGGACTATCCACTGTGGGGTTTTTTTTCGGACCTGATCCTCGTTTGGCTGGAATCACAAATGAAAATACTGAACCTTGACCTTTGGTAGAAACGACTTCAATAAATCCACCATGATTTTCAATCAAACAACGTGATACATAAAGACCTAATCCTGAACCACCATATTGATCTTGTGTTGGATTCACTTGAGCAAACCTTGCAAATAATTTAGCTAACTCATCTTGACTTAAACCTCTGGCTGTATCTCTAACTCCTACTTTAGCATAAAGTAAATTTTGGGTTCCTGCTTCATCTGCTAATTCAGGTTTTAATGTTCCAATCCTTCTGGCTTCTGGATCAAGTTCTGGACAACTTGTAAAAAGTTCAACATGAATTGTTACTACTCTTCTACCTTCACTAGTGGATGTATATCGTAATGCATTCGAAAGAAAGTTGATCGTCACTTGAGCTAATCGATTTGGATCAGCTATGATGTAAGCTGGTTTCTCTAAACCTTCTCCTACTTGAATGTCTAACTTGACATTTTTGGATTGAGCTTCCAAATTCAGAACAGAGTCAAGAATCAGATGCCCCGAACATCGAACATCAATGACAGGAAAGAAACTCCTTTGACTTACCTTCAATCAGGTACATTGATAAGACTTCGCAAACTCTTTCCAGTAAGTTGAACTCAGTCTTGATGGTGGTAAGCAAACCCATGCTAAGTTTCAATACCTGAAAAAGATGCGAGGAAAACGACGATGAGCCAAGTGTTAGGATATACAAAATGACGGGTTTTGAATCACATTGATGATGTCATCCGCAATCCTTGACCTGAAGGACATAGATGAAATGAAAAATCGAAGCCGTGGCCATTCAGTTACGCTGTCTCCCTCTCCAACCTTTCATCAGAAAAAAATAGAAACGTAGGCGATTTGATAACTCAACTGATGAGAAGCGCAAAGCTGGATACTCTCCACTGCATTGATATCTTCTTCCAACTCTTGCTTAAACCATTTTAATTCAGATTTAGATAAAGTTCTTTCTTGATCATCATCTTGATTGTCATCATCATCATCATGTACTAGATTATCATATATTGATCTAATCGAGGTATGAAGTAATTCAGCAGCTTGATGAATTCCATGTAATGGGTTTCTTATCTCATGAGATGTCTAAGAAGCATAAGAAATGACCATCGATAAGAAAACCAACAAATCAAAAGATAATTCAAGAAAAACCATATCAAAAAGCCAAGAAAAACGAACCATATCAATAAAAGCTTCTTGTTGTCTTTTACTTTCTTCAGCATCACGAGCTCTAGCTTCAGCGGCTTCTAATTGTTTACGTTCAGATTCCTTACGAGCCGTCACATCAGAGGTCGAACCTAAACAACCAGCAAAGACTTTCGATTCATCATAAAATGGTGAAAGTTCATATAAACACCAAGATCCATCTTTTCCTCTAAATTCTCCTTTGGTAGTCATTTGTGCTTTAAAATTGATTTCAAATTCCTTTCGCATCCTATCCCTATCATCTAAACAAATTTGTTCTATCCATTCTTCTAAATTTTCTCCTGAATGATCTGATGGAATCAATTTACATTGTGATCTAAATGCATTATTTGCCAAGGTCACTCTTCCCTCGATATCCCATTGAAGAATGCCTACTGGACTTAACATTGAAATCGCTTCAAAGGTATGATATAAATCTTTAAATCTCGCTTCATTCTCTCTTAACAATTTCGTTCGACTTGTCACCGCATTCTCTAATCTTTGTCTCATCTTTGATAATTGTAAATGGGTATTAATCCTGGCTACTAATTCTTTCGCTTCAAACGGTTTAACTAAATAATCATCCGCTCCTTCTGCCAATCCTTCAACTCGAATCTCTGATCCTGCATGAGCCGAAAGTAAGATCACCGAGATCCCTGCTGTATCCGGATCTGTCTTCAATCGTTTTAACAATTCGAATCCATTCAAGGCCGGCATCATCGCATCTGAAACGACTAGATCAGGATGATGAGCCTTAGCCCAATGATAAGCTTCTAATCCATCAGAGGCTTCTGCTACGGTGTAGTATCGACTTAAAACACTCCTGACGAATGATCTCATGTCATCATTATCATCCGCAATCAAAATCGTCGAACCGGAAGTCGACATCAGATCACTTTCGCCATTCATTCCTCCCATTGAATCCGACGAGCATCTTGAACCAGACGTATCTGAGCAAGCTGGAGATACAGTCATCAGTGAGGATGAGATAGGTTCAATGTCTCCTAACATCCATCTTCTTGCATTAGAAGCCACTACTCGATCATTTATCTTTTCTAATTCAGTCTCGGGTGAATAATCCAATAAATCGGAGGGTAGATGAGATATGCCGAGTAAGAGAGTGGCAGTAAAGGTCAAACCACGTCCGACTTCGCTCTCGACTTCTAATTTCCTGCGATGTAGCTTGATAATATCTGTGTTACCAAACAAGATACCAGCGTGAATCATTGGATCAACCCATCGAAACCAGAGAGATGTGGTCCTGACCTTGAACCAATGCCAAACCAATACCGGTCCCTTCGGCCTGTTGAGCAGAATCTTCAACTCGATGAAATCTAAACCACAGGCCAAATCATCCAAAATTTGAACAAACTAAACTCGTGAACACGCAAAGCCATAATTCAGACATGAAACATACCGATCAAATATCTTTGGGAGTTGGTCGCTTTTGATTCCTACTCCCGTATCACTAACTGACAAATAACATTTCGAAAAATCAAATCAAATCCGTACAATCACTTTTCCACCTTTACCCGTGAATTCTATTAAATTATTCAAAGATAAATAGATCAGCTGGTTGGTGAACTCCGATGTATACAAATGAAAATGAGCAAAGGAGACATACTCATGCTATTCGATATCAGATTGAATAACACTGATGATTCAACAGAACTAGTCAGTTTTCACCCTCCTCTGCCGCTTTTAGACCAAAAAGAACGAGCCTTTTTCCATAAAATCGTGATCAACCCACACCCTCGCACTTGAGACTGGAAAGTCAACAATCAGTTGCAATTGATTCTACGAAACCCAACCCACGAAAGATGAATCTTGCAAGCCTTCGATGAGCAAAATAAAAATCAAGAGAGAGACTTACCTTGGCCATCGCGCTTCTGAACAACGAAGCTACAGTCAAATTATTGAAGTGGTAAAAATAGAACCGGAAGAAGATCTTACTCAGCTCACGTGGTGCGCCACTCTGCCCCAACAAAGTAGGGTGTTTCCTTCCACACGTCTTTACATACGCATCTTTGAGTTGTATGTAAGAGGAAAAGCCCTTGTTAGGTTTAGGCTGGTTTAGGTCTATTCCGTCCAGTTACTGTTTGATTATGGGTGGAAATTTTTGTTTAACATCAATAATATTTTTAATTCACGCCTCAAATTGTTCTACTTACAACACATCCCTAATCTCCAAGTCACTATCAGCTACTATTGAGTTAGATAGGGGTCTGAGAACAAGGATTGGGATGAGGATGAGCTTTTTGATTGTTAACTTTCATGACTGTTGATGAGATGTACATGAGTACTGTTATGAAATAATTATGTATGCTATGTCTGATGTTGTTTGAGCATTTTTTCCCACCTACTTTGCTTTTTGGGGGGTTTTAACACCTTAGAGGCACACCTAAGCGCCCCTACCATAGGCGTGCCTTTGGAAATATCAAAATATGCGCCCAGGCCTGCCCCAAATTCAAAACACGCGCCCACCACATGATACTCAGCCCATCTCTGTGCGCCACTCTGCCCCAACAAAGTAGGGTGTTTCCTTCCACACGTCTTTACATACGCATCTTTGAGTTGTATGTAAGAGGAAAAGGGGTCAATCATCACTTTAAGCTTCATATGAACAAAATGTGAGGATCTTACCATTGTAAAGCATCACGCATTCTTCCCACCATAACAGAAAATGAGAAGAAAAAGACCGAAATTCAGCCAAAGAATGAAAAACGTAACAAGAATGAGAAATGATTAAGGGAATCAACCTCATTCGATAAGGAGCACTTAGGATCAATCCTACCACAGATCGAAGCGTAGGAGACCAACCTTCGGTAGGACCAATCGGTGTATCTTCCCATTTTCTGGCCAATATAGCTCTTCCCATATTAGTCCTTTTCAATGAATCAAGAAAAGGATCCCGAAGTGGATCTATCTCCATTGGAATTGGATGATTCGGTTCCTCGGCAGTCGAATCATCATCATCAATCATAATTGATGGAAAATTGTCTTTAACAGTCGCAACACTACCAGTGACTACCACCATGCTCAATTTCGATTAGCTCGGGCTTGAGTTCATTGGAGATTAATTTTCGTCTTTTGTTTGATCTAGAAACTACTCTTCTGGCTTCCGATTCGCCTAACCAAGCTTGGTGTGAAGATAAGGGTTGTTGAGATGCTGCTTGGCTCAGGGGATCTAACAACGGCAAACTAGCTTCTAGATGCAAGGTAGGTGGATGCTCATTTGTGGTGTTGGTTTTAATTCGCTTAGTTGGTGTTGGAGGATTTAAAAAGGTAACCTGAGGCACGGGATTATTCCAAGGAAATGGACAGTACATACAATGTTGGAGTATCCGGTGCGGGGACCCGAGTGACTGAGTCGGAGTCTACACTACAGTATATAGTACATATTATCAATTTAGTATGTAAATATTCCACATGTAACAATTACACTAACACAAGTGTAAACACACCGTCACGGGTCTGTTTGTTGATTGGAGAACTATCCATCAATTCATTTCACTTCACTTCAACATTGTTTGTCTTATCTTATATCACAAACAATATCAATCCATCAACAATAAAACAAATTTAATTGATGAATGATTGGACTTTCTTGCATTGACAGATCAAAGTCTTTCAAAATATATACATATTGCTCATCATCTTTCATAGGAACAATTGCACATACATACTCATCTACTCAAATAGATTAACCTTTCAACATCAAAGCCAAGAGATAAAATCATCATAAATTGAGTTCTTGGCATAGATTTACATGCAGACATGGCTGCACAAAAGCGCGCAAGAGGGAGAGCAGTGATCAGTGATCATCAGTTAGATACTTTATTTGTGATATGGTTCAGAGGCATCACCCGCCACACCCAATTGAGTAAATACTTTCTTGCAGACTTGACTTTGAAAAATGTAATCCAAAATTCAAATCATTATTAACTCTTTATAATGATTGATAAGAAAGAAAAAAAATCCACAAAATAGATTATAATAATTAGGAGCCCCTTAAAAACCAAACCAGAAACTTTGAAAAAAAATGAAAAAACCATTTGATTTTTTTCTTTGCTCTTCTAATATTTCTATTCTTTGCAATTATCAATTCAATCCTTTCATCTTTCTGATCACCTTCTTTGATTAATTTCATCTTCTCTGTCACTTTTTTATTTTCAACTTTCAACTTTTCCTATTCTTTTATCATCCCTTTGATCTTCATTAACTTTCTTTTGTCTCTTTTTTGATCCCGATCCTCATTTATTTCCCCAGTGTTTGTCGTCCCCCAAAACAAAGAAGAAAATGTAAGTTGACAAATTTGGAAAAAAACAGATTTGGTTGTGTTGAATTGAATTGAATGAATAGGAAAAAACTTCATTCTCCTGAGTTTGTAACATATAACTTTTTTGTCTTTATATGAGTTTTTCACTATGTTCAGTTCTTTTCTTAACAGTTTGAGTATTTTAAATAGCTATTATATTGGAAAAAGGAACCAAGATGGATCAATGAAAACCCAACAAAACCCTCTTCAGAAGATCTCACTTTAAATAAATTCAATTTGGATACCTTGGGTAGAGCGAGAATCACTTGAGAATGTAATGATTGTTAGGAAACCATATGATTTGAATTGCCTCATCATGAATAACAGTTAAAAAATATGATGATAAGTTCATATAAACATAACTCTCTTGACTTCTTCAAGGTATGGATTTTCAGAGTGAATAAATGTATTTGAAGGGAAGAGAAAACCTTTCATAACCAATTTTTATCACAAATCCAAGCCAAAGTGTAAGATTTGAGGCAACAGAAATGCATGTGGTTGAGTAGTAGAAAAAATGCTAACAAAAGAACATCTGTATCTCATTTTTGTTCATATTGTTATCCTCACTCATCTCTCTGAACTCTTGGCACTTGCTTTGATTATTCTGTTTGCTTTCACTATATTAACATCAGTCTCACTATCATTCCAAGAAGACTTTACTTGTGGTGGCCATCAGATTCACAAAATTATACTAGCATGGTGCATTAGAATTTTGTGAATCCAAGAGATGATGGACATCTCAAGTGTCTTTAAATATTGAATCAAGTGAGATTACCAACTGTCTATAAAGGTAGAATGTTTTGTTGAATTTGCTTCCCCAACTGATGCAGATCTTGTCTTCTTGATGAGTGTTTGCACTTTGCAAAAGGCAATATGATGTAAAAATAGTGAGCTGCTGCTTGTCTTGTAGGGTCATGAGATTCATAATACTGTTTAAAATTTAGATGCTCTCATGAAGGAGCATGTAGAAGGCCTAGAATTTCAGTATTCTTTTTGGCCAACTTGGTTGTGAAATTCTACCAATGACCAAGATGAATTAACATTTGCTCAAACTTGACTGTTTTTACTAAAGAAGTGATGGATCCACTCACTGATTTGAAAATATGTAGCAAGAACATCACCACTTTTCTCAATCAAATAAACTCACAAAAACAAATCAATGATCACAATAATTTTTAACAAAAAAAACACACAGAAAACCTTCCATACAATTTCTTTTGGTATTTCTCCTTTCAAATCTCTCCACAACAAAAAACCCCTTTCAAGTATTCCAAGCCTTGTTATTTCTTACTTGATGATTTTTCTCTTTTGCTAATCGAGATCTTCTCTTCAACAAGTTGATAAAAATTTAAAAAACAAAAAGACTCATCCTAAAAAACAGAAACACAAGCAGTCTTTGTCTTTGGAGTAGCAGGAGTAGAAGAACTATCTTTGAAATCTTCCAAATCTGCATCAATCTTTATTTCATCTCATCTTCTTCTTCTTCAATTTTCTCTTTTGCCTTTGATGATTCATCTTCTTCGCCATCAGATTTGGGTTTTTCTTCTTCTGAAGATCCAAAATCATTGAAAGATTTGTGTTCGAAGAAAGAAATGTGTATTTGAGCAAATATCAAACAAACCTTATTCAGTCCACCAAAGATAAATTGGCCTGACTGTGGAAAACTCAGAGTGAGTTGAGATGAGTTCTTTAGGTTTATCAATCTCTAAATACTCAGTAGCATCATCTTCAAAATAACAACATATGTAAGTTCAAGTATTTCAATGAGAACACAGAACGGAAATAAAATGAAAAGCCTACAAAGTGATCTCAGTACCACGACGTCAGATTTACCACGAGGATCTTCTGAGATCTTGAATTCAGCAGCCTAAAACTCTATCAGTTACAAAGAAAGAAGAATAAAATCCGAATCTGAATTGACCGATTCAACTATTAGGAGTTTCAATTTTTCTCATTTTTCTGATTTGGTTGAGAATTCAGAAGTTCCAAATCTGGCTGTTGTTCCTAAGTTTTTTTGTAATTCTGATTTGGTCATACCCACACCCGAATAATCAAAAGAAGTTCAGAGGTGTTAGGATTCTTCTAGGTTATGTTTCTTTGATGATTAATCTTTTGATAGGTTATCAGCCATAATCGTGATATTGAGAGCAGGCGCGGTATACAATACCTGAGAGAAACAAAAGAACAATTCATCAATGTTCAAGACTGAATTTGAAGATCTGGTCCAATGAACTTGCAGATGAATCAGTCAAAGAAGCAAATCTCACTATTGCTAATCATTCCTCTTCAGAATACATCTCGATCATGATAAAGATGAGAAACGACGACATGCATAAGTATAGCAATATCACTCTATAGAAAAGCATTCAAAGATCAGTTCTTGATTTTGATGTAAAAGTGAAATTCAAACTCAACTTGAGATTTGAATTTTTCTTTTTTGACATCACGATTTCTCGTTCTGATTGAAATCCTGAGATTGGGATTTGAAAACATAATCAAGTTTTGATTTTAAAAGTTGATTTGAAAAAATAAAATGAAGACAAAAAGGTTAAATGGAATGAAAAATAAGTACTAATATTCCATAGCTTGATATTCTCCTCCTCCTGTCATTCCGCTTGGTACTTTTGGGCTTTTGATTTGCTCTTCATCTAATTCACTTATGTAATTCTATTGATCAATACCAATTTTCAGAACAATAACAGACCCTATTCATCAAAATAGAGTTAACGGATCCAAACAAACAAACAAAAAAGAAAAGTCATTCTAAAATCGTAGTACTTATACTTAAACATTTAATTAAGGATGAAATGACAGTTTTTGATGAATTAAGATCATTTGATTGAATAAAAAAAGTGGGTGATAAAGGCTGATAAAGGTCCTTGAAGAATATCATTTGGTATCATTTGTTTGGCATCATCTATTTCAAAAACAAATCATATCAATTGATTGAATCTTTTGATGAACTCTTTTTTTTCTAGTATGAAGTATTTACCCGTTGTAGAAGATAATTCATCTAAAAGACGAATCGATAATAATGGAATATCAAAATGACTTTCTCCTGTAAGCTAAAAAACTCCCAAATTGATTTTCAACATCAATTTTCTTTTAACCAAATTTCCAAAAAAACGTTTTCTAGAATGTATAAAAGAAAAAAAAACTTACTTCTACAAAATAAGAAAGTGGTTTAATCGGTCCAACTTCAATGTAAGCAATATGAGCCGGAACTTAAAGAAAATCCCATTCCCCCCCCAAAAAAAAGAAAAACAAGTATGTAAACTATCAGTTATCAATTCTCATCATCATCATCATCAAGAAAAAACAAATATACTGACCATAGTCAAAACATGAATTAAAAAGTACAGTAATGATGATTTGAAGACAGTGTGTATTAGGTTGAATAAGATTAATTAAATTTGAACGATTCTAAAAATAATCTAAATTAATTAAATCATGAAAAATTTTAGAAGCATTAAACGATAAAGATTTCGACCGATTGATATCTGCATTAATCCAAAAAGAAAGTCAATAAAGTATTTCCTCCCCCCCAAAAAAAACAAATTAGAATGAAAAAGGGTTCGTACCATGAGTATGAACTAAATTTCCTATGACTCTCATTAATTGTTCTGTTGCTTCAATGATATGATCATTTGGTTTTAATTTCGATTCAATTATTAATCTTCTTAAAATGTTTAAAGTGTGTGGTACATATGACCCAAGTTTGAAAATTTATCAATCCTACCAAAAATAATCGATTCAAATCCCATAAAGAATCCTCATCTTCTATTGGGCCAGCATTTGTGATTTCAGCTGGTAATCGCAGTTGAGATGCACGATAAGCCATCAATCTATCGTTCAAGTTCAATCAAAGGTTTCTCGATTTCGGGCACGTTTCGGGAGCAATACTATCCACCACTATTACCAAGCCATGAAGTGCGTCATTTCTATGCCATCTTCTTGTCTGTAGTTACCAAAACTGGTTTAGCATAACGAGAAAGATAAGAGTCTAGTCTAGGATAAAATACATAAGACTAGGCTAGATTGTCTAATTACGAAAGACGAAAGGTGTTGTTCTGAAGAAGGTTGATCAAGGGCTATTTTGATTTGAACCGGTTCGTATTAAAGGGTTGGTTGAATTCGAAAAGAAGTGGTTTGAGCTGTTAACTTGAGTCAGCTTCAGTCCTTGTATTTTTGTAGTTGAAAAAAGTTAAGGAAGACCGGATCAAAATCACTCACACGGGATGTTGATTCTTCAACTTGTGATCGGTTCAAACCAAAAAGTTGAAATTTGAGAGGTTTTTTTCAAGTTTTGCGTATTGTGATGTCATGTGTAGCAGACTATTTTGCTACGGTAATTTCAAAACACCAAACCGGATAGATCTCAACAATTAATAAAGGTTAGTCCGGTTTAGCCAGGGCCTTGTCATACCACAGCAGATTTATTACTGTTGACAACACCTTGAGATGGCTATCATTGCAAAGTTGCCGAGCCATTAGAAATGGCTACAGCATGGATTCAATTTCTATAGATAGCTAGAGTATTCTTGACGAGAGCCAATTCCCACACCCTCAACACCATCCACACTTTCACACCTTGCATTCTCAAAAAAAAACCATCTCAATATAGCTTATTCGTCCTGATCCTCCCTGGTCAACTCCCAGTTTCATCACATCAAAGCCTGTCTTGCTTCCTACCCCAGCCTCGACGCACCCTTCTCCCTTGAACCCTCGCCACTTCGGATTTTACCTTTTTCACCTCTTTACCTGAAACTTTTATTACACAAGCTTGACTCTTCTTACGCTGGTTCATGGACACTGGCAGCAAGAGTTAAAGATTCCGAAACAACGGTGCCGACGATTGTCTCCCTTTTCTTTGTTTTTTAGAATCACTATAAATCAAATTTATAGACCCACATTTTTTCCATAAACCTGACTTTTTGACCCTTGACGCCTAAGGCACTTTGCATTTATAACATATTAACACAATTCCAATTAAATCGTTGTAAGCAAATATCTTTTGACAAAAAAAAATTGAAAATGAAATCAACTGACAAAATTCATCTCTTTTGGTTATCACACTTTTTTCATGAAATCACATCCCACATCCGTAGATAAAGCTCCTTTTACAAATACAAATTTTTCGCCACTTGACGCTTCAAAACCCTTGAATTTTTTACTTTCAAAACATCAACCAGTGTAAGCAAAATATTCTCAATATCCTTTTATAATGAAATAAAAAGGACTTACTTTTCCTATGTTTACCTCTTCATTATCTCAATCTACATCCACAGCCTTGTCAAATTATTATTCTAAAATCCCAACAAATCATTTATAAAGCTTTTAACCTTTGATCCTATTTTGCTCATCCAACTTCAACCAAAGCATCTAAGCCCGTCAACTCTCAGCCTACATCCTTCTCCATTGGTCCATTGATTTCAAGACCTTTTTTGTGTAACATCTTTTTCCTAACCCCAAGTTGTAGGCTCAATAACTTACGTGAGTCAAAGCAAAGATCTTCAAAATTGAAATCAACTAACAAAATCCTTCTCTTTTGCTTGTCACTTTTTTGCTTTGTCTCTTTCTACAGATACCCTAGGCTCGAATTTTTTATTTTCAAAACTTCAAATAGTGTACGCAAAATCTTTTCAATATCATTTTTTATTGACAATGTATCATAAAGGACTTACTTTTTTTATATTTATGTGTTCATCATTTCATGCTACATTCACAGATGGCAAAAAACCCTTCTCAGAAAGCTGCGTTAGCTCAAAAGCAACAAGAGAAGCGCCTGGACAAGAAACAACTGCGTGCTTACCTTTGAAGAGCTGTTGTTCAGGACCAGCACGGTACACCCAGCACAGCCAAAGTCATCCGGTGTGACCCTAATCGTCAAGTAGTGCGCACCATTGAATCGGGGCATGTCGTTCTTGTTGACTCCCTTACCGGTGAATTTATTGCCTCAATTTATACGCTCCATGAAGATGACGATAGCAACAAACACCTCCGAGAGAAATTTGACTGGGCAGTTCAAATACTGTATCATCACGGCCTTGCGCGTAACAAGTGTGAAGTAAACAAAGCTCAGAAAGCTTTAGGAGATGCCAAGAGTGGAGAAATGTATCCTACTGGCTCTCGTGGTGGTACTGACAAAGGAAAATCTGGTGGTGCGTTGACTTACCTTGAACTGCTTCACCTTCTTACTAACTCGCATCTTCCCCAGGTCCATATGTATTAAATGCGCAGACTCTAAGCAAACCTCAGCTCATCAAGCAAGACATCGAACGTATGAAACTTATGCCTTCTGTTGACAAATTCATCTCACAACTCTTTGCATACCTTGTCCTCTCTCAATTCAAAGCAAACCTGGAGCTTGCGCAACAGTACGGCGTGTCCTGGGCTTCTACAACCTTCTTCAACACCCTGGACAAATCCAGCTGCGGTTCCAACCTTGTCATCACTCGAGACGAATTCGCTAATGAATCACATCAAGACCCTGACGCATCCGGATGTGCTATTGGCCTCTTTTGTCTCATGGAACGTGACACAGGCAAAGTCATTCACCCTCAAGAAACCAGTGCACCTCCGCCATTCCACATTGAGGAAGCTTACTTTTACCTTGACAACTATAACACAAGGATACGTTTGAGCCACCGCGCAAAGGTGATTGTGTGGAATACGAAGATGCACCATCACAGTTCACTTTCTCAAACGCTTGACTCTTTTGGCAAAGTAGTGTCCCCACGAAAGGCCAACTTGACCAACTTCGGGTCTTCCATTCAAGTTTCGCAAACCATTGTTGATCGAATTCGTGGGATGCGTAAGAAGCAAGCGGGTATGAGTGAGAAGAAATGGAATGCTTTCAAGATCAAGCGTGTCAATGATTATGCAGACGAGATTAACAAAAGGTTGACTGATCTCAAGGAAATCAAAAAGCTTGACCCCCTCATTGAGGCGCAAATTAAGGCTAGTCTTGACAGTCTTGGGCGCTTGTAATCACCTTAATCACCTATCTTGTTTTCTTGATTTTTCTTCTTTGTTCCTCCAATTTCTATTGCAATTAATTTCCATCCTATCATATCTCTACAACTGTTCCGTGTCTTTCAACACAATGACTAATTCCTCATCTTGGTACATGTAAAGATCTTGTAAGTATAATGAACCATCAATTTGCATGTAATCAACTTTTCTCTCTGATTTGTCGCCCCCCCTCCTTTGCTTACAATATGAATTTGTAGGCAGATGTTGAACCTCACTTTTGCTATTCCAAATTTATTATTCAAGTTTAAACTCTTGGAAATCCGAGCTTGACACACCATCACCTTTTCACATTTCAAGCCCCATTTTGCTTCAAATTGTTGGATGATCCAATAAACCAATTCACGTGCTTTCAGATGTTTGGTCTGAAGTATCATAGTGGTATGCTCATACATCACGGGTCCCAAAATCAATCGTGGCCTTGGAAGGAAATTGTAACTTTAAAAAATGATTCACGTAATCAAACTTGAATGAAATGGATGAATTATGATATATATTTTACACAAAAGTCAAGAAAACAATTCAAAGACAAAGAAACCCAATGACATACTGTAAACGGCATAAAGAAGAAAGATGTCTAGAAGTTTTGGTTATACAAGCTGAGGATGACAATGCCGACTCTCAAACCTAAGGGACATTGTCAAAGCTCTCGGTGCTTGACTTTTGTTCTGGTGATGCTGAGGTTTCTGGCCCACCATCTTCTACAAATTTAAATGACTTACTTAATCCCTCAGGACCACGTCTCTCTTGAGCAAGTGAACAACCACAAATCAGTTTGAGAACTGCGCGATGTTTAAAAAAACCTTGAAGAACTTCATCAGAAAAGTTTTCATGATTAATTGAAGGAATGATTTGAGAATGTTGATCTAAAATCTCTCTAAGTATATGTTTAAAATATGATAAAAGCTTGGTTGACATTTTAATCCCAGCGATATTTACAAATGTGTATAGTATTATGGTCAACAAGGAAAGAATCAGGATACGTATTGTAAGTAATCAATTCAATTTTATCACATCATTGTTTGAAATTGGTTTATTTTCCTCATAATGACGTTACAATTTTTTGGGGGGGTTGATTAAAGAGTGATTGCGTCAAATCGAGATGAATTTTTAACACGTTCAACTCAAAATGCAAAATGGCATTCATCTGGAAAAGAAAGAGAAAAAGAAGAAGACAATGTGATATCAGGTTTAGATTTAATTGGAGGTGGTACTTGGTTAGGATATACCAAAAGATTAAATCGATTTGGATTTTTAACTAATCTTTCAAACATAAATCCATCAAACCAAAAGAAATCAAAATGGATAAGTAGAGGTAATTTATTAAAAAATATTTAGTTCAAACTAACACCCAAACTTTGAAAGAATATCTTCAAGACATTAAGGATAATAGTGCTTTAGATCTTATGGATGGATATAATTTAGTAATCGGTGAAATTCAAGAGGATGATGAAAAAGTGATCATGGATTCGTTTTGTACTCGTCAAACTTATGATAATGAGATTCAAATCAATTCAAATCTTAGTCAAAAAAGTCGAATTGAAGAGTACAAGGAGAATGGAAAAAGTAATGGAATTGAAAGTGATGAAGAAGAAAATGAATGGATTAAAGTTAAATTAGGAAAAGATTTATTGACTAAAAGAATGATTAAAGAATCAGAAGAACCAAATCAAGAAAAGTTGATTGAAGATTTGTTCGATTTTTTGAGGTATGTGAGTTTTAAGCGCTCTCGTCAAATAATAAGTTGATAAACTGATTATTTTAATTCCTTATCCTTGAAATCAAGTCAAACGGATCCAAATGATGAAGCTTTACCTAAAAATATCTTGATTTGTCCTCACCATAGACTCAATGAACCATCAGATATCCCCAATTGACAAAGTTCAGATCGTTTCATTCCATCTCCAGTTTCTCTTTCAACTGTATTAAGTTTACTAAGGATCAAAGACATCATACCCATATACTTATCATATGAAACTGTTGGTTTTCTTTTCACTTTTGGTGCTGGTGCTGGTGCGGGTGTGGAGCTTGGGTCTGTCATATCGGTGTTTGTAATGGGATCTATTTTGGCTTGCGCTTCTATTTCTATATTGGCCATTGCTTCTTCTACTTCTTCTGGTACATTATATTCATCATCATCAAGACCAATATCATCTTTTTCAACATGTATGATGGATTGTCTGAGCAAGTTATAAGCTTTGCGTACGAATGCAGGGGTGATCTAGTGGATTGATTCAGGAGAATAATACAATCAACATATAATCTAAGTTCCGGAGAAATCATGATCGAGACTGAAAAATGGTGTAAAACTCACCATTTCCACACCGTGAGCAAATAGCTTCACTGAGACGAATCATACTTTCTAATTGACGAACAGTGATTCGAGAAGAATTCCTTCCCCATCCCTGAGAATCATCCTGTCTCAGATCTCGATACTTTTGTTCTAGTAAAGCTGAAGCCTCAGGACTAAGCTGAGAGATATCAAAAGTATTGATTTCCAAATTCAGTAAGAGAGGCCAAAGAAATCAAACTTACTTTAGTGAGTTGGTTGAGTTCGACAATAAAGAATATACCTCTGTAGAGCATCAGTAGAGAATTCCGGAGTGATAGCAGCATCCCTAAACCAATGTGCGTTGACGATATGACTAGCGATAGCAAAATCCACATCCTCATTACATTCATCCAAAACGACAAAAAACAAATCAAATCGACTCATGATCGGACCACTCATCGCCACATTAGCTCTTGATGACATCTTTTTATTATATCTACCACCCACAGGATTACCAGCAGCTAAAATTGAAGTTCTAGCATTAACAGTAGCTTGAATTCCAGCTTTCGCAATCGAGATCGTTTGTTGTTCCATTGCTTCATCAATTACAACTTGATCTGAAATATCCATTTTGTCAAATTCATCAATCGCACAAATTCCATTATCTGCTAACATTAATGCTCCAGCTTCGATTGTAAATTCACCAGTTTCTTCATCTTTGACTACTGCTGCTGTTAAACCTGCAGCTGATGATGCTTTTCCACTGGTATAAACTGATCTTGGTAAAAATCCACAAACATATTTCAAATTCGAGATTTAGAAGTTGAAGGATCTCCAACAATACATAAATTGATATCTCCTCTTAAATTAATACCTTCATGTGTTGTTTTATGAACTCCTCCCATTAATTGTAATAGAATTCCTTTTTTCACGATTTTGTGACCATAGACTGTAGGTGCAATTGATCTAACTGATCTTGAATAAATGTCTTTTGCATTCACCATTTCTCAAAGTTCTTCTACTTCAGGATCTGTCAAGGCAGTGAGGAATTCTCTTCGAGTCTCTTGATTATCACTCACTACATCTGGATCTAAAGTCTGGACATTGGCGACATTGACCTATGGAGATCAATTAAACATAGCATCAGCGTGATAGCGTTAATAAAAAAGGGAAAAAATCGAAAAAATGTGTACTCTTGAATCTGCCCTTTGAACCATGCACGCCAAGAAAGCTGTCTTATACGTCAAGCCTCTTACACCAAGAACCTTCAAACCACTAACACCCATAGTAGCAGGACCACCACCGCCTTTCCCACCATTATCACCAGCATGTCTAATCATTTCAGTATTAACACCAGGTAAACCTAATTGAGCCACATCAGGTACAACAATAAAGGTACCAGTAAAAACACATTTATCTCCTGCTTTTGCTTTTTCTACCATCTCTCCACGTAAGATTACATCTAATGATCTGGGCATTGAACTGGTTGGAATCTCATTTGAATTTTCTTGAATTCGAACTCTTTGCCAATCTGAAAAAATGGATTGTTCAATTGAAAGTTTCCAATCTGTTCGATTATTACATTGAATATTGGGACAAATATTTGGCTAAAGAAAATCATCATCAAAAATCAAAAAGTTACAGAATGATTAGTTCAGAATAGAATGATAAGATTAGAAGAAGAAGAAGAAAGATTGAATACATACTTCTGTATATCTAAATTGTTGTTCAACATCTTTTACAATCGTTTTACATTCTTCACAAAGAAATGTACCAAAGATTAATTCAGGTCTAACTTCACTTGTTCTAGTAATCGTACCACCAATTGACATTAATTTTCCATTTTTTTAGTTCTTAAATGTCGAATACCAATCACTAATGGTAAATTACTTATAGCTAAATTGAATTGTCGATTAATTAAACCTGTTGAATTTGGTGAATGAGTTTGATTGTTTATATGTAAGTAATCTGGATCAAATTTTCTACTAAGGACTGGATTCCTTGTTTGAGAAAGGGAAGAAAACTAGGGATTGAAAATTGATTAGCTTTGGTACGAAGGTAAATTGGATTGATGTTTGTGTGTGGATCGAGACTTACCGATAATATTGATCTCTGATAGCATTGGCAAGAGATATTTCGGTGGATAACAGATGTGAATAATCTACGTATAATGTAGTGGTTTGAAGCCTCATCATAGACTTGACTGAGAAGGAGCAGAAGCACGAGTTTCTTCAGTAATGTCTTCAACAAAGCTGAAAAATTAAGAATCAAACAAATTCTTTATCAGTATCGTTTCGAATGATGTAAAATGATTGTTTTCTAAGAGTCAAATTCTTACTCTTCTACAAATTTAACCATTTGTTCTTGAAGTGAAACACCAGTTTGATCTTTAACTCTAGGTATCTCATCTGGATTTCTTTCTAATCTTCTTCTCATTCTTCTTGCAACTCTTCTCTGTTCTACTTCTTCTGCTTCATTTTCATTCATTTCTTCATTTTGATCATTTGATGGTTGTCTTGATCTAACATCTTGCATTGTTATATCTGATTCTGATGGAAATACATTTTGATCTGGTTGTGAAGATGGTAGATCTCCAGATGATGCTAGAAATGACATTTGACTTTAGATTTTTTCTTGATCGGTTCGCTTCGGGGTTTTATTATTCAAAGTCTTGATCGATGTTGATTTCTACTTCAATCCGAATGTATCCTTTATTTCTTTGACTTCTTCGTTGGTTCAAGTTTCAATGTGTAGTTCAACCTCAGAGCTCAGAACCTCAAATAAATTTTGGTATCGGCTTTCATATCGGGTAAAACTCCCGTTAAAGGTAACAATAGGTTAACATCGTTTTGTTTACGATGTACGAATTCACGTAGGGTACGGACCAGAATTCAAAAGGGTGTTGAATTGGGTGATAAGGTGGTACAAGATGGGTCTAAGAAAAGTGACTGAGTTGAATCGGGTACCTGGATGGTTGTCAATGACAAGTCAGACCATGAAAACCGTACAGTCAATTGAAAACTAAGTGAGATGCAGAACTTACTCTTGTGGGCCTGTAAGCTTTCCAAATCATTCCGACCGCTTCATCAAAGTTATCTTCATCGGCATTTCGTTTTTCAGCTTGAATCATTTTCTTAAGTTCATCACGTTCAGCAGAGTTTTTGGGAATTTTAAGATTGAGTGATGTGAAGATGTAGATTGATGGATAATCGAGATGGATGAGGTGAAGGTCGAGAAGGATAGCTTGAGTGAGAGGTGATGTGGGGTAATTTAGTTCGACTGAAATGAGTTGAAGGGAATTAAGATGGTAAATGAGATTGAAGACGATGATGTTGAGTTGAATTTAAAGGTGCACTGGTACTATTATTCCTACTTGGGGGTCTTGGTTGGATAGCATAATGTGGAAGAGGTGGTGGTGGTGGCGGTGGTAAAGGAGAAGTAGGACCTAGTTGGACTTGGTTCTTTCATTCTAATCATGGAATGTTGATGATGTTAGATGAGTGTCGAGTCGACCAAGTTCCAACGACGACGTAAGAATGGCACCGAGACCGGACATACTCTCTTCAGGATCTGACTCCCAAGGCTCCAACCCCAACCTACAAACGGGAATTGCGAGAACAGGCATCTTTGCCCGGTAGTGGCCTTGAGCATATGTTTTGACGGATCCCCCATGGGTTCATACAATCAGGGCAGGACCGCTCATCCCGGCTCATCCCAGCTCATCACTGTTGATGAAGTTGGATGATGGCTCAGTGTTCCTGAGGTCAATGCCTGAGTCTGGCAGTTGGGGATGGGGCAAACTGGGCAGGCTCAGCGTTCCAATTTGGGTTGGACACAAATTTCACAGTTTTTTTGATACTATTGCCAAAGAGATTTGGGCCCCCGACGTCGGGGGCCTTCTCCACGGGCACTGTGTTAATAGTATCATAAATTAGAAACGATAATATGAACCTGCGACTGAACTTGACTCGAAATCTGCTTCACTTTGAGTCCGAACATGGGTTTTCCCAATGGACTTGTGGTTTCGGCAATGTCAAAGTTGTGCATCTTCTTCAGCTTTTTGCAAGCCATTCGAAGAGACTTATATCCGGGAAGTTTCACGTCCAAAAGGCCAACATACGACCTGAGTCGTTCATATTGAAGGACTGCTGTTGTTGTCCTGGTTGTTCCAATAGCAAGTAGTCCGACAAGTTGCTGAAGAAGTCCACTTCAGTTGGTTGCAACTTATGAGTTTTAATTGAAGTGACAGACCTCAAGGCTTGTGAATGGTGCCCAGGAGCCGTCGTCAGCAACTTCTTCTGATGTGGTTGAATTGTCATCATCCCAGTCAGAAAAGTCGCTGTCGTCGTCATTGTCAAGATCGTCGATCTCAGGCCAATCAACATTGCGAGTTGGATTGGCCAATAAGCCCAATTGATCTCGAGTCCAGAGGTCAATCAGGTCTCGTTGGAGCATCTGAAAGTCTCTGGCCTGCTCATCATTGTCAGAGTCCAGGATCGGAGTTGTGATCATGGGGCAGGCAATGTCATCTGCGTCCAAATTATGGTTGTCCTTGTCTGATGATCGCAATGTTGGTGATGTTCGGTTTTCTTCAGACGAGTCGGGTGCAGTCCATTGCTGAAGGTTGGCAATATGGCTTTGATTTTGGCAATGTCGTCGGATTGACGAAGCCTTCATCCCTTGGCTGCCGGGGCAAGCACGGCATAAATATACACCTGGCTCATTGTCGTTCTTGGTAAAACCTGGAAGATCACAATCAGCAAATATGATTGCATCGTGTTTGTGAGATGAGACTCAACAAGTCGGTACGCCCTCAGGAAGCACCATTATGTCAATAATCAATAAGATGCGGACAAAAAGAAAACAATGAAAGATTCGATGAAACGTGAGGAGGAAGGAAATTGGTGATCTTCAGCAAATCAAAGGGAATGATCACATCCTTTGATTTTCTGGAAATACCAGTGATCAACTGTCTAAGACCCAGTTAATCACTGTAACTGGTGATAACGCATGACCAACCAAGTGGCTCATCGTGGTTTTACAGGAGTTTGACTGGTTACAGTTGCCCAACCATTTTTTTTGGTGGTTGAACAACTGTGTTCATTTGACCTCCCGTAAAACCAAAAGACAGCCGGGGCCAAACCGAAAATACCAAAGTTCTGTAATGGTTTTTTTTAAAACTCCCCAGGAATGGTTTCTCAACGAAAAGGGGGTTCGTGGTGTAAGGGTAAGTACTAGGATTACGAGCTTTCTATTATTTCAGATATGTCTAGTTTGCGAGTCTACTATACATATCTCTTTCTCAGCCTTATGCTATCCTAACTTAGGATCTCCTAAGTTGAGAACACTGTGGGGGGGGGTGTCTCAAGCCCGGAAGTTTACCAGGAGGTGACTCCAGGGCCTACGTCAGAGGCCCCGTGAGTCTAATTCCGTTGAGAATACTGTGGAGGGGGTGTCTCAAGCCCGGAAGTGTACCGGAAGGTGACTCCAGGGCCTACGTCAGAGGCCCTGTGAGTCTAATTCCCAGTCTGTTTTGGGCTCCAGACGGCGTAAAGTGCCTGAAAAAGGATACCAGAGAGCTTAGTCCTAGCCAAGGGATGGTGGGTGGGCGCAAAATTAGTACATAATTTTACTAAACAACTTGCAGAGCTTGAATGCTCAAATCTTTTGACTGAGGTGCTGGGGAAGAGTTGCAGAGAGTTGGAGGAAAATTTTGTTCCTCTCTCTGTATCTTCTACCCACCCAACTTCGTTGTGTATGTAGCATTACACGTGCACCTAGTCGACTCTTACCCACCTAGCTACGATAGAAGATTCTTAACATGTCGTGCCTTTGGTGGGAAGTTGTCAACTATTGATGTTCCAAAATTATCAGGCCTCAAATAGTGTTTTTTGAGATTTTGATGAAGCCAATCTCTGCCTTATGCGCGTTTCTAGCTTATCGTTCATTTGTATCAACACTTTGACTACTTACACCACATTCACTCAATTTTTCTGCAACACATGTGCAATACTTCATCATGCCAAGTCCGTGCCAAAATATTGATTCAAGGTGCTTGTCAATCATTTACCTTGAAAGCTGTGTGCTTTTGCTTGTTGGGTGAGTCTATTTGGTTGATTCTCATTTTATTGGATGGTCGTAACATTGTCTGACATGTCCTCTGATCCAGGGCACACAGTCCGGACATGGCCAGACAACAGCTTTATCTACCTTCTTTTGGGGCAGCACATGAATTTCAGCAATATCATCCCCAACCTGCTGTCTCTGAATTGTGTTAATTCACAAACTCCCAGTTTGGTGATGCTACACTCACTGTGCTGTGGAACCAGTATAGCAGAATAGCGGTCTTTGGTGCTAGCTGGGCTGGTGAGTAATCAACCACCTCACCATAAGCTTGATAGTCCATTTGATGGTGTGTTCTCTTTGTGCATTTCTGTGATTCCCACAGATAATGCACACCCTCACCCCAAAAAATATGCTGGGACATTGAGAGGTTAGCAAGGCTCTCCTGAGGCCTTCTCTCACATCTGCAAGACCTAGCTCAACCCTCTCATCTTGGACTCTCAACATAGCCGCCTTATTATCACAGAAGATATTCAAACAGGATAATTTGGGTGGAGTAGTGATCTACTGGTCTTCTCACTGGCAAGAATGTCCCACTGTTTGATTACGCTTAGTACGTGTACATGACTCAACTTGAGCAAACAAGCTGATTTATAATGCTTGAAACTTTTTTTCAAATCAGGTGGTGGGGAAGTTGCCAACAATAATCTGACATACACTGACAAGCCCAATACCAGTACGTAATTAAATCATTATATACCTGATGTTTGTAATAGGACAATTACTTGTGGAAGTGGCCCTGTTTTGCATTTCTGAATCTGGTGGATTGGAATCAACCAAATGACTCAAATATGGACTTTTGCTATCAAGGCCAACTCTACTCTCAGCAGATCTGAAGTCTTGGCTAAAGTTTTTTGTTGGGTAGACATGCAAATCACCGAGCTTCAGCACCAAGTTACCAAAGCTAGGCAAAATCTCTCTGTGAACAGGTAAGCCCGTTGAATACTCAATCTGAGATAGCTTTTTACTTAGCATCTGTCCTCTACATTAGCCTTCCGTGTGGCTTCTTTATCATACCCATTGCACCGCTGGAGACGGTCCCTACCTTTGTATCTCAGGCTTCTGATCTAGCCAAAAACTCAGCTACACTTGCCAGAAGTTATCTGCAGGTTATTGGTGAAATGAGCCATAGTTACAACTGGGTAAGCAAATACAAATTTAACCATCAATCTGTGATGTACTGAGCTTTTGAGACCTATTGTGTTATGTTACAGGGCATGTCTTGTTTTGTGTCTGAGATGCAAATTACTACCGACCCCTTGACATCCCCAGGCTGGGTCAAAACATATGACTTTGAGCACTTTTGGAGAGATTTCATTGCCCATCAGAGCCAGGTAATTGACTATCTGCTTAAGACTGATTCATTACCCCAGACTTGCCAGCAATCAGTATGTTGACAGGGCTTGAAACCTGTATTTATTTGGTACCAGTATCAACCAACTGTTTTCAACACGCCCTGCCTACAAGAGGTCAACGGCAAGCAAGTTATATGTTCTGACCTGGAACAATATGTATATTGGGTAAGTGACCATTGCCCAATGTATAGGCTTGCTTTACACAGACAATGAACCCCATGACTTGCTCTCAGGATTCCCTTCATCCTACCACAACAATGCATCAAATCATTGCGCAAAGTCTACTCCCTGCTGTCAATTACTGAAAGTAGTTCCTTGTGATCTTCAATGATTTGCTTGGTGTTCAATCGGGAATTGTACAATCAAAAGTACAAACGCACAGAAAAATCAGGTGGTAACAAACACAAAGCTTTTGATCACATCACATCATCAATATCAAGAGGAATGGATATCCACAAAAGAGAGGAGATTATTTCTCGTACAATGATTAGCAGTGTAAATAGATCAGAACACAAATTGTACATTCACCGGAATGTGCCATATGTTGATCAAGGTGCACTCTTTGCAGGCTCGAAAAGGGAGAAAAAGTATGTGTCACAGAGAGTGACAGGTGATATTTGCACACAAGCAAGTGCATGTTTGTACATGTCCATGAATTCAACGGCCAACATTGAACAGGCCAACCAACAAATAGTTTCCATGAGATTCTGATGATATTGAACTCACACCTGCAGATCAAGAGGTTGAAGATGTGTATTCCTTCACCTCCTCCTCATGTTGCGTCCAATTTCATCAATTTGACGCCCACTGTGATTGCACTTTGCAAGCTTGCATGTATAGTATGCCATGGCCAACCCCGCCGTAGTAAGGCCAAAAGTTTTGGCAAAGATGATGCCATGACACACCCAAAAAAGGCCCAAAAAGCTCATATCCCGCTGGAAACAGCATCCTTTGACTCCGAGTTTGTGGGTCGCTCTCTCAAGCTCACTTGGTTACAATAAGAAATTAGTGCATAGTGGCAACCATCAAGAGGCAAGAAGCCACGGGCCGGGTAATCTGTAATTATAGTCGCTGCAACCAAGCTTCTTTTAATCTCAGATGGATATTAAATTGACCTGAAAACCCTTCAACTTTTGCAAACCTCACCCTTTCAGGAAGCCAAGGATAGCTTTGGAATCCTTGCATCATCGGCTTCCTAAAACTAGCTTTTCATAGTCACTGCCATCCAGCTCTTTTAATCTCATAAGGGGGCTGTACTTGATAATAGAAAAATAACAATAAAATCAAAAATCAAAATGGAGAAGACAAAATTGTTGGATTTTTCTAAAAAGCTAGTTTTAGAAAGCAGTTGTTGCGAGGATTCCAAAGCTATCCTCGGCTTCTTAAAAGGTTGAGGTTTGGAAAAGTTTAAGCGTTTCCGGTCTAAATCAAAGATTACAAGAGGCTTGCTGGCAGCGACTATACAACAAACAATCTGATTTTCATTTGGTGTGCCCTTGACCTTCGAAAATCTAAAAAAAAACAAGAACTTCAAAAATCAGTCATATGAGGATATCCATTCATCCTATGAGTAGAGCAAGTCTAAGTTATGTATGGGAATCCTAATCAGGAAACCAGAAGCTATCTTTTTTCTAGTAGACGGTTTCTAGATTTGTTTGGTACTTTTGGTTGCCACTATCTAAACCAGTCCCACCACTAGGAATACTGTCTCTACCATGAGACCCATAAACCTTTGAGCGTGGTGTGGGGGTAGTCCTGAGGTCAGAGAGGTCTAGTATGGGTATTAAATACCATACTAGAATTTCCAACCTCGGGGCGAGGACAGGCATGAGAAGGTGACTTCTCAACCCCCCGGGCGGTGGGTGGGTTTTTGAATTTTGAAAGAGAGAGAAGCGGGTTATCCTTGCAGGAGATGCAGGATTCAGCAAGGAGAAATTTGGAGGAGGGAGGAAAGGAAAATTTTTCTTTCTCCTAATTCTTCCAAATTCGAGAGGTTGGAGTTGACATCTCCCAACCACCCGTGATATCCCCTGCTGAACCTGTCACCCCTTCTCCTCTCGAGAATGGGATTCAGTGTACCTGCTCAGGCTTGGAACACTACCAATTTTCGAATAGCCCTAAAGGAGAGGACCCCAAAAATATATTGATTTGTGAATAAGTGATATTTGCAATCTTTTTTGAAAAGTTACCCAATTAAGTGGGGCTTGATGGTTGCCACTATAATCTCGGGTACAGATGAAAAGTGTGATCTGGGCAAGCATTGATACCGATAATTAAATGGTTGAAGATGTCGTCTCTCTTGTATTGCGATGTCATTGGACCTTGACTATGTGCATACAGAGTTATCAAGTGATACCCCCCAGGTTGAGATTCACAAGTCTATCCTCCAGCATCCCTGATGCTCTCCTCTGTTCAATTGTGTAGCCAGATTGGGATAAGGTCGGCTCGCAGGCCCGTAACCTTGGGGAGGATGGCCGGTGCTCACTTGTAGATAGAAAATCTTTGATTCATGCTTTCGGCTCTCACAATGGCCTTCACTAGAGGTGCCGTAGTCCCATTTTCCCAACAGTTGACGGCTCGCACCATTTGCCATCGATAGTCCAATCCGATCACATTCGGCTGTTTGAGATTACGGTTCTGAGGTTCATAATAAATACTCTGAACGAGGCTCTTTATCCATCTGAGGCTGGTCTCCAACGCCGAGCCTATGTCAATTATTTTCATCTACGTCCGCCACATTCTCTTAGTCGTCTCAGAAACGCGTGCCTCACAGCCACTATGCCATTCTTCCCCCAAAATGCCCATGCCAGATATCTGTCAATCATTTTTCTTGCAAGTTTGGTGCTTTCACTCGCTGGGTAAGCCTATTTCTTTCATTCTTTTTGTTTGCTTGCTGCGCATTGACGTCCGTAAAATCGTTCTCGCTTGTCACTTGGGCCTCTGGTCCAGGGTGCGCAGAAAAAGTGCGGCTAGACCACAGTTTTTGAGCTACCTATCGTCTTATGAGACTACTTTAACTTATAATTCTCAGCAAAATCTCGGACAAACTCCTGACTCACGATCGTCCCAATTCCCCTCAACTTCCCTGATTAACCTTGATACGGATAGCCTGGCGTCAGGAGAATATACCAGCATAGTCGTGTTTGGCGCTAGCTGGGCTGGTAAGTAACCATTGAAACATACACTTCATGGTGCAATCAATAATTTTTATATTTCAAATCCCTATAGATAATGCTCACCCTCGCCCTAAAAAGTATGCCGGGACTTTGAGAGGTTAGTGAAGCTTTACACTTTTCCCACATCTTGTGAAACCCAACGTACCCTCATGTCAGACTCCTACCTCGACAGGTTCACCTTATTATCAAGGACGATATTCAAACGGAATCATTTGGGCGGAGTACTTATCCAATCGTCTTCTCACTGGCGAAAACATCCCACTCCTTGATTACGCCTAGTACGTGCTGACTGGATATGTAGATACCTCAGACAAGCAAGCTGATTCCAACTGCTGGAAACTCTTTCTAACCATTCAAGTGGTGGGGCAGTAGCTAACAATAACCTAACATACACTGAAATACCTGATACGAGTACAGAATTGAATCAGTATATATCTGATGTTCGTAATGGGTCAATCAATCGTGGATATGGACCTGTTTTACATTTCTGGTGGATCGGGATCAACCAGATAACTCAAATATGGACTGATGCTATCAAGGCAGACTCTACTCTCAGCATGCCTGACATTTTGGCTAAGGCTTCCCGTCGGGTAGACATGCAAATTACCGAGCTTCAGCGCCAAGTCACCACAGCTAGGCAAGATCTATCGGTGAACAGGTAAGCCAATATAGTACGGGGCCCCATTGAATACTCGATGTGAGATAGCTTACTCACTGATCCTGTCCCCTCTTGCGAAGTGTTCCGTGTGACTTTTTCATCATACCCATTCCGCCATTGGAGACGGTCCTTACATTTAAATATCAGGCTTCTGATCTAGCCAAAAACTCGAAGACTCTTGCCAAGAGGTATGTTGAGGTGATTGGTGAGCTAAGCCGTAGATACAACCAGGTGAAGAGAATAGCAATCAAACTCTCCACTTGTGATCTACTAATTTTTTGATACATATCCTTTCATATCTTAGGGCATCTCTCGTTTTGCGTCTGAAATGCAAGCGAGTACCGAATCTCCGACATTTTCAGGCTGGGTCAAAACATACGACTTTGTAAGCTTTTGGAGGGACGTCATTGCTAATCCGAGACAGGTAAATGATCAAGCTCTCAAAACCGATTTCTCGCCACACTTCTTACAGTGGTCAATATATCAACACTGATTCAAAACTACATTTTCGTCTTATCAGTATCAATTTGTGATTCCGGACAAGGCCTGCTTACACTATGTTGATGGAAATCAAGTATCATGTTCTGAGCCAGATGAATATGTCTATTGGGTGAGTGACTGGCGTCTTGCATTTCAAGCTTGTTTTGTGCTCTTCTCTAACCATAAGTCTCTCAGGATTCACTTCATCCTACCACAGCAATGCATGGAGTCATTGCCGATAGTCTACTTTCTGCCATTAAAGATTGAAAACAAGTCTCCATGGTGGAAGTGGACGATTTTTGATATATCGAGTCCTCAGTGTAAAAAGGAACAAATATAAACAAGCGATAAAAAGTCCTTATTGTCACATCAAAAGGGTAGTGAGACTAAATAGCACATTCTACACTCATCGAGATATTTCACTCCTATAATAATATCATTCTCGCTTCCTGATTTGCTCGGCATTTGAGAGTTTTGAAGATCATTTTTGGTGTGAGGTTAAACTTATGCAGCGACGAGATGCTTTTCCATAAAGCGTGAATGATAGACCCCCTCTTCCAATCTTTCCATAACAAACTTTGAGATGTCTCACATTTTCAGTGCGAAATGGAGAGTCACAAATTTCTCAGACCAGACAGGTGATCTGGAAAGAATCACAATGCAATGATGTAAGCAAGCGCACTGGCTATGGATCACATAAAAGTGATGAGTGAGAGTAAAGCACCTGTTGGAAGGTGGCACAAATAAAGAATGGAGTTGTTTGAGTGAAGAAAATAACAGATATGCAAACAACAGATCTTTATATAGTGGAGAACTCTTCAGATATAGGTTTGGTGAACACACAGGGTTTGTGACTGTCATTTACCACTTTGGGAATAGCAGAAACAGGTATAAGCATTGTGGAACAAAAGAAATGAAAAAAAAACAATATTTATAGAAGAAATGTCTTGATTGAGATTTGGTAGGATGGTAGGATGGTAACTGGTGTAAGAGATGAAACCAGACTTCGATAGTCATCACTTATCACCATGAACCATGTACCCTCATCTACCTATTTGGATCAACATGGTAGAGTCTAAGTAACCTAGATCCCCTTGTATTGACCAATTGTTTCAAAACAACTATGTATGGTCTTGGCAACTAAAAAACTGGTGTTGTCTGTACAAAGAATAATAATCTTAACTAAGCCACTCTTCCAACATGGCCACATCCGCTTTTTAAGAGGAGCTTAAGACTTTTACAGAAGTACAACATGAACTAGCTCATTTTATAGAATTGAGTCAGGAATCAATGAAGAGACAATCTGACAAGCATGTTCAGCAAACACCTGAATGAAAGCCTAGGAGATCAAGTTTGGCTGAATGGGAAGAACATACCAACAACAAGGCCAAGTCCAAAATTAGACCACCCATGGCTAGGTCCCCTTAACATCATCAAAAGAGTATCCAAGTCAGATTACAAATTGAAATTGTCTCCCTCCATCAAGGGGATTCATCTAGTTTGTCATGTGTCAATGCTTCGAAAGAAAGAAAGTATAGTGGAATGTGAACAAACTGAACCACCAGTAATCATAATAAATGGAGATGAAGAGTACAAATTAAGCAGAATTTTAGATTGTAGGAAAAGGTAAAACAAATCAGAGTATTTAGTCAGTTGGAAGGGATTCAACTTGAACCATAACATGTGGGAACCGGCCAAGAATTCAGAAGACAGTAAGGAATTAGTTGATGATGTGAATTTAAAGTATCCAAATATAGTGTAGACATAAACTGCACAGGAGAAGACAGTGAGTGGGCATAGCTTTTTACCACTGGGTTTTTTAATTCTGCCCAGGGAATGAACACAGAGCTTGCAAGAGGGATATAACTCATATGTAACATGAGTGAAAGGGGAGAAGTATGTCAAAGATGAGCTTTAGTTATAAAATGTATTGTGCCACATGTTGTACAGTACCCTCCAAGTGGTCTATGTAATCACTCAAGTTCTTTAGCGGTACCAGGAGTTTCTCTATGCGCAGAAATATTGTCATTCAATCTTTCCAAGCATGAAGACTCATACCTTGACCAATTCCAACAGAGGAAGAATTATTGGAATTCACAAGGCTGGGGCTGCAACAACAAAGATAGCTATGCACCTTGGCCATCCCAGAACAACTGTTTATACAATCATCTCTGCATTCAAAAACCATCACGAATTATCAGCATCAAAAGCTCCTGGACAAATGCCAAAATTTTTGAAAGACGATGTTGAAGAACTCAGACATATACTTGAACAAGATAGACAAGCTCCTCTCTGCCAAATCACTAACCAAGTGTCCATCAAAGCTAGCAAAACCACGGTCTGGAATAAGATACATAAACTTGGCTTTCATTCTCATATTGCACAATGCAAGCCATTTCTGAATGAGAAACAGATCAAAAATTGATATGAGTTTGCTAAGATTAATCAAGACTGGACTGTTGAGGATTGGAAGAAAGTAATTTGGACAGATGAATCTTCTGTTGAAATAGGCAAAAATTTCTGACAGATCCAAGTTTGGCAACAAGTTGGGGAAGAATACAATGGTCAAGGTCTAGCTCCAACCTTCAAAATTGGAAGGACATCAGTCATGATCTGGGGTGTCAGCCCTGAGTACACATACATGTACCCAAAACTAACTTGTAACATTAAAAATATTATGTATAAATTAATGACATGTACATACCGAGTTTAGACTGTATGTAAAATGTAATACAATGTACCAAAACACTTATTACATACACATTTACACTTAAAACAACATGTAAAATGTAATAAAACACCATTTACACCTCATAACTCAGTGTCAAGAGTTAAAATGCTTATATTACATATAGGGCTGTGACCCGGCCCTGAAGTTTCAGGGCCGGCCGCAAAGAAACCCAAGGGCCTTCAAAAATGGTTCAGGGCCAGGCAGGGCGCGCCCTGAATTTGAGGCCTAGGTCAGGCTTAGGTTTTAGGCACAAAAACCGCGAGTTTTACAGCTTGGGATGATTGGAAGCCCTGGTGCCTGACCCGCCCAAACACCCTCAAGGCGCCTTTGTGAGTACAACACGTGAGGTTCTGTGGCCCCGGGGTGCGGACCACGAGCTCTCCAGAGCTCGTTGGGCAGACTTGGCCGGGCCAGGCTGGGTCCGGGTCGCAGGCCTAATTACATATTATACATAACACGTATATGTAATCAAGCATTGCTAGTAATAATCATCAACATATAGTAATGATCAACCCTCAACCAATGTAGTGATAATAACAAATATCACTACAGTGAGGTTTAGAGAGGAGAGCATATAAACCCCTCCTCTCTCAGCCTTCAGAGAATCCCCCCTAAGCTTTTGCTACACTGTACTTTTGAAGATCCACTTTAAAGTTATATGGAAGTATATAATCAAGAGTCTTATAAACATAAGACTAGTGATTCACTTCTTTACTTCAAAGAGTTTCCTGACTAGAAGTAAGTAGTACTCCTTCCTTCTGAATCCTCCACTTCCCCTAAATAGATATATCAAAGTTGGTGACTTTGAGAACAACCCCAGGAACAACCAGAGTAGTGACCTCTACATCACTCTTCTTGCTACATTAGAAGGTTGAAGGGAAGCCTTGGATCCAGCTTCCATCTGATTATCATATTTGATCATTACATATCAAATCTCCTTTTAAGGAGTCATCTGGCTGTAGTCTGCCAGGATTTATCCCAGCAGACTGCTAGTCCTTCCATTCCTTTACTTGCTCTCTTCATTTCTGAGTGTATCTACTACATATTCGAAATAAAAAGAGAAAAGTAACAATCCTAATCTTACCCTTTACCCAACTAGGGAGCATAGAGTCCTCTTTGAGAGCACCTACCCTCACATGGGGGGCCTTTGTAGGATCTTGGAAGCTTAATATGGTAGTAATGGCGCCAAAGAAATGCACTGGTTCAGACTTTGTGGAACAGGTTTACAATTGAAGATTACAAAACTTCCTCAACTCTTACCCCAATTTTGCAAATCTTGTATTGATGGAAGATGGTACCCTGGTCCATCAATGCTTAGTCTTGGCCATCAACAATATGACACAGCTCACACGGGACATCAGTGGTAGACCTTGAACACCAGCTAGGTAGGGACGCATGGGCCTTGCTTGAAGTTCAAGATTTGTAAGACACCATATTTTGACGTGTTGATTTATCACAAGAAGAAAAAATGCATCTGAGAATGAGATTATAAAATTCACAACCCCTACTGGGACTGCTGGGCAGATGGCAGGGTTTTTGAATAGTTTAGAATTTTTTGCAACCGTGTACAAATTTGAAGCGCTTCCTGACAGATTGGAAATAATTCCTGACAGGTTGGCATGCTGAGCAATTCATAATCAAAGCTAGTCTGGGAAAGCTCAATGGCTTCCTTCAATGTTGGTATGATACACTGGCAATGTGTTCTAAACATACCTTTTTTGTTGCTTACATCACCAAAAATTCAAACAAAAACATACCTTTTTGGTTGGTACCTTTTATAAAAGCTATCCGGAGGCCTGGTGTGACACACCCTTGGCACAGGGAGTGCAAGGCAAAATTTGCTGCCATTTTTCTGTGCACTGGTGCACCAGGTTTTTAAACAGCCATCCCCACCTGACTTACCTAAGTCCCTCTTGGACAAGCAAGGAGTTGAGAGAGGGAATTGTTGCTTATACATGACATTTGGCGTGTGAGCCAAAAAACTTTGGCTGGTGACTTTTTCAACCCTCAATAGCTCCATCCCCTGCAAATGAATATCCTCTGGGCCCAAGGAAGGCCTTTTGTGCCTGCCAATTCTACACATCTGAATGTATCTCACTCCTTATTTGACCCATACATTGCAGAGTAATGAGCGGGTAGAGTTTGGAAACAAAACACCACAATTCCTGAAAAAGCTGTTCAATTTGGCAAAACCTCAAACCAGGCAAGATGGGTAAAACTTGATTTCTCAAGTCTGGTTTCTAGAACTTTCTGAAACCCAAGAAATAAATTCAAAAGACCCAATATGTGTAGGTTCAGCAGGCGCACTAGGCCTTTCTTAGGTCCAGAGGATATTTATTTGCAGGGGACGGACCTACTGTGGGTTTAAAAAGTCCCAGCCAAAAGAATTTTGGCTCACACACAAAATTTCATGTATAAGCCATAGCCCCTCTCTTGACTACTTGCTTGTCCAAGAGGGACTTGTTAAGTTAGCTCCCCCTCTACCTGACTTCTGTTGCTCTCTGTCCCGGGGGGTTTTGTAGTCACGTTAGGGCTGCGACCCGGACCTGGCCCCGCCTGCCCAACAACCTCTGGAGAGCTCACAGTCTGCGCCCCAGGGCCACAAGCTCTCACGTGTTGATACTCACAAAGGCGCCCTGAAGGCGCTTGGGCGGGTTGGGCACTGGGGCTACCAACTCTCACTCCTCCAAAAACTCACACAGTGAGTCATACTTCCAAAGTTCCCACATGATCGATGATCTCAAAGCCCATCCCATGTTGTACAACCTGTGGTTTTTGTGCCTAAAACCTAAGGCGGGCTCTGCCTGGCCCCAAGGCCTCATTTTCAGGGTGTGCCCTGCCTGCCCCTGAACCATTTTGAAAGTCTCTCAGGTTTCTTTGAGGCAAGGCCACACCCCATGGCCGGCTCTGAACTTTCAGGGCCGGGTCACAGCCATAATTCACATGGCTTTACACAACTGCGGCACCAAACTTAACAAGTCCCTTGAGAGAATTTGCTGCGGCACACGAGTCACATGTGCAGACGTATATGTATATACATACTTCTTAGTTTCTGTCTTGGAGTAAGGCCTGGACCCGGCCCAGCCCGGCCTTCAAAATCAAAGCCAACTCGGGCTCTTGTTTTTTAGTGGGCAACCTGGCCTGGCCCAAGTATAATTTTTTTTTGCGCTGCACAGCAAAAATATTCCATGTTGGAAACTTGTTTTTAACGGAATGGAATGAGAGGAACTTGGAACTTATTTTACACATAACATGTAACTGACGGGTCAGATTTTCATTTACCTATTTTACCACTCATCCATAGATTATGTTATAGGTTCTTTACTGCTTTCCGATTCTATTCCATTGTGTTTGCTATTGACCTCATAAGCTTCTATTGTCTATCTTGATTGTGTCATTTTGTGGCCCACCCTCCCAGATTCCCCTTTGTTTGAATTTTTTTGTTTTATTTTTTCAGTTATGGGTTTTTTATTTTACAGGCGGTTTTTTCTGTGTGGTATTTTTTCTTTTTTGTCTTATTATCTATTTTTTATGTTAGGAATTTCATCTTGTCAGGTTCAAAAGATGTTTTTTGACAGAAAGTGCTTTCTTTTTTCAGATTTATTTAAATGATATTTGTGGTTATGTTTGTGTTGATCTATAGTTATCAGTTTCAATTTTTTTACATTGTGTGTTGTCAGTTTTTCATTTTTTGTGTAGCCGCTAGCCACCCCGTAGGGTGTAGTTTATTTTTATCATGGTCAAGACAATTATTTACCCTAGGATTTTATCCCAAAAAACACCACATCTCACTGCTTCAGTGTTTTTGTTGAGTATCTCAGTAAGAGCACCCACTATGGGTGCGGTTACGAGGTGATTTAGTGTTACCTTAACGCTAAAATTCAGACAGGTCCACTATGGGCCTGTTTTAGACCTGCGGTCCGTACGACTGCATCAAATCTTGTGTTGCGCTTGTTCAAATCTACAAAAGCTTAAACCCTGATTTATTGTAGGAACCAGGTAAAGCAGGCGGTAAATCATCTGATAGTGGATTTCATACGGTTAGAGCACCCACTATGGGTGCGGTTACAAGGTGATTTAGCGTTACGTTAACACTAAAATTCAGACAGGTCCACTATGGGCCTGTTTTAGACCTGCGGTCCGTACGACTGCATCAAATTTTGCGTCGCACTTGTTCAAATCTACAAAAGCTTAAACCCTGATTTATCGTAGGAACCAGGTAAAGCAGACGGTAAATCATCCGATAGTGGATTTCATGCGGTTACCATCTTTGGTAAAACACGCAAGATCAAATTTCGCGCTCGGGAACGCAAAATTTACGATAGATCACCCTCATGATAGTGGGTGCTCTAAGTTTTTACTGGATCTCATTTCACAAAAATAAAACAAAATTGATTATTTTCGGCACATTATATTGGCCATTGGAAGCCCTTTTTTTTGCTTTTTGGGTCTCATTGCCCCTTTTTTGGGCCTCTCAGATCCCCTTTCATTGCTGCATTTGCTCAAAACCCTCATTTTCAGCCTTTTTGGCCGGCCAAAAGCACACTACTCTCGGGCCCAAGGGTGAATTTCTGAGGCCAAAAACGCCCGAGCTCGGGCTCGGGCTCGTCCGCTGGTGCCGGTGCCGGGTCCAGGCCTTATTTCGGAGTTCGACATCATTTGGAATCTCATGTTCATGGTTTTTACTGTCCATTTGATTATCTGGCTGCTCAAGTTTGATGTGACCCTCAAGAAGCATCCAATTCAAACTGGTCATCTCAAATTTTCATGCTTGTTCTTGTCTAGAAGGTGATTCGAAGCAGTCTTTCATGTTACAGTCATTTAAGAAAAGCTTGCCCCAAATTGCCCGCAAAACTCAAGCGAATTGGCGGGGAATTTGGGGCAAGCTCGTCTTAAATGACTGTAAATTTCAAGTCCGCAGTGGTACAAACGCAGAAATGATGCACAAAAATGCCATGATGTGTCCGCAAACGAGAATGCCCCGTTGAAATTTTGAAGATCTGCATCTTTTGAGTTTAAACCTAGCTCGTTTTCTTCCTGAGCTCGCCTGAGTTGATCATGAGAATGTTGAGAAGCCTAATTTCGGGTATGAAGATTTTGGCATCTACATAGCATGAAGCATTACTGCCGATCAAAGAGTTGTAAGGGTCTGTCGGGTGCTTTGTATGGTGATCCCATTGGGCCTCAACTATATGTATACCAAGTTGCCAGAAGGTATGTGGGTTTGAGATTTAACAAGTCTGTTTTCCCAGCAGCTCAGATGCTCTACAAGGGATTGGATGAGCTCGGCTCGCGGACCTGAAGCGCTGCCCATATCGAGGCGGACTTGGGGAGGCTGACGGTTTTTATTTGTAGATCGAGAATCTTCGATTCATCCTTTCGGCTTTTAAGCTGACCGTGACCAGAGATGCCGTATGTCTCAACATTGGAGAACACTCACGAGTCGACATTGATCGTCCAATCCAATCTCTTTCATCGCCTTGAAAATACGGTCACGAGGTTCCTCATTCTCATGACAAGACTCTATATTCACCTGGTGCTTGTCGCTCGACTGTGGGCCGTGGTCACTTGTCCTTATCAACTCTCTGGTGCGTTCGCCACATTGCCTTTCTCGTCTGCAATACTCCGTCCCTCACTGCCAATATGTTGTTTTTTCCTCAAAATATCCATTCCAGACATCTATTGATCATCTTTCTCGCAAGTTCAGTGCTTTTACTCATTGGGTAAGCCTGACTCTTTGACGCTATCTTTTACTGTTGCAACCCGACGTCTGATATCTCGCTCTCACTCATCACTTGATCCCCTGTTCCCGGGCGCAGAAACAACGCGTGACCAGACGACAGATTTTGGGCAATGTTTCCTCTTTTGAACCTACTCCAGATCCTCAGCAGAATCTTCCCCAAACTCCTGACTTTCAATCGCCCAGACCCCCCACGTCCTTCCTGATTCACTTTGATCCGGATAGCTTGGCGGCAGGAGAATATAGCAGCATAGTGGTCTTTGGCGCTAGCTGGGCTGGTAAGGAACCAGTGCAATGTACACTTGTTGTTCCAATCAATCATGCTTCTTTTTTGGATTGCCATCATTCCCCTACAGATAATGCTCACCGTCGTCCTAAAAAGTACGCCGGAACATTAAGAGGTAGGCTAAGCTCTATTCCATGCTTTCTGCACATATTGTAAGACCCAACCTACACCTCATGTCGGATTCTTACCTTGACAGGTCCACCTTACTATCAAGGAAGATATTCGGACGGGATCATCTGGGCGGAGTACTTATCACGTAGTCTTCTGACTGGAGAAAAAGTCCCACTCCTTGATTACGCGTAGTACGTAATCCGGACTGAATGTGCAGATTGCCAATCAAGATCGACTAATCTACAATGCTTGAAACTTTTTCTTGTAAACAAGTGGCGGGGCAGTAGCTAACAATAACTTGACATACACTGACAAGCCCGATACCAGTACACAGTTAAATCAATATATATCTGATGTTCGTAATGGGTCGATTAATCGTGGAAATGGTCATGTTTTGCACTTCTGGTGGATCGGAATCAACCAAAGCACTCAGATATGGACTGATGCTATTAAGGCCGACTCTACTCTCAGCATTCCCGGGGTCTTGGATAAGGCTTTTCTCCGGGTGGACAAGGAAATCACTGAGCTTAAACGCCAAGTCACCAAAGCCAGGCAAGATCTCGCTGTGAACAAGTGAGGGTTGAAAACGGGCCCGTTGAAGCCTTTCATTCAAAGGTTTATCCACTGATCTTGTCCCCTCTTGATTCAGAATTCCTTGTGACTTCTTTATCATACCTATTGCACCACTGGAGACGGTCCTCACATTTAAATCTCAGGCTTCTGACCTGGCAAAAAAATCCGCCACCCTCGCCGGGAAGTACGTTCAGCTGATCGGTAAGCTGAGCCACAGATACAACCAGGTGAGGAAGATGAAACAAATGGATTTTTCGACCTGTGATATTCTAGTTTTCTGAGGCCTATCCATTTGTATTGTAGGGCATATCGCGTATTGTTACCGAAATGCAATCTAGTACCGACAACCCAACACCTTCAGGCTGGGTCAGAACATATGACTTTGAAAGCTTTTGGAGGGATGTCATTGCTGATCCGAGACAGGTAATTGATTATCCGCTCAACATCGATTCCTCGCTATTCTTGCAGTGGCCAATATGCTAACACCGTTTAAAATCTACACTTTCTTCTCACCAGTATGGATTCACAGTTTCGAACAAGACCTGCCTACATCATGTCAATGGCAATCATGTGCCATGTTCTGACCCGGATGACTACGTCTATTGGGTTAGTGACTAGACTCTTTCCCACTATGCTTGTTCAGCACAATCTTTTAACCATGAAAATTGCTCCCAGGATTCACTTCATCCTACCACAGCAATGCACAAAGTCATCGCAGAAAGTATACTTTCCGCCATCAAAGATTGAAAAAGATGCTCCTGGGTGAAAATCGACGACATTTGATAGATTAAGCTCCGAGGTTGAAGAAGGCACGGAATTAATCAAAGGCACGAGAGACTTCTGAGCGCAATGAGAGCGTAGTAGCAGTTAGATCACGTAAACAATTGTACATTCACCGGAATATCTCATATTTCAATCATAAATGTTTCATTGTGTCCTAATTACCTGCTTATTCCTTTGAGTGATACAAAGAGAATTGTGATGAGACGAAAGGTAGAGAGAATAAAGCTGATGGATTACGTTGATCCTCTACGCAAGGAACGTCTTTCTTACCCAAATTTTCCGCGAACGCAATAAATTGGCCATACATTGCGTGAGGTTCACGTCGACGCGATGCAGCGTTGAGGATGAAAATTCCTTAGTCTTACAGATTGGACGATAATCAGATTTCTCACTTGTCAGTTGCACATTTTACCTTGTTCGGCGCCTCGGAGAGCAACACAAGTGTTTCATCAATTACCACGATGAACTTCCTTACTTGTGTCATCATGATAGAGTCTAAGTTGAATCAGCTAGGTCTCCTTGGATTATCGCAAAATAACCATGGTACTTCTTGGCACAAGCTGGGCCTTCAATGTCGCTGGTCTGCTTTTTTGCAGGCAAAATAAAACAAGTGATAGATTGTCCAAGGGACATTGATTGCTGGTTAATGATCAGAGCCTCGTGGGCTTGTACGTAAATTAAATACCAAGGTGTACATAACAAATTAAACTTCTTGTTGCATATAGACTTCGTGGTCTGACGACTTTTGAACACCGCATACTTGGGAATCTACGAAATCCGCAACCGTAGTCACCACTTCACCGCGAACTCGATCATCCTATATGGATAGTAAAGCAAGTCCGATTTCAGCAACAATGAAGGAATCAAGTGTTTCTGAAAAGAAAGATGCGAAGAGAAAAGAACAACATTCACCTGAAGAAGCCAATGATCGGCATTTTTCATCAGCTTTTGTTCTATATTCCCATGAGGGAACAAGAAACGGAGGAGTTCTGGTGTTACCATCGAAGGTGGTAACGCTCCATCATTCTCGGCGGTCAACTAGACGAAAGGTATTTGAGGCAATTGAGCGTTTATCGACGGGTAATAGTGAAAGAGTTCAAAGACTGTCGGTTGATGCACATACCAACAGGCACTGGGGTCCACCGGGGAACTGTTGAGGGAGCCCAAGCGCTGACCGGATTTTATCGTTTTAGCAAATGACATTCGACTTCCTCAAACGAGAAATATAGAGCTAACCTATATCTTCTTTGTAATTTTGTAGTCGAGTCTGTTTTGCGGTAGTTAACATAGAATCAGTATGACAGGAAGTGAGGCAGAATAGGAGGATCTTTTGCGAAAGTTCACCTTGTAAAAATTCAAGGCTCCACTGATGCCTCTCTTTTGGAAAACCTCGACGTACTCTTTTAGTTCCTGCAAAAAGATCAACAATAAGATATCTTCAGGAGAAGGGCAAGAAACGATGACGACAATTATGAATATCGTGTTTAAAACTCACATCAGCAGGTATTTCAGCCTTCTTAAGTTTCTCTAAATTCTCATCGTAAAGTTTCTCCATTTCTCCCTCATAGGCCCATTTGCCATCATCAATCTCACGTTTGGGAGACCAAGTGTTCCAGAAAGCCAACATAATGAACTCTCGGATGTTCTTTTTGATCTTCTCTTCAGCCTCATCGCTAGAAAGCCAAAGCTGGTACCTAATCAATGAAAGCAGAAACATATCTCTCTGTATCAGTTCTCAGCAAGTGCAATGATTCGATTTGATGTTTCTGCGTACCCAAATGTCGGGTAGCGCTCTACGACTTTCCGAAGGTCTGGCTCTGGTTCTCCCTTCTGTGCAGCTGGAGAGGGAGGAGTACAAAGACTACATGGGATACAACCCAGAAAGAAAAGTTTCATGAATCAGCACGTGTCGGACGAGGATAACGAAGAATTACTTGTTTACCTGACAAAGCACGCCACGCGATCGGTATAGTATTCAAGAAATCGCCAGGCGATAAGCCCTCCCCTGATAATGGGAGCGAAAAAGGATGAGTATTTATTGTCAAATGATGAGAGATTATATGGCGGAGAAAAGTCAAGATGTAAAGCCTACCAATCGTGACCGAGAACGACGATCTTCCCCTCGACGCCTTCATGCTTAAGGATCTCAATAGCCGCATTACCGGCTGCTCGTGTAGTATATGGAGCCTTGTCATGGTGACCGTCGGGGCTGTCCTACTCCAAAAGCACATCAGTAGCGTGCCATGGTATTGATCGACTCGAAAAACATTGAACGTACAGTTCCACCGCATCTGAGGCAGGAACCACAAGCAAAAGTGTTTAGTTCACCTCATCATCTAACAATTAAGAACATAAGGGAGCTTGAAACTGACCCCATTTGGTCGGGTGCGATGACCCTATACCCTCTCTTGGTAAGCTCTTCGATTTGATATCGCCAACCATAGGCACTAATGGGGAAAAGAAATTTCTAGGTTGTTAACTTCCATATCAAACCGAAAATTCTATCGATGAAAGTACTCACAAGTCAGGCTGATCACAAGAGATTTGGTAAAAATCAGACCGAGTCAACTTCCACAATAATAATCTCTCTAGTAAAGAGAGACAGACGAAATACGAATATAAAAAATCGAGATTGAAAAACCCACAAATCCGTGGAAACAGATGACTGTACCACGCTTCTCAACACCGTCACATGGTGCTTGATCAATGTAATCTAGTGGTAAAGAAACACCGCACGAATAGGATGATAGAGAACATCAATCTGACTGAAAACTTCTCAAGGAAGTAAGAAAAGGATATAGAGATAAAACTAACGATAAGTGAAACCGGTAGAGATCTTATGGAACTTCCAAGTAAAATCTTGCATACGCATTTTGAGTTATATCAAATGTAAAGAATAGATAGATATTGAGATGTAGATATATATCTTCTTCTGGATTAAAAGAAGCTTGGGGAAAGAAGAAGACCAGTCGAAAGAGACTCCCTTATATATCTTTCCTTGATCGCCAGTCACCCTCTTTTTACTTCAATTACCTCTTTACCTCAATCCATACTTCTCCAGTGCAACGGTTCAATTTCACTACATAGCCACTCTTCCTCTGTCTAACGGTCATTGGGTTTGAAGATGATTTTGCGTTTGATTTATGAATGGATCAAAGTGAAAGTTGTCATCTCCATGGTTCATGACCATTGGGTTCGTCATCCCGAAAGTGATTTTAACCAGTATTTCCTGTGGCTTATTTTCATAACGATCAACATTTAAAAATCAGTCACCATATTTTCAAGATGCACAATTCTATAGAATTAAAACACGTACGTAACTCTTCGAGACAAGAATGATATCGAGCTAAGACTCGAATTTGATGAAGCTTCAGTATAGTTCGTATTAGATTTGCATTCATCGAAGTTGAAGAATTCTTCATTGCAACTTGAAGAGAGAAAGAGAGTCATGTGAAAGGTTTTCGATGAATCTTGGAGCAGTTTAACATCCGGATAGGAACTCAAACATCAACTCTTGACAATTTATTTAGGTTAAGCCATTCTGGAGTGACGAGTCTTTCGGTGACATGGACTGAATTGAATCATCAGACCAAATTGTATTCTAATTTATTTACTTCATTCATCACCATCACCCCTCCTGATCTTTGCTGTGAATCAGCAGTTCCATCTTAGAAAGGAACATATGGCTTACAAATGCTCATCTACCATGGACGAGAGAGGAGGGTGGAATTGGAGGACAAACCCCAATACCCGAAACTCTCAAACCCGAAACACAAACCCTGCACCAGTACTCGATTTACGAGTAGACCAGATGACACTCACTGTCTCATGCACACACTCACTCCCTCTACCTCGTCCTCCGTCAGTAAAGCAGCATTTGGTGATTCAGTCTCAGCTCCAACGACCGCCTTGGAGTCAAGAAAAGTGCCCAAGTCACTGAAAATCCGACCAAGATCACAAACCTCAGAACTGAACTCTTAGATTTCTTTGATTGTTTGTGTATCTTCAACTCTCGATCAATACTGAATTTATCTTTCCGCTTGATTCGACTTCAAGATTGCTGTCTTCGCCTTATTGAATCACCTTTCAGTTGGTTTTAGACTTTGAACTTCAATCATCATGAGTTCTCGTCAGGCTTCTTATAAGCAATCGATCTCACTCGATCATCATCTCAATCAAGCCAAGCGTCGGCTCGATGCTCTTCGTGATCAAAGAGCCGTGAGTGAGGGCTCTTACCGTGCTGAGCGGATTTTCGTCCCTGGTTAGCACAGCGAAAAAAGCTTACTTGAGCTGATATGCCTTTCAGCGGCGTTCGGATACTCTGGATCGGATACGCGGCATTGAAGACCTTGTTTTGTCTAGTGATTCGGAAGAACAAGACGAGCGCTTTCAAGATGCCGATGAAAGTCAAATCGACTTTTCTACCAGCTCTAACTTGATCAATCAGCCATGCTCAGGAATGTGTCCCTCTCAGCATGATCTCACAACTGCCTCGAAAACCGAAACTAGGAAGTATCGTCGATTCAAAAACAGGTGCATGCGTGCTGAGCTTCTCGATCTATGTAACGGTTTGCCAGACGGATTCGAAGAGGACTGGCTGATGGTGGGACCTGTCCCAAAAGGCCAACGATGCTTGGTTCTTACCTCTCAGTTCTCTTCTTCAAGCAAATCATGTGGCCCAGGTACGAAATCATAAACTTTTCCCAGACCATCTCTTGGGCTCCGCGATCGTGCGCATCTCTCCTTCTTTGTTTCTCTTTATGACGATTTTGATCAAAGTTTCATTCTTCTGGCTTAACTCCCAATCATTTCAACCCCAAAGGTAAACGATTGAACACGTTGATTTTATCGCGTACGAAGGCTCACGTCTTAGGCTATTTCCAAACCGTCGTTCCATTGGGATGTATACTGGATTGTATCTATAGTGAGGACACCAGGGTACTATGGGTACTTGATGTTTTAAAGTGGAAAGATCAATCTTTCATCGACTGCGAATCTGATTTTCGGTAATTGAGACCTACAAGCCTCAGAGAATATTAACAATCTTCACAACGACTAATTTACGCATTTTTAAGGTTTTATTGGAGAGATACGAGGCTTCAAGAGTTGGAAATTCAGTCACTTTCGAGCCCGAATCGCTTGCTCGTAGTTCCTGTGCCCTACGTTGCAACATGCTCGAAGACTGGCACGTTGGACCTAACAAGCGCACTTCTCGCCAATAACAAGGAAACAACTACGGTCACAGTTTGGTCTTCAATCGATGATTCATTGAAGAAGGTTGAGATCCCTCATGAAGCTGATGGATTACTGCTATGCATCAAATCTGCTACATATGAGTCTGGGGATACTGTCTTGGCTGGGTGGGTACCATTGCTACCAAACGAGTCTGAGCAAGAAAATGAAGTCGGTGTTGGAAGATTAAACGCGTCAGTAGATCCTTACATCCTTGATTTTTATCATGATGGTATTATCTTTCAAGTCACTGATCGACCTGCCTACAAATTTCCAAGTCTTTGTCAAATTGATACCCAGATGCAAGAGTAAGAGGTTTTGACGGCATGTCAGATTGAATATGCTCACAGTGCCCGTGGAGAAGGCCCCCGACGTTGGGGGCCCAAAGATCTTGGCAATTTTGTCGCATTTGTGTGATTTTTGTGGCCCCAAAGCGTACAATTATCCACAAAGGGGAAAAATTGGAAGAATATTCCTTACGCTGAACTTCATCCGTCTGAGTCAAGCCTCAGGCAGACTAGGAGATGAGCGGGCCTGAACGCTCATTTTCCCCTACTGAACGCTCAGTGTTCCTAACTGAACACCTGGAAGCTCCCCATGAACTATCCTTGCCCCGAGAAAAGCTGGTGACCATCGCCCGTTCCACATTGGAGAGCCAGCTCACATGTCCGGACATGCCTGCAGGGTCAGATCCTGTCAGATCAGATGAGTGGTCAACCGTTGGATAACTCCTCCTATGCACATATGTAAGTGTACATACTGCATCTGCACGAAAGCTTGTAATTTTTTTTTTTTTTTTTTGGAAAAGCACAAATTTGGCCCCGATCCGAGAAATACCCGAGGCCGGATCAGCTGGATGGGGACTGATCCAAACCCCATCCAGCGCTTCGATGGGTTTCAGCTCACATCCACTCATCCACCACCAAACCTCGATCGATCTCACCACCACCACCACCACCACTCTTCACAACTTGATCTTTCACTCAACTACCCAACATCATATGCCCTTTGTCAAATACTCGGCCACAATCAAGGCTTTGGCCGTTACCAAATGCCTTGAAGGCTTTTCAACTGACGAAATCCGAGATATGCTTGGCGAGAACATTTGCGAAGCCACTTTCCACCGATGGATGGCACTTTATCAACAAACCCAATCAGTTATCAGGAATCCATTAGAGTACAAGAAACGAGGCGCACCTCTCATATTCAATGATGAAGATTGCGACTTCATCAGTGAACTCGTAGCAACTCAGCCTTCTCTTTTCTTGGACGAGATCCGGGAGGCGATCTACGATGAAACCGGCGTCTTGGCATCTTGTGAAGAACTTTCACTCGAGCTCAACACTCGCCTGTACCTGACTCTCAAGAAGGCCAAGACCTCAAACGTTTGCAAAGATTTCTACAAGACTGCGAAATTTATCGATGACATGAAGAACGTCCCAGCTGAATACCTTGTATTCACCGGTGAGTAACACATTGTTTTGAACTTCTTTTTCTATCTTTTCATTTTGATTTTATCTGATCCCTTTCAATTCTATTCTTCTCTGATCCTGTCAGATGAGAGTGCTATCTGTGAGCGGGATTTGATGAGAGTCAACGGACGGTTGCCAAAGGGTCAACGTGTCACGCGCTGGGTCAAATGTTCAAACCCGAAACGATATTCACTGCTTCCTGCGATTGGACTACATGGGTTGATAACCATGTCTGTCCGTGAAGGCAGCATTGACCGCAGCCGATTTGAAAACTTTTTGGAATTTCAGCTGGTGAGTTTCTTTTCTTAACATCGTTTCAGTCGATCATTTCACTAATCCACAAATAAACAATACAGCTTCCCTTGATGAATCCTTATCCAGCTGAAAATTCAATCTTGGTCATGGACAACTGTCCAATTCATAAGGGAGGTCGTGTTGAAGAACTTTGTGAAATTGCTGGTAAGCTTGTTTACTCTCAATCATCAATACATCATGACACTGACTTTGATACCTTTCCTTTTGAAGGTGTCAGATTAGTATATTTACCAGCCAATTCCCCCGAGTTGAATCCGATCGAGATGTGCTTCTTGGTAATCAAAGCCCACTTCAAGAGAAGTGAGATATTGGAGAAGTCGGGCAGTGATGCGACTTGGCCGATTCGAGATACTGTATTGGAATTTGTCACACCCGAGCTTCTAGTGGCCGAATACGAAGCTTCTGGGTATTGCTTACCAGAGGACATGTATGAAGAGTATTAGAATCGTCTCTATCAATTCTTATTGTTTTCTCGATGTGTATCTCTCTTTTTGTATCTTACATTAAATGAATTTATGATAAGGTGTCAGATATCATGCTAAGGAGAATATAAACTGTAAATTTATTCATTGTTTCACAGTTGAACATAGCATGTGTCTTCAGTCCAGAAACTCTCTCCTTAACTTGAAATTGATCACCTCTGATTGGATTTCAAGTCAATCGATTGATCTGATGGAAGTTCAAGTCAGAGGTGATCAAAAACTAACTTTTGAACTCCTCAATCGAATTCAAAAGCATTGTGTTAAAATCAATAAAATCATATTTTCAATTCTGCCGCTGCTACAGGTTTGATTTTAAGAGGATTGCAGATAAAAGAGTACATTTCTTGCTATATTTTAGGAGTATCACTAATAAACTAGTACATTTCTTGCTATATTTTAGGAGTATCACTAATAAACTATCACAAAATCTTCTGCTACATTTTAAGAGAATCACAAAGAAAATGTTATAAAACTTGTCGAGACACCTAATGAGCATCCATTGAAAGGTGTTCATCAAATCTAATCACATTGTCCAATAGATCTCTTATCTCGCCAATTTCAAACCCTAAATCTTTCAATTCCTCCTTAGTGATTCCACCTGAAAAATTATGATAGTCTTTGATCTTCTTGCTGGTCAAAATCCCCAAAATACGATCAGAATCTTCGATTTTGATGAAGTTGAGGTATTCAGACATCGTAGCTGAACCACGAACGACTTGCACTGTACTAGTACCTTGCACAGTACTAGTAGTCTGCTGGGGTTCAAAAGTCCCGGAGACACCAACTCAACGTCTTTTCACGTTGAGTGCGCGCTTGCTTTCTCGTATGGAAGATGGTGGGCTGGTCAAAGACACACCATGAATGGTTGTGTCAACCTTGGAAGATCGAGAAAGTTAGCTGAAAAAACTAGTCCAGAATTGAATATTATCGTACTCACAAGTGCTCTTGCCCACTTCTCACGGTTCCCAGCAGTCATTAAAACATAGACATCGTTGTCATTTGGTAGCTGGTACGTGCGGATGTGTCGATCGATCGAGGCATCTACATTGCCAACCGTGTTCAACCTACCCAACTCAACCTCGTACTGATCAACATCACTAACATCGCTCATGTTCTGGAACCACACATAGCAAATGGTAAGCTTGAGTTTTTAAAGGATCACAGTGTGGATAAACTCACACCGGGATGATTGTCTGCACCAGTTGCATCAATAGTGGCTGGTATTCCACGGAGAGTCTTTGCAAGCGCTGCATTCTAATTGTACAAAGAAAAAGGGTTTCAAACAGAATGAAAGATATCAGTAAAATAGATTAAATATGAGCATGGTAAAAAAACGTGCCTTTTGCGCAATGTCCACAGGATCCTCAGGCTTCGGCATGACTAGAGACACGGCAGGTTTCTTCTTGGGATTCTTGAGGGCAGTGTCGCACCACGAATTGAATTTATTGGATGTGTTGAGTAAAGTCTTATCATTCTTGAGATAATTGTGGACAGATGGAATGTAACAAAACCACTCAATTCCAAGAGCCTGGGCACGGCGGTCTTCGGTGATCATTTTTCCAAGGTGTTTCATATCTGAGGTGCTACAGCTTTTGGCCACTTGGACTTCAAAGGCGGTCAGATCCATATCGGGCGAGATTTGGATCGGAATACTCCCGTTTTTCAATCGATGTGATTTCCACTTTGGATTCTTCCCTCCGTGGTTGAAGTACAGGAGGTAGTCGAGATGGCATACGAAAGCTCGTGCACGTTTGATTGGTGCAGGTAGTGGTCCTATAAACTAGAAAAGAAAGGATGATAACAAAGTTGTCAGTAAATACTGCAATTGAAGAAAGAGAACAATTAGAAAGAAAGGAAAACAATTGAAAAAAAAGGAAAAGAACTGACATCCCCGATTTCAAATTTGGGGAGGTCGTTGCTGCTTGCAGTTGATTCACGCTTGAGGTCGATTTCTTGTGGCATAATAGAGTTAAGAAAGTCGAACGAGATTGGATGAGTGGATGGTTTTGAGCTGACAATTGGCTCAAAACCATCGAAGCGCTGGATGGGGTGTCGGATCACTCACCCGATTTCGGGTAAAGTTTATTTCGGGGCCAAATTTGCGCTTTTCCAAAAAAAAAAAAAAAAAAATTACAAGCTTTCGTGCAGATGCAGTAAGTACATACAAAATTCATAAACGATTTCAAAGAAGATCTAGACAACGGTTGACTTCCAGCGCACCCTGCGCGCCGCAGTCTGCGCATGCGCTGTGGCCAAGCGCCGGGGATTTTGAGAATTTTCCCCACTGCGCCTACCCCCAGCGTAGTGGGTTTTCTGATTTTGACCACTGCGCATTTTTTCACCACAGTGGCTATGGGATTGATCAAAACTGCGCCCCCTGCGCTACATTGCAACATTAAAGCAGAGTACAATATGTACATAAACAACGCTAAAGATATTGATACATTAGACAATTTTTGGGCCCCATCCATTATCCATTGGGCTAGAATCTTGTCCAATATTACCCCAATATCCTCCAAAACTCTATTACATAGGGAGAAAAATGAGAGTTGGGAAATGTCTCTTGATGTCTCCTCCTTCACTCACGCTCTCTTGCTCTTTCATGAGATCTTCCTCACCTCAAATTCCTCTCACTTTTGCTCGATAGACCACCACCTTCTGAATTATCAAATAAATCTCTAGCCACTATCTTTGTTTAGATATATCATATTATCTCAAAATGACTTTACGTAGACCCCTTTCTAAGAAATCAAAAGCTCCACTTTCAAAGAAACCCAAGTCTTCCACTTTGTCATCTCAGTCCAACCCCTTCACAAAGTCTGCAAAGCGTGCAAATACTAGTTTTCTTAATCAAACTCAATCACAAATTAATAATATAGCATCAGTTGTTGTAGTTGATGGAGACTCAGATGATGAAAATTTCGACCCCAACAAAGATAATCAGGAATTGGAAGTTGAGGAGGAAGAAGTTGAAGATGAAGAGCCAGGAGAGAATTCTTTCAATAGTACACCATCCCAAACCGATGGAAACGAACTCGACAAGTGCCA